GCTGATGCGGGTGTGTTCCCCATTTCCCCAACCTGGGCTGAGCTCCATCCTCTCCATCAGCAGCCAGGGCATTTGCATGTAGTTACAGGAGGTGACAGCTGCCTGTGGGCACCACATCACCCCTGCAAGTGGTTCTCCCCACTGAGAGTCCAGTTTCTGGCTTAATTGCTTGATCACTATTTTGTTACAAAGGACAGGAATCAACAGCCACATGGAAGAGAAGCTGAGGGCAAGTCGTAGGGAAAGACATGGAGTTTCTGGCCTTCTCCAGGCTCTCCATTCTCCCCCATGTCTTCAAGTGTTCACCTGCTATCGGACATTTAAAAAATTGATTTGATCACACTGGTCACACCCATAAATGGGGAAGGCTGGGAGCACCCAGGCCCATGTGAGTACAGGGAAGGGGTTGGTTTCTCCGTGCCCTGTATGGTAACTGTGAGCAAAACTAAACCGGGTTTGAACAAGGATTAACTGCTCACACCAGGACTGTTGAGATCGGATGAAGATGTCAAATGCTGAGCACAATGCTTAAGCATGCTCTGACAGAGAATTGATTATAATAAAAGATATGAAAGGTAAAACATTCTCTGTTAATTTGGAGGTCCCAGGTTCCCCTTGTGGCTTCATTGGGATAAACTGACCATCTCGGCCATATCCAGTCCTACCCATAAGCCCATAAGCTTTGCCTATAACCACTCATAGACTATTTCCCCAAATTTAACCTAGTGCCAATCTCTTCAGCCTGCATGATACTAGTGAGATGTTAGCACCTTTAGAATGGAAGAGACTGAAGCTCAGTTGTAATAAAAGTTGGTTCAGGCCAGCTGTGGATTAGAGACACCCCAACTTCATGTGGAGAGCTCAATTGTTTCTCCAGACTGAAATTTCTGGGCCATGTGCCCAGAACAAGGCTAGGTACACAGACGGAGAAGCAAACCCCCTTTCTTGCACATACTCTGGTGATCGTCCACTTGAAAATGACTTTTTATTATCACTGGGGGTGCTCTGTGCTTGAAGCCGCTTAACTCGCATCCCCATAATCTGGGAGTCATATCACCAGTCATCAACAAAAATCCTTTCAAAATTACAGGTGTGACCACATCAGCTCTGGAGGTCTAGACTACAGAAGGCAAGTTCTCTCAGTGAAAACAAAGAGAAAAGCCAAATAACACACAGACACAAAGGTCGTTTTTTTACTGTAGAAGAAGGTGGTACTGCAGACACAGCTTTTCTCAGCATCTGAGACAGGCTCTCCAGCCAGGGACACAGGAATCTCCCTGGCCTTCTGGAGGTGGTCCCCAGTGTCTCTTCCTTGTGCCACCCAGGAGCCTGGATAGACATGAGGCTGGTGAATGGCACCCGGCAGTGCTCAGGCTGACTGGAGGCCCTCATCCAGGGCATGTGGGGGACCATGTGTGACGCCCTCTGGGGCCTGGCTGAGGCCATTGTCATGTGCTGCCAGCTGCAGTGTGGCCAGGCTGTGGCGGCCCCCACAGGGGCCCACTTTGGGGCTGGTTCTGGGAAGATCCTGCTGGACAACGTGTAGTGTGTGGGCAGCGAGAGCCACCAGGGGCAGTGCGCACACAGGCCCGAGACCTGGCACAACTGCAGGCACCCGGAGGACGCCAGTGTTATCTGCACAGGTGAGGGGGAGTCACCTCTCGGCTCCCCCTGACTGTAATAAAGGTCGACTGTCAGGAGCACCATGTCACTAACAGCACCACAGAGCTGAGCCTTTGCCTTCTGTGTCCCCAGGTGCTGCCCTGTCCCCCGACCCCACTCCAGCCTCGGAGCCTGAAGCTGCCATCTCATCACACACCCTGGCAGGTGGGTCCTCTCGTTGCCCGGCTCTCAGGCCTCATGGCCTCTCCTCCCTGCAGTGCCCCTTCTTAGCCAGGCAGCAGGCTGTTGCCTTGCGCAGCTTCGGGGCCCATCCCCCAGGCTGTTCTATGCATCATGGGTCATGCATGGAGGTGAGTGGTACCCCCAGACTCTCTGGTCCTGCACGGCCAAGACTCCCAGGACAGAAGATAAGCAATCCTTCTGCATTGCCCCACACCCCACAGGGGTGCCCCAGGCAACAGAGGGGAGCAGGTTTCTCTTTCCATTGCCCAGATGTCTCAAATAATTCCTCACTTGTCTAGACATTGCCTGGATCCTGGGAATGCAGAGCTATCAAATGACTCAGGGGCTTGGTCAATTCAAATAAAATCAGTAAATACTTTTCTCTCCCAAGGAGACTGACTGGTGGTCCTCGTCCAGAGGACTACACCCTCCCTACTCACCCCTGTGTGTGTGTCTGGTAACAAGTCAGGGGATACTTGTACCCCCAATATTTGATTATGAATATTTTCAAAATGCACAGCAAGGTTGAAGAATGTCACAGTGAACTTGGATCTAGATTCTGGGCTACGTTATCAAACCATTTATCATTCTTTATTCACCCTTCTTATTTTTCATAAAATAATATAATTAATATAAAAAGATTATAAAACATATACTTTATCACTTAGGTTTGATTTGTGAACCATAGAAGCCACACATTTTAAGGTCCACCTTGATGAATTTTGGGGATCGGCTTCTGTTGTGTCCTCACCATCACGGTCAAGATGTAAACAGTTCCCCGGCCCTAATACCCTCTCCTGCCATCTCCAAGTTGATGCACCTGTTTCCCACAAGGGAAGTGCTGTGTGACTTTCCTTGCTCTGTCCGGCTGAAGTCAGGACACACCTGGCGTGCGGCGGCACAGAGAGAGATGAGGCTCTCAGAGAACTGCCATGTGGGGGAGATTGCCCCTGCACCTGCTGTTGCTGATGGTCCCGTGGTGGGTATCAGTGGGTCAGCCCCAAATGGAGGTCTTGGGGAGATGAGGTTCCTGACCTCAAATGCAGCCTCATCCTTATTCCTGCTGAACCCCAGGAGGAAGCAGCCCCCCTTGGAGCTACTGTGTATTTTGTCCCTGTTCTGACTGTTCCCCAATGAGGGTCCTTCCTTTTCGCCCACCAGCAGGCTCTGAGAACCTGCTTCCCACACCACCAGAGCTCACGGTGGCTCAACGACCACCTTCTCCTGCATCTTCAGGTAAGGCTGTGCCTCTTTTGTGTTGTGTCTGTGAACAACTTCTTTCAACCACAAATGAATGTGTCACGAAGGATACACAGCGGTAAACAAAGCAGGCCCCTGGGTGCCGTGTCCACGGGTGGTGAGTGTGTGATGGAGGCATATGGTGTTGGGGGGCTAGAGGGGGTCTTCACCCAGACCTGGGGGGTCAGGTCAGGAGGGGTAAGGACCTAAACCAGGACATGAAGGGTGAGGAGACAGTGGGGTGGTACAGGCAGGGAAGAAACTAGATCGTTCGACCACCTGTGGGTTGTGGGATGGAAGACACTAAAACGCTTCCCAGATTAGGGGACATGACCAAGAACCGGACAGCCTTAGTGAAGTGTAAAGTGGCTGCAGCCTCTAAAATTTTTTTTGTTTCTTTTTCTTTTTCTTTTTTTTTTGCGCTGTAATCAGGGTGAGTAGTGTTTCGGGATATTTGGTTGAGTTCGGCTTTGGTTTTTTACAGTCTGGTGTCAGAAATGGCAGGAGTAGAACATTGGGCCCAGGAGTCCCCTAATCTAGCTGCTGGACAGGAAGATCCAGGGAGGACAGAGGAGGCTCCGTCCCTTCCCTGGGGTCCACCGCCCGCCCCCTTGCGGATAGATGCAGGTGCCCCCAGGGTTCCCTGACAATGGCCAGGGTTTGGGGGGCAAGCTGATCACCAGAGGTGCCATTATGGACTCTGTGAGTTTCAAATGCCTGAATTCAAGCTCCCTGTCCTTCTTTTTCTTCCTTTGCTAAGTATTTTTTGAGTTAAATATCTTGCTCAGTAGTAGCTAAGTAGTATTTTAGCTAAGTATCTTGTGAGCCTGCCATGAACAGCACTAAACAGGTCGCAGGTTTCCGTAGGGACCCTGACAAGGTCCCAAAGCCCAGGGGGGTCGCAGTCTAGCAGAGAGACGAGTCCTGTGCACAGGAGTCTCAGCATTAGGTATAAAGGGGCTGTACTGTGGAAGAGGCCTGTGTGCTCTCGCACCCCAAACAATGGAGGACGCCTGTGAGGGAGGCAAAATGAGAGAGGCCTGCGCCGCAGAGACGTTCTCATGGAATCCTCTGTCCTTTCTCCCTCCTTGCTCCTCTCATGCACCGTTATTCTCAGCAGCTTCTTGACTCGTCTGCCCACCCACACTTGCTTCCTCTTAGCCCCTCCAAGTGGGTCATCACACCTACCTCCCCCATGGCTTCCTCTCTCTTTCAGATTCCAAATGGCCCAGGAGCACATGGTGGCTCCTCTGGGGTTATTTACAATTGCTCATGAGTCTGTGGGTTGGCTGGGCGGGTCTGCCCATCTAGAATAGGCTTGGCTGACCGTGGCTGACTGTGGCAGACCTTGGCAGGGTTTGCTCTTGCAGCTGAGGTTAGCTGAAGGCCTCTTGAACCTGTCTGATCTGCAAGGCCTCCCCTTCGTGTCTTGGAGCGCCGTAGCTGTGACCTGAGGTGACAGAGCCCACGCGTCTCTCATCACCCAGCAGACTTGCTCAAGCTTAGTCCCGTGATTGTCTCAGGAGTGACCTTGAGACTCCTCTCAGCACAGGCACCCCGTTACTTCTGCACGGTATATTGGCCAGAGAAAGTCCCAGGCCACCAGCCCAGAATCAAGGAGTAGGGCAATAAACTCAACCTCTAGATGGAGGAGCCACATCTTCCAGGATTTAAGGAGGAGGACAAGCATGGCCTTCTTTGTGAGGCAGCCCTCAGGCAAGCTGTCTTCAGAAGGGTGTGTAAAGGAAGATGTGGCAGCCTTGTTAGGGCACCCTGGGGGTTGGCCTGGGCTCCCTGTGGGAGCAGGGGTATGAGGAGCAGGTCCTGGGAAGCGACAAGCAGGCCAGGTAGACCCGAGCCCACCACCCACAGGCAGAGGGAGCAGCCTGACCCCTCGGCCTCCTGTCCCTCCCCAGGGGACTGGGCCCCAGTGCGGCTGACGGGTGGCAACGGGAGCTGTGCGGGCCGAGTGGAGCTCTTCTACCAGGGCGTCTGGGGGACAGTGTGCGATGACCTCTGGGACCTGCCGGAAGCCAACATCGTCTGCAGGCAGCTTGGGTGTGGCTGGGCCGTCTGGGCCCCAGGCGAGGCCCACTTTGGGGAAGGTTCTGGGAAGATCCTCCTGGACAACGTGCACTGCATGGGAGACGAGCAGCACCTGGAGGAATGCTCCCATGTGGGCTGGTTTTCCCACAACTGCGAGCACAGTGAGGACGCTGGCGTCATCTGCTCAGGTGAGCCCTCCCGACCACGCCTGCCAATGGCAGTGGGAAGCAGCTGCGGAAAATGAGCCAGGACCTTATTGGCTCACAGATGTTTTGGCCCCTCCTTACAGATGCTGAGAACTTGCCGGTCACCCCACCAGGTAGGAAGGGGATGTCTGCCTTTGCACTTTCTCCAAATCTGGGGGAGAGGTTGTGCTGGGAATCAGATGTCCTGTTCTCCGAGTCAGCAGAGGGGCTGCGCTCACCGAGTCGCCTGGTCGTCCCGTGGAGAGATGGAGAGTACCTTAGAAAGCGTGCACCAGCCTCACCCCCAGTCTCTCCTACCCTCTCTCCTGCTCCACTGCGGCTTTGACACACTGGAAGCAGGTTCTAAAGTTCTCAGTCTCTGTATAGCACTTTGGTTTGTCAGTTCGGAGCTTGGTAAGGGGTGGCAAAGAGCTATGGGTAGGGAGTGGTCTAAGGTAAGAGAGTGGCTAAGGACACTTCTTCCTGGGGACAGTGGTTGGCTAAGGACACTTCTTCCTGGGGACAGTGGCTGGCTAAGGACACTTCTTCCTGGGGACAGTGGCTGGCTAAGGACACTTCTTCCTGGGGACAGTGGCTGGCTAAGGACACTTCTTCCTGGGGACAGTGGCTAGTGGACCACATCTGGGCACAAAGTGCCCTCTCTCCCCGCTCTGTCATCTTCCTGGTGCAGCCTAGCCCCACAGAGCTTCCCCTGTTCTTGGTTTCCCCACATGCCCCCATTACTCACACCTGGAGCTATCCAGAGCAGTGCCCGTCTGCCCTCATCAGACCCCAGCACTCAGCCAGCTTGGTCACAAAGACAGTCTTGAACAAAGTTGAGTCTGGGGTCTAGTGAGGTCTCTGCAGTCCCTTCTAAGGTTGTCAGTGCCAGCAGGTGGGAGTGATCATCCCTGGAGAGACTCTCCAGAGGCAGGTGCTGTGCCGGGTGTCACTGGAGGTGAGAAGTTGGGGACACAGAGGACACTCAGCACTCTTAGGTCCTGACTCACCATCTCTAAGCAGCACAAGGTGAAAGGAATCAGTGAATCAGAGCCCTCTCCTGTTCTTACCTTGAAGCCTCATAACTCCCGAACCTTCAGTGACTGGGATTAGCTACAGGAGCCAGAACGTCATAGCTTTGCTTTTCTTCAACCCCAATTTTTAAAATATCTCACTTGTGCATGTAACAAGAGAATAACGCATCAGAGTCTGGGGAGGCTCCAGATCAGTGCTCCCTGCCTCCTGCCCATTAACATCTCCTGCTTGTTCTGGCTACACTCAGAGGCTGGCTCAGCAGTTCTGGGAGAGCCCAGAACCCCACGCTCGTTAGTAGCTCCTTGGAGTCTCGTGTGCCAACAGGAGTGAGAAGCTCAGTGCCAGCTGACGGTCCCTTGTCCTCTGTGTGATTGACAGGTCGCCCGTTGGCCATCCTGGCAGGGACGATGGCTGCAGGTAAGATTTTTGTGTCCTCAGACACATCAATTCCGAAGGGCACCTGCACCCCTATGTTTATAGCAGCACTGTTTACAATAGCTAAGCTTTGGAAACAGCCCAAATGCCCAAAAATAGATGACTGGATCAAGAAGATGTGGTCCATATACACCATGGACTATTACTCAGCATTCAAAAAAGATAAACACACGCAATTTGCAGCAACATGGATGGCGCTGGAAGGGATCATGCTCAGCGAAATAAGCCAGAAAGAAAAAGAAAAATACCGGATGGTCTCACTCATAGCAGGAATCTAGAAAACTTAAATAAGGGACCAGGAAAATGAATAACTATAAGAAAGTGAAAATCAAAATCAACAAAAAATATCAAGCCCTGAAAAGATTCTTCAAGGACATTGAGCAAAATACCGCTGGCCCGTCTGGGTCATCCCATCCCCTGGGAACCTGTGTTCAGAGTGGAGAGTCCACTAATGAGGCCAACGAGCTTATGGTTCCAACTCCGTTTCTATTTAGTCCAAAGAGCAAGCCACGCCAGCCTTCTTGGCCTCCCGGCATGGAGACCACATGTGCAGGACAGGCACGTGGCCGTTAACCGCAGCGTCGCCAGCATGCAGCCGCGTCCACCATGACAAGCTCCTTGTTTTCCCCCTTTCTCTGCCAACCTCTGTCCTCCTCCATCCTCTTTTACCTCTTCCTTTTTTTCCCTTCTGCCCTTGCCGCGATCTTGGGCTCTTAGAAGCTCCACTAAACTTTCTTAGCCCCACTTGGAGATAAAGGGCTAAAAAACTACTGATGCCAGAGCGCCTGGCTGGCCATTCTAGGGCTGAGCCATTGCTGGATGCCCAGGGCCAACCCGCTGGGGGCCCCGTTCTGAGGGTCCGGTAATCCGCTGGGGAAGAGCCAATGGCACAGGTAGTCCTTTGGGACTGAATGTTGGAAAGTGGAGAGGCAGACAAGCAGGACAGACGGAAACAGATGGAGAAACAAATGGACAAAGAGATGGACCAGGGACTCGGAACTTTGTCATCGTCGGAGGGGCCGGTGATGCGGGCAACTGCTTTCTGCTTGGCGGTGGAGATCAACTGTGTGATTTAATAAACGGCAAGCGGCGATAGACGGAGCCCTGCCATCTTCACGCACACACAGGCCGCACCTAGTTCAGCTGTAGGAGGGAAAGTGGAGCAGTTCACTCATTAAACTGACAAACAGCAAAACTGCAGACCCCAGCGCCAGGCAGCCACCGGGGGAAATCTGCAGATAGTGGGTGACAGCTCATTCTGGCAAGCCGCAGTTCGTGGTAGAATCTTCAAAAGAAGTGAGAGAAGTTTCCAAGTTCAGCTGCTTTCATGCCCTAAGCTTGTGAGACCCTTTAGACTTGGGGGCGTAGGCCCCCAAGACACAGCCACAAAGTAATGAAAGCTCTTGGAGAAAAAAAATAACAAAAGAAAAAAGATGTGAATTACAAAACTAGCGAACTGAGCACTGATAAAAAGTAAAATCCTAAAATATCTTTCTCATTTAGAAAACTCTCAGTGTGGCGGTGTCGTCACTAACTCATCTGGGGCGATTCGGAACCCGCCGCAGAACACGATGCATGACAACATCACCTGCGTGTGGGAAATCAGGGCAAACACATCCGAGCACATCCTGCTGGCCTTCCCGTATCTGAAGTGAGTCCCAGCTCCGTTACTTAAGTACGTTGTGCGGTTTATGAAGCCAAGTATTTATTCCCATGGTAGATTTTCATGAGCAAGAGTCCTTTGTGTCTTTTTGAAGTTTTTATTTTGAAGTCACGGAAGACAGACAGGAAGCTACAAAAATAATGCAAAGTCCCATGTCCCCTCCACCTGGCTTCCCCTGAGGCGGCATCCCAGGGCCGTAGAACGTGGCCCAAACCAGAGGTTGACATCATATGAGGTTGTTCTCTGGCTCTAGATCCTGCATGCGTGTGTGTTTGCACTTCTGTGCAACTTGACCCCATGCGTAGATTCATGTGGCCATCGTCACGACCCACGAACAGAACTCTCCCACTACCCTGGAGGAACTACCCGCTACCTCTCCCTGTCCTGGCAACTGCTAATCTGTTCTCTGTGTCCATAGTTTTGTCACTTCCAGAAAGTTTTGGAGTCACAGGGTATATATCATTTTGAGATTGACTACATTTTTAGCCTGGCTTCAAATGGATACAGAGAGCAGCCAAGCAAGCCTATTAAAATTCCCTGCTTTTCTGTGTTAAAAATCTCCAAATACCTCTTTCACTCTCATCTGTTGACATCATGTCATTCAATGACACTGAGCTTTTTAATGTTGGTTTCCACGTTGGTTATTGTCACATAGAAATAGTATTGATTTTCATGTATTTCCACTGATTTTTAAATTAAAATGAAGTCCAATCTATATGTTTTGGATCTGTGTGTGTGTGTGTGTGTGTGTGTGTGTGTGTGTGTGTGTGTGTGTGTGTGAGAGAGAGAGAGAGGAGAAAAGTGTGAGGATAGCCTGCTGCCTGCCTCTTGACTTGCTGGTTAAAGATGCAACTCCAGGCAACCCTCAACCTAATAAACCAGGAAAGTGTAGATTTTAATGTTCCCCAGGAACAACTTAAAGTATTTCTTACTCTTGAACGTGCTCGATCCGAATATGCCTTGGAGGACAGCTCCTTGAGCTGCGGTGTGGAAGGAAGGGACTTCCTGGCTCTAGTGGTCTCTGGACAAAACTTCCAGGGCAGAACAGCAGCCGGCAAATCAGACACTCCCCCACAGCGAGCTTCGGGCAGCTGGACTGCCAGAGCCCGGGGAAGGTGGTCTGGCGGCAGCTGGAGCTGAGCCCCGCTGGTGGGGAGGCAGCCGCCAGCCTCTTCTGGGCTTTCCATCATTGCCTTGTTGGGCCTGGCCCTGCCCTTGGCTTCAGGGTGGCCAGGGGGCCTCGGCAGTGGCGGCTCCATTCCCTTAAGGCTTGACTCCCCAGGGAGAAGGCATCCTCAGGGTGCTGGACTGTGTCAGCACAGGCCCTTACCTCTCCCCACACTCTTCACAGTAAAATATATGGGGTCTGCCTCGCAGCACACCCCTGGATCTGTTGCCGCGGAGAGTGAGACTCACCCCTCCGTGTCTGTGCCCCCAGCCTCGACTGCACCAACGAGTATTTTGAGATCCTGGACGGGCCGCCAGCCTCGGCACAGTCCCTGGGGAAGACCTGCTCCGGCTTCTACCTCACCTACTCGTCCTCCTCCAGCTCCATGACCCTTGTGTACTTCCGCAGCTTCAACAACATAGGGAAGAACTTCATTGCTTATTACTACTCTGTCGCCAAAGGTGAGAACGGAGATGGCTAGCGGACTCTGGAGCTGGCCTGTCCGCGGGAGCCAGCTATGGTCCCTCCACTCACCCTGGGACTTTGGGCAAGAGCTGACCCTCTCGGCCCCCAGCTCCCTGGGTGATGAGGACCCCGGCAGAAACTCCCTCCTCCACCTGCGTGAGGGTTTCCCGGCCTGACGCAGCAGCAAAGGCCTCAGCTTGTGGTCGTTCATCCTAAATGCTCGCGGGCTGCTTAGGTTCACACCAGCACCTCACGGCAGTCAGTGAAGCAGCCATTTCAGAGGTGTCTGAATCTAATCATAGTGGTGGCTCACAACCTCCACTCCGGCCCAGCATGTGCGATCAAGACAAACACGTGGCAAAACGCAGGGGCAGGACAAGTTACTGAGCTCAGGCCAGCAAGGCGAAGCGCTGACGCGGGCAGGCCCCGCAGCAGAGACACTGGGAGAGACGCCCCGGAGGCTACGCTAGTGAGGAAGCCGCGGTGGGAGCCGCCCATACAGCTGACTTGAGAGCTGGCTGGGAGGGGAGTGGAGAGATTGGGAGGGGACCCCACAGGGGAGAGGTCTGAGCAGGGGAGAGGTCTGTAAGGTGTGTGGGGAGAAGGCAGACGGAAGCTAAGCCAAGGGCTTCTGGTGAAGCGCTGTGGGCAGGGGCTTAAGTAGAATCAGTGAGCAAAATCTGATGTTTACCACATGCCTGTGATATGCCGGCGACATTTTAAGCACCCGACATGCGTGACCGCCATCATTCTCACCAACTGTGGCTCATCCCCGTTTACAGATGAGGAAAGTGAGGCTTGAGCGCATCAGTGATTGCCTTGTGGCCCCCGGGGTGTGTCCTGCAGTGTTGACCACTGAGAGGAAAGAGCTTGGGCTGGTTGGGCTGGGGGACTCACGCAGAGTTCCCTCCAGCATGCACCGTCCAGATGCTGTGCAGAAGTCTCCTGTTCTTTTAGCAAGCTCGGAGTGACTCGCAGGGAAGCGTGAAAAAGGGCAATGAAGCAGGGGAGGGGCTGGGTCACCGAGGGGACCAGGGAAAGTCAGGGTCGTGGGCGTTCGAGTTATTGACCATATGTTCGTTCCTGTACTTGCAGACGCAGGCTCACGGCCCCCACACCTGATGTGTAAGTCATGTTTAATGTTACGTAATCCTCCCTCGTCTGTGTTTCTTCTTCTGCCCCCACTCCTGTTGACTTCCCGTATGTTTCCTGGTTTCCCGCACAAATCTGCTATAGCTGAGAGATCCTGTCTGCACACTTTTTGCACAAGTCTGACACTGGGACCCAGTTACATGCACAGGCACCTTGGAGATATTGCAGGTTTTGCTTGAGACCACTGGCAATGTGGCGAGGCATGCATTCTGGGTTCCCAAAGTTGTGTTTGCACGGGATTGTAGCCTATTCAGTAGCAAAGGCTGATGTCCAGCGTAGCAAGGAACACATCTTAATTGAATGGGACCCAAAGACACAAAGCCAGCCCATGCTGCTGGAAAAACAGTGCCAGTAGATCTGCTTTGTGCAATTGCCTCACACCTTCCATTTATAAAAATGCAATACCCGTGATGCTCAAGAAAGTAAAGCAATAGAGCAAGATGCAGGGATCCAGGGGTGGCAGGGATCCTGGATCCCTGCATCTTCTTGATTTCCTGACTCTTTGGTTCTATCAAAGACAATCAAACACGCCACGATTTGAGAAAGTTCCCCAAACAGAAGCACCCAGCAGAACCACTGTTTGCCCCAAAGGCCACTCATTGTGAATGTTTGCACCTTGGCACAGAGGGCACAATTTAAATGCCATTGTATTTCCAGTGACAGGGCAGAAGAAGGGAATGCTATTGCTGTTGGATCCCACACAGTTTTTCCCACCTGAGAAAAAACAAAACCCACCTATAAAAATAAAGTTTGATGTGGGTGGGCTACAATGATAAAGGTGTAGGCAGAACAATTAGCAGAATCTTAATGGACACATCTCAGGGTGCTGCATCTTGATGTGCCCAATGTCACCGAAGTGTCCCCTTGTATCCACAGCTCTCCTGACAGCAACACCCAAGGTGGTGACCTCCAGGCCAGGTAAGCCCTGGAAATGTCCCTTCACTATCAAGGGTCCTCCCATGCAGTGGCTGCATTTGTTTCTGTGTGTGGATGTTTCGAGGGCAGAAGGCAGACCAAGTCGCACAGCTCAAATGTTAGCCCTGGGCCAGCTGACTTGATGCCAACTTTAGAGGGCCATCCACAGTCTTCCTGGTTGACTCTGACCTCCCAGAGTGAACAAAGTTCATTTCTTCAGAGTCCTCAAAGCCTGGGCAGCTTACGGGTGCCTTGGAGGGGAGGACACCTGCCTTTTCTTTATGTGGCCAGTCCTGCTCAGAATCAACTTACCTGCATCACTAATAGACTTTTTTATTGATATATATTTTTACATCGTTGTTCGTTCTTTCAGGTGTAATCCCCACAAAATTCCGACCACCAAGACACCTGTGACCCATCACCATAGTTTCTTTTTTTTTAAAAAAAGATTTATTTATTTATTCATACAAGAACTGGGGTATAGGCCAGAGGTGTGGGGGTGAGAGGATTCACCAGAGCCAGAGTGGGGAGCAGAACAGGCAGATTGAGTGAAATACACTGCTGAGGGGAGCAGCGGGGAGACAGGAGAGGTCTGCTGTGCCATGTGGGTCAGCTCCCTTGACAGGGATCGAACTCGTGCTGCAGTGGCTGCGGACAGCTTCATAGGTTGCGTCTTAACCCCTTGCACCACCACGGAGGCCCTATCACCACAGTTTCTTGTGCTCTTCCCGCCCCTGTTTTGATCCCTCTCCCTCCCTCTCCCCAGATGAATGTCTCTGATTTATAGTCTGCCCTGCTAGTTTTATCTTTTTCCCCCCGATATCTTGTTTAGTTTCCCTATGTCCCTCCTATAAGTGAAACCAACCCATGTTTTTCTTTTTCCTTCTGGCTAATTTCACGGAGCATGATCCTTTCCAGCTCCATCCATGTTGCTGCCAATGGCATGAGTTTATCTTTTTTGATTGCTGAGTAGTATTCCACCATGTATATGTGCCACCTCTTCTTGAGCCAGTCATCCGTCTTGGGGCATTTAGGTTGTTTCCATATCTTAGCTATTGTAAATGCATCAATATTAGATGTTTGCAAAGCAAGGAGTGTGCTAATGCCATTCCAGGGACCGCGAGATGGACTAGCAAAGGAAATAATAATGAAATTTGGAGCCAGGAGACCTGAGATTAGAACTGCTACTCACCAGATGTGGGGTTGGGGTAGCTCCCTTCATGTCTTTAATGTTCAGCCTGTTCACACATAAGCCCAACAGACTGGTACTCTTCTGCTCGCCTTCCCGAGTTACTATAAAGGTGAACATACACTTACACACACACACACACACACACACACACACATGCACACACATACCCAAATCACTCCACAAAATAACAAATCGTTGTGCAAACTATTTACAATGATTTTCTGCATTTAGTCACAGCAGATTGGCATACACATCTGGCAAAATTGTCCCCATCCAAGTATGTTTTAGCCTGAATATTATTTTGACAATCTTAGGGACTTACCAGCCTCAGCTAGGAGTCTGGCTTGTTGGCTGACCTTTTATCCAGTTCTCCATCCCTCGTGGTCATGTGGGGTTGGGGTGCTCCAACCGCTCCTGGGGTGTGAGCAGCACCCAGGGGCTTCAGTCACCCGGTCTCTGTCCACAGGAGACTGGCCGGAGCTGCGGCTGGTGGGCGGCTCGGGCCGCTGCTCCGGGCGCGTGGAGGTCCTCTACCAGGGGGCCTGGGGCACCGTGTGCGATGACCTGTGGGACCTGAACGAGGCGGAGGTCGTGTGCCGGCAGCTGGGGTGCGGCCGGGCCATGTCTGCCCTTGGCAAGGCCCACTTTGGCCCGGGCTCTGGAGACATCTTCCTGGACAACCTCCAGTGCGCGGGGGTGGAGCGTCACCTGGGCCAGTGCGCCCACTCGGGCTGGCGGGAGCACAACTGTGGCCACCACGAGGACGCCAGCGCCATCTGCTCAGGTAACCTCTCCTCTTCCAGGTGGTCACTGCCAATCCCCAGGTACTCCAAGACCCCATGCTGGAATTCAGAGGTAGCCGGGGGCAAAGGCGGGATCTGCAAACACATGGCACTAGATGTTTACTTCATCTCTTCTAACTTGGTTAATTATCTAGCAATAAAACCCACTCATTTTCTAATTGGTCGTAGGAATTGCCAAAGGTGTGGGTGCTTTACTAAACACAGACATGTGCAAAGAGCATGCTTGGCTGTGGGGACTTGCAAGACACTTACCTTAAAGGCCAGAGGCAGACAGGCCTGAGTCTGGACCTCAGGGCCAGTGACAACCCTCAGTCTGCCTTTGGGTGACACGTAAACTCTGAGAGCCATTGCATCATCCTCTGGAAAATTAGGACATGAATTGCTTCCTTGCAGGGTTGCTGATGGCCTGACACCATCTTTATAAAGCTCTCGGTAGTGCTGACAGAAGGGATGCCCATCTGTGACTTCTTTCCCTGCCGTGTTTCTCACTTAATCCCAATGCCAAGGAGACCATGACTAAAAGGGCTACTCATCTTGTAACAATTCCTTTAAATGCTTTGGACTTTCTCATGTGCAAAAAGCTGGCTAGGAGTTAGTCACCTCTGGTGTGTCTATTAATAATCTTTTCCATAATGAGATGCTTTTCATAAACTGACAGCTGTAACACCAGGTGAGAGTTTAAGGAATCAGTAACTATAAAATGAGGCTGCATGTGTTTCCCTGAGATGCCATATAGGGAGCAGGTCAGCAGGATGTCGGCATCTGCTACCTGAGGCTTAACCTGAGGTGAGGCCTAAGGGCCCTGTTGTGTTTGTGGATCCATCCCTTTCCTCTGTGACATCTTGTTACACAGCATGTCTAACTTAGTTACAGCTTCATGGGCTGCCCGTTATTCCAGAGATTCAATGTTCTGGAGGATTGTTGTTCAAACCTGAAGTCCCCCAAAGTGAAATTCACATGGTACAAAAATGCATAGTTCAAGTCATGTCACCCCAAATGTAGCCTTCGAATCTGGCCATTTTCTCATGACACAGTAACACCAATAACCAGAGAAAGGCGTTGTTTTGTGTCCAGGGATGAGTCTGGCTCTTTTGGTTCTTTCAAGGGACTAATTTTTCTCACATCAAATGAATAATCTCTTAGAAGGATGTAATTCAAACCTTTGCTTCCAGTGATTAGAATCAGGATTTCTGAAAAATACTGACATGTTGCTTCTCTACACAAACAGATGCTGAAGAGTCAATTATTAACAGTCCAGGTAGGTCACACGTTTTTTATGGGACTTAAAAAATATCAGCTGTTTTTCATTGCCTTTGGGATATTTGTTCTTATGGCTGAGTCCACTGTCCAAGCAGCAGAGTTTTCACCACTGGAGATGGCTTTGGAAAGTCTTGTTTGACTTACTCGTGGGTTTTGTCCATGTGATGATACCTCTGTGTGTGTGTGTGTGTGTGTGTGTGTGTGTGTTTGAGTCCCTGTTTTTAAGAGCACTTGTAAATGTGTGTGTCCATCCATGCACTTTAAAAGTATGGGTAAGTCCATATACATTTTAGAGACACATGCAGAAGTGAAGGGCCATCTCAGGGCCCGCTTGTATAAGCTGTTCCCTCCTGCCCAAGGCCTCTCCCTGCCTCTCCCCTGCAGCTCCAACTGCCCCAAGAGGAGACTTTCCACCCCCACTACTAGTTTCTTTGGAGCACAGCACCTGTTCTCTTTCTTCACTGTGTTTATTACCATGTTGAGAAAGCATTGTGCCGGTGTTTATATTTAACTAGTAATAGACTGTAGGTTCCCTGAGGGCAGGAGCCATATCTCTTTGGTTGATAAGTATGGCATCAGCACCTAACCTGAAAGGCAATGCTGCTGAACTGAAATTAAACTGGCTGAAGATCCTGCAGCGCTAACTCAGGAGCACACAAGAAGTGGAGGAACGAGTCCCGAGGTTCAAGACAGTGCATGTTACTTCCTGCCCACCATCTTGCTCCCAGAGGCCTGGTGGACCAGAGGCGCCTCACACACCCCACCTCTGTCCACAGGAGACTGGCCGGAGCTGCGGCTGGTGGGCGGCTCGGGCCGCTGCTCCGGACGCGTGGAGGTCCTCTACCAGGGGGCCTGGGGCACCGTGTGTGACGACCTGTGGGACCTGAACGAGGCGGAGGTTGTGTGCCGGCAGCTGGGGTGCGGCCGGGCCATGTCTGCCCTTGGCAAGGCCCACTTTGGCCAGGGCTCTGGAGACATCTTCCTGGACAACCTCCAGTGCTCAGGGCTGGAGCACTACCTGGGCCAGTGCTCCCACTCCGGCTGGCATGAACACAACTGTGGCCACCATGAGGATGCCGGCGTCATCTGCTCAGGTAGCTGCCCCGGCCAGGGAGGCCATTTCTGATGTGGTAGAGGACATTTTGCAACTATGCAGACCAAATGGGACTTTTGACCATCCCTCCGTGCGCCCATTCTTTCATCAAATAATCCTGGGGCACCTACCCAGCACCCCTGCCAGGGCAGCTCCAGGTTGACTGGGGAGTCTTGAAGGTTAGTGTGCACCAGCACTGCCTGGGGCACTGAAGTGCAGATTCCAGGACCCCCAACCCAGAGACTATGACTAATGAGGTCAGATTGGACTCAAGTTTGGCACAACAAGCCGTCTGGGTGGGTCAGCATGAGGGGAGGGGCCAAGGGAAATCTAGCCCTGGCCACCCTGCCATGAAGCAGAGTTGACCTAGTTCTGAGCCTCTGACCTCCCACCCCCCAGGCCAAGGACCCTAACAGAGGAGGCTGGGGTTGCCCAGGGGACAGCTCAGGTGTTCAGGGTTCCCCTTCAGCCCTCACCTGCACCCCAGGAGGCTTTGGATTTACTAAATAGAGTGAATGACTTACCGCCTTTCTTTGTACATTCAGATGCGGAAGACCTGCCCCCTCCCACACCTCCAGGTAAGTGCTTATGTTTTTCCCTAGTCCAGACAACTGTTGTAATAAAAATTAAAATAATAATAGCATTAAATGCTATTATTTCAGACGCTAAGAACCAGGCACTGCTCTGAGCCTTCACGTACACATCTCATTTAATCCCTACAGTGATCCTTTGAGGTAGGGACTCTGGTTTGTCCTGCCTTCTGGAGAGCCACAGTGAGACCTACGAAGTTAGTCCCATGCCCAGGGCTGGCCTGGGCTCAGATGCCAGCTCGCCAGACTCTTGGCACCAACCTCACTTACCACCCTGTGCACTGGTCCCAGCTACCCACAGGCCAGGCCAAGTTAATGCAAAAATAAGGAAAGAGTCACTCCAGTTACTGCTAATGCACAAAACAGTTCTGGAAAAAGGCACTTTCTATTCTATTTTGTGAAGAGGTGCAAAAATGTTAAAGCACTTTCTTGAGCTCGCTCAGCAAGTTAATGTAGAGCCAGTTTTGATGCTGACCCATCTCCCCCCAAAGTACATGCTCTCAGGGATCTTAAGACTTTTGCTGTTTCAAAGATTGTTTAACTTAAGGACTGAACGGTGTTCATCTGTAATGCAAACCAAAGAATAGAGAAAGCAGAGCAGCACATGCAGTGCAACCCGGCGGGGTGCCGAGGTGAGTGGCAGGCCCCTCCTCTGGTGGCAATGCACAGAGGCAGAGCAGCAGGCCAGATGCGGGGCTTTCTGATCCCTTTCTGAATCCTCGCAGCTGAGAATTAGGGCAATCGAGAAACTTGCTCAAGGTAACTCGATTACACAGTAACAGAATGGGACTTGTAAATCTGGCCTTCTGTCTGTGTCCCCACAGCACCCAGAGGCCACCCAGAGGCTCAGGTCATGGGCAGAAGCACCTCTCGGGCCCCTGCCTAGAGATACCTTGATGTGACCTGGCGTTTCTGGGGAAGGGCCAGCTTTACACGTAGGGGTCACAGGTGAGAGGGCAGGGCCAGCTAAAGTTAGTGTCAATGGCGGCGACTATGCCAGTGAAGGCTCCCCTGGGAGTTCCTCATGGAACTCAGCTCAGCTGAGACCTATGCACATGATGGGAAGTGAGGAAGACCGTGTTGATGGAGAGAAGCCATTCTGGTTACTATGGCTACTTCACAACCCACTGGTTTCCAACCAGCATTGAGGTGTATGCTCTGGTTTGGAATCAGAGATTTGAGGAGAGATTCTGCTGGCCCACGTGGTGCTGAGCAGGGCTCCTGGGGCGTCCACCTGGAGGGTCCAGGATGGCTCACTCACGTACCCCGCTCCTCCGCGGCCCCTCCTGTCCAGGTGGTCTTGGGATGTCTTCACCTGGTCTCCAGCAGGGAGTCAGAGCCTGTGAGGAGGCCCGGGGAGCCAGGAGCACCCAGTGGTCCAGGGGCAGGAAGTGAAGCTGTTGGTCTCGTGAGCACCGTGTTCTCTTGCCCCAGGCCATGGGCTAGAGCAGCCTTGGAGCTCACCCAGGTTCTGGGATGGGGACCTCGACCCCACCTCGTGACAGGAGCACGCCCCAGACCTGAGGCCTCCTTCAGTCTGCCACAAGAATGTGGAGAACACAGTAGTCTCCCCACTTTCCACAGCTTTGCCCTCCATGGTTTCAATTGCCTGCTGTTAGCTGCAGCCTGAAAATATTCTGTACAAGAAGATGTTTTGAGAGATAGAGAGAGATGAGCCCACATCCACATAATTTTTTTACAGTACATTGTTGTAATTGTTCTACTTTATATTCGTTATTGTTGCTAATCTCTTATGGTGTCTAATTTGTAAATTAAACTCTGGTGTAGATGTGCACAGGTAGGAAAAAACAGAACATGTATATTAACAGAGTGGTAGTATCTGCACCCCTGCAACTAGGAATAGGCACCTCCTGGGGACCATGGAATGTATCCCCCACAGATAAGGGGGGACATCGTGTTCCCCCAGCACCCTCAGGCTCAGTGCACTAGGTCCATTGATATTTCTAAGGAAAATCTTTCTATTTCACTGACTTGCAGATGAGACTCAGTCCTTTCCCCTGCATGTCATCATCATCTTTCTTTTTCTTCCTTTTCAGGTCTCCCTTCAGTTTCTCAGGATCATATTCCAGGTAGTCACTTGTTTTAAGTTGGAATGGTAACTCCACACCTTTCCCGCCTCATGCCAAGCTGTGGGCGTGCTGCCTTCTGGGGTGACGTGAGTGGTTTCGTGTGGACACAGGACGACGGTCTTTTTCCTGTTGTTTTAGGAGGAGACCATTCTTGTGGCGGGGTCATCTCCAGCTTCTCTGGCTCGTTTTCCAGTCCGCTGTACCCGGACAACTACCCAACAGACATGCAGTGTGTCTGGGAGATCCATGTGGATAAAAACTTCCGCATAGAACTTGTGATCCCAAGTTTGAAGTAAGAAAACTCTTTAAGGGAAGATTCTAAGAATATTGGTTTGCAAAATCATAATTAACTTGTTGCTTTTAGTGGGAAACATTGAAGGATAAAACCAGAAGAATACAAAGTTCTTTCCAAGTTGAAGTTTAGGTTATTTTATCATGCTGTCCGATGAGATATTTCTTGCTTGAAAAACACAGTAAGTGGCTTATTAATATATTTGACTTAATCTTCTTCTGATAGTTTCTCTTTTTGATTTTTTTTCTAAGAAGATCACAAAACCCTCCTTCCCAGTTTTATCCTTGCACACTGAATACCAATATTTATCCTCTTGGACCTTCTTTTTCCTTTATCTAAATTGTAAACAAACAGAGAGAGACTTCACACACACACACACACACACACACACACACACACGCTGACTTCACGTGATGTGGTCTCTGCGTCTTCTAAATGTCGCCACAGAGTGAAAGGAGATGGTAGAGTCATCGCCTCCCGAGACAGCAGGAGAATAAATTTCCCAATGTCACTGTCATTTTTTATCTCTGTGACGTAAAGCAGTAGCCTGCATTTTTCGGTGCTGGCTGTCTGCCCAGCCTCTGTACTCCACCCTTTGTAGGCTTTGTCCTATTCCAGCACCACTCCAGTCCCAAGATAGGTGTCCTTGTTGTCACCCGAGATGAGGACACTGAGGCTTAGCATTAGCCCAAGGTCAACCCTCTGTATCTGCCTGAAGTAGAAGACTCAGCTTTTCACCTGTACATGAGGCTACAGGCCAGGTCTACACGAAGCCCTTCTTGTACATGATACACGTCGCACTGTAAGCCCAGCAGTACCGTGGAGCACTATGATAACCTGTCTCTAGCTGAACTGTTGAATTCTGCTGAATTACTGCTGGGTCCCTGGCGTCAGACATGCCTGTACCAAAACATACCCTAAACACTGGCTACCTTTGTTGACTAAATCTCTAAGGACAATGAAGTGGGAACCTTGAACACATGCCCCCCAAACCTATCATATTCTCAATTATCTCCCGCTTAGAGTCACCCCACATACGCTTCCCTTTTGAATAATTGCCAACACGCAAATACCTTTAATATGCTGCCATTGTTTTTATTTTAAAATCAATTTTTTTCTTCCTTAGAATTTGGATATTGACAATGTCATAAAATATAGAGGTAGGAAAATCTGTGTTGTCAATTACAAGCTGATCATTGAGTGATTTGACTGTTAAGAATGTGTTTTCAGTGGATGTTATATTTCCTAATGTTCCATGTACGTTGTGATGAAACAAAACCATTATGATTTTAAATTTCTTCATGCTAAGTTGTAACCATAAACTTCACACATTCCACACACAAACAAGAGTTCTGATAGTATGGCATCAAGTTAATAAAGGTTAATTAATATTTTATATATATTATGTGCAATGTAAAGTGTGGATTCCAAATCTTTAATCCTATGATTATCATACTTTTTAATAAAACTGTAAGCTTGAGGAGGTTCTAACCTGCCACCGACTCTCCACTTCAACTCCCCAGACTAGAGGACATACTCGGATGCCCCTATGACTCCGTTGAAATCTTTGATGGCCCCAGGATTGCCTCTCTCTCCATGGGGAAGTTCTGTGCCTCGGTCGCCGTGATGTTTTTCTCCTCCTCAGACATCATGACAGTGGTGTTCCGGAGTGACTCTATGATCACCAACACCGGCTTCTATGCTCTGTTCAATGCTATTCCACAGAACGAAATGGAGGCAGGTAGGAAGATTCAGAAGATTTTTGGTCTTTAAGAGACAATGGATTTTTAATTTGGAAGACCCACCTATTAGCAGAGGTCTGGATTCAGTTTTAAAAGATTCTCGCAGTTAGCCTCACAAGCCATGCTTCATAACAGCTAGATTTTTCCCAACTAACAGTTGAAATAGGGCAGCAATGTCCAGCCTGTGTATGCATGGACTAGCTTCTCCTGTCTGCAGGGTATGACAAGCTCTTGCGGCTGCATCTCTTCCGTCATTGGGGAGCTGTCCAGAGCGCTGAAATCCAGAAGCCACGCTTTCATGAAGACTCAATCCACCAGCAGGCCCACATCACACCTTGCATGTAGCAGACTCTAGATTCACTCAAGTGAGAGGCTTGGACACTCCTTCAACCAGGGCCCTAGAGGCACTCATTCCTGATTCAGGTCAACTTGCAGCCAGTTAGCATACTGCCTCTCAGTTGTGACCTCTGATGCTGCAGGACATCAGAGACAATAGGAGTCCCAGTAATTCAGGTCACCAGGAAAGCAGGTAGTCCATTCCTGGCTGCAGTTTGGGGAGGGGTTTTGGCTTTTGCATCTGAGTAAAAGAATTCAATAGATATTTTACTCTCAACAGCGTGTTTGAGACCTTGTTGTAGGGAGGCTAAATAAGGCTCAAGATTTGAAATCTATACTATTTATTAACTTAACATCACCGTTCACTTATCCAACAACATTTACTGAGGTCCTACTGTGTGTCAAGACCAGTTCTAAGTGCTGGGAACCCTGAACAACAGCAAAATGCTGTTCCTAAATGGAGTTTACAGTGGTATGAATGGGGACAGGGGTGGAGAGATCAAAACACAAGGAACAAATAATAAATAAGATGATTTGGGGTGGCAATAAGGGTTGGGAATTAAACTCCACGTGGATGGTAGAGATTGTCTTGGAGTGAAAGAGCTTCCACTTTGGGTTGGATGGGAGTGGGTGGCCTTGTTGAAGAGGTGACACATGAATGACAGTGAGGGGCATTCTCAGCAGAGAACAAGCAAGTGCGTAGACTCTCAGGGAAGAAAGAGTTGGACATGATGGAAAAGCAGAAAGAAGGCCAATGTGGCAGAGCCCATGGGCACAGTAGAGAAGCTGTCCCCAGGGCGTCTCCAGGACCAACAGGCCATCCCAGCTGGCCACAGTCCATCATCCCAGAAATAGCCATACCCATGAAGTTTTATGAAAACATAGAAACGCTTTTGGCCCAGGTGCCTTCAAGAAAGTAAATGTGCATTTATTCATGCATAAAACATGTCCAAAAAAGCAGCTGGGAATCCACTTCCCCAGTAACCCAGCATAGTGACACAGAAGACCACATGGCAAGACCTGCAGAAGCTACAGTGTCCTCGGTACTGAGGCTGGCTTTGTATTCACACTCCCATTGGCTCATCACCCCAGCCTCTGGTGGTGTGCTGCTAAAGCCCCCATTTCACAGATGGGGAAACTAAGGCCCAGGAAGGTGAAGGAACTTGTCAAAGGTTACAAAACTGGGCATCAGTAGAGCTGGGATTCAAACCCACCTTTGTCTCACTCTTAAGCCCTAAGCTCAACCTGTTATGGGTATCAAGACGGCCTAAGGCTTTGCTCTTGTGTATGCTTGCTCTAGCCGCAAACATGGGAGCTAAATATCCTTCCTACTTAAAATAAGATCCTCCTCTGTTTAGATAATGGGCCAGAGCTGCGGCTGGTGGACGGTTCTGGACGGTGCTCTGGACGCGTGGAGGTCCTCTACCAGGGGACCTGGGGCACCGTGTGCGACGACCTGTGGGATATGAATGAGGCTAAGGTCGTGTGTCGACAGCTGGGGTGTGGATGGGCCATTGCTGCCCCTGGAAAAGCCCATTTTGGCTCAGGCTCTGGAGACATCCTCCTGGACAACATTCAGTGCTCAGGGAATGAGAACCACCTTGGCCAGTGCCCCAGCTCCGGCTGGTCAGACCACAACTGTGGCCACCACGAGGATGCAGGTGTCATTTGCTCAGGTAACTCTCCTATGTGGGGTTCTTTCCTACCTTGCAGCAGCATCTTAGTGATGGGTGGGAGGTGTGCCCAGCAGGCCAGGGGAGCTGATGACGGTGGGTGGCCCAGCCCATGAATATCCCTTCGGTCAGGTTGGCAGAGAGCACCAGGAGCCCAACTCCCCTCTGAGGATGGCCATAGTGGGGACACAATTGGCAGGTCCCATTCTCTGCAACCTCTCCCAGGTCTGGAGCTGCTTTTCCAAAATTTAAACCTGCCATTATTCTTGTTTGAGTGCCATGAAGTCAGACCTGCTCTTCCTATAAAATCACCACTGTGTCATCATAGAACTTAATTTACATTTCCTAAATCGACCTTCTTTTATGCATGCAGATGCTGGAGACTGGGCTCCAGAGGTGACTTCCACACCCCCAGGTAGGTCTAACACTGAACTTCCAGGATCTTTGCAAAGGAAATAAGAAGTCCAAGCTCTGTCTGACCTGGACATTGGAGGACAGATGCCCAGGGAGTTTTAGAGATTCCTGATGCCCGGCGTGCACTTTAGGCCAGCCACAGCAGAATCTCTGGGGTCACACCTACTCGCCAGTAATGGTTAAAGCTCCCCTGTGCTTCCAGAGTGCAGCCAAGGCTGAGAGTCTGTAACACTGACAACGAGCTAAGCGCCAAATTTCCCAAATGAAATAACATCTAAAACGCTCCTCTCTGATCAGCAAAGTGAGGAAGGGCAGGAAGGGTAGGAGGATGAAGTTTCCATCAGCAGGTTGAGCAGAGGCTCCGTCTGGAAAGGAAAGAGGGGAAGGTGTGCCTCTGGGGACAGGGTTAGGAAGCACAAGCTCGCAGGAAACAGAGATGCGCAGCACCAAACTCCCCGTGGGGCATGAGCAGACTCGTGTGAGAAGTGAAGCCACTTGGGGCTCCTCTGTGGCCTCCTGGCTTGGCCCGCGCCCCACAGGAGGCGGGGAGGGGCAGACCCTCTCTGTCACCCATGCCAGGTCATGAGCCGCGGTGACCTCCCAAACACAAGGCCCAGCTGACCAGAGCACGCGTGGCCCTGGTGCCTGCAGCTGGTGCCCAGGTCCCCCCAGCCTGCTCCCCACCCTGCCCACGGGGCCCTTGGGGTCCGATGAGTCTGCGCTGTCTGTGTCTGTGACTTCCTGCTGGAGGGAGGGAGAGGCTGCACCCCAGAGGGGGAGAAAAATCCAACGAGTGAATCCACACCATGTGTTAAGACTCAAGGGCAGTCCCAGCTTTGTTCGTGTACTTGGGTATAAGATGATTTGATGAGGTGAAGCACTTCTAATTATTTCTGGTTTTGATTTTTGTAGCTGCGGTTCTGCCGGTCCCCGTGCGACAAGGTAACGCTTTCAGGGAAACTATAACCTGTGGAGGACAGACTCTCTGATCATGCATAAATGCCAAGTAGACACGTGTCTGTCCTGGCGGCTGAGGGGCAGGGCGGGGGGTGGAGCCTTGCAGCGTGTGCATGGTCTGCAGCTGAGGTGGGCTGGTTTGCGTGGCAGGAAACCACGTGTCCAGGCCCTTCTTCAGGCTCACCTCTGCTCGAGTTTAGGGTCCTGCCCTCCAGCCTCATGCCTTTCCTCCTCCCTCATCCCCTCTCAGGGGTTCAGTCACTCCCCAGCTAAGCCACAGCTGTGTCTGCACCAGCCCGGCCCTCCCCCTGTGACTCCACTGTTGAGCGCGATGGGGTGTACATTCTACATCTGGGAAAATGCAAGGTGCATGCTTGATGCAGCCAACAGGGGTCTCTTGTCTGCCGCTACAGGAGGAAGTAATTCTTGTGGAGGGGTGATTTCAAGTCTCTCAGGCACCTTCTCCAGCCCCTGGTATCCAGCAAACTACCCCACAGACGTGGAGTGTGTCTGGGTGATCCACGTGGCTGAGAAGTTCCACATCGAACTGAAGATCCCAAGTCTGAAGTAATCAGCTTCGCCTTTCTCTGCGTCACAGGCCAGATTAGATTAGATGCTTTCCTCGAAGAGCTGGTCTTTGTCTTGTGGGACGGCTAGACCAAATGCCACAAACTTCATAAATAATAGAAGTGTAGTCCTCAAGGTGCTGAGACTGGGAAGTCCAAGATGAGCACACATGTCCACACACACACACACACACACACACACACACACACACACACTAGCTTTGCTTCATGGTAGATTTGTCAAAATTGTATCCGTATTTTTAGATGCCATTTCAATCTTGCCAAGTGAAATGCGCCCTGTGTTCTAATGAAGTGACTTCTCAGAGTGTCACTCACCTGCTATTGCCACACTGTTCTCACCGTGTGCACTCGTGTTATCCCTTTTTCTTAATTTAAAAATGGGTTATTTTTAGGTGTTTGGTTCTTAACTTCACTGGAATGATGTGTCCTGCAAAATAGGTTTTAAAAATTCAACAGTTTGAGTACAAGTGTAAGTATGTCCTTTGTGTGTGTGTAGACTATATGCGTATAGTTTGCATAGATCATGCAGTGAGGATGTATAATGTATGCGTCGGAGGCTACCTACTGTTGTTTAAATGCAGGAGTTCACAGCTCACATTTTTATCGTGTTAGATAATTAGATGTTCTTTAAATGTCTATTTGTTGAGCCCCTGGAAGGTCTAGGAATGGGTTTACAGTGACAAAGGAGACAGACAGACTCTCTGCCCAGGGGAGTTTATATACTGGGTGTGAAGACAATAATCAACAACTCAGTGGAGGGCGTTGATGAATACTGTGAAGAAAAAAATATGTGCGCGTATGGTACAGGAAAGAGGGTGAAGACAGCGTTAGGTGGGTCAGCCAGGGCTGGCAGCTCTGATCGCCGAGGTTGGGTGAGACGAACATGAAACACGAGATTTAACCCCGGGTAGTTTTGGGTGCTGGAGACGAGAGTCCTACCCAACCCAACAGGACCCTGGAACTTTGATAGCCACCCCTTTTTCTCCCTGCTCTGGGTCTTCTTAGCGTTTTGCTCAGTGAGACCCTGATGGACACTGTCCAGCACTTTCCCGTACCCCCGGGAGTACAGAGTTTGAATTACAGAGTAGGAGTTTCAACGTAGAGAGGGTGATGGTGGGAGAGACCAAAAGCCATCAGGCCAGTTGGCAGGTGACAGAAATGGCACAGGTGAGAGGTGATGAAAAGCCAGTGGCATGGGGCCACCCCCCTAGGGGAGGCGGGAGGGCAAGTCCCCTGTCGTGTGTGTGGTGGTGTCCGGGGGGGGACGCAGGTGCTGGCTGGATACCACGGGGATGATTTTATTTAGACCCTTTCTCCAGACCCCTCCAGGAGCTTCCCCTGCTTCTTCCCCTCAGGCTGGAGGACATCTACGGGTGCCCTTACGACTTCATCGAAGTGTTCGATGGGCGACAGAGAGCCTCGCTCTCCATGGGCAGGTTCTGTGCCGGGGCAGACCTCACGTTCTTCTCCTCCTCGAACATCGTCACTGTGGTATTCAGAAGTGACGCCATGATCACCAACACGGGCTTCTATGCGCTGTACAACACGGTTCAGCAAGAAGAGCGTGAGAGCGGTGGGTATCCTGACGCGTACCTGGAGGCGGCCAGACCTAGTCTGGCTCCTTTGCCTGTAGGAGTGGAGATGCTTCCTGAATGTGCCCTCTGCAGTCTGCCCCATCAGGAACATCCACGCTGACACTCACAGCACCCCAGCCCAGCCCCCACCCTGCCCGACGCTCACGTCACTTTTCTTGGGTTCTGCAGCAGGAAATGGGGGAGCAGGAGTCCCAGCTTATGGTTGCAGTGACCATGTAGTTTACCTTTCAATCAGGATGCCTTTGGGAGTTTTTGAAAGGGCCCTAAGATAAGTAACAGGCGTTGATTGATACAGCGTAAACCTGGACTATTGCAGACATATCGGGACACAGGGCACCCTACTTCCAGGCCGGCAGTTTATTATGGAAAAATGCGCCAAAGGCTGGAGAACATTCTCACTTTGCAGACGGCCCTGGAGTCTGGGGACAGCCCCGTCACTCAGAAGCCAGTTTTCCCGCCCCCAGGTGTGTCGCTGAGGCTGGTGAATGGCAGCCACAGGTGTGAGGGCCGGGTGGAGGTCCTCTACAACGGCACCTGGGGCACGGTGTGTGACGACAGCTGGGACCTGACGGACGCCTGGGTGGTGTGCCAGCAGCTGGGCTGCGGCCAGGCCCTGTCAGCCCCCTCTCAGAGCTACTTTGACGGGGGCATGGGCCACATCATGCTGGACGACGTGCAGTGCACAGGGAAGGAGGCCAAGGTGTGGCAGTGCCTGCACAATGGCTGGTTCTCCCACAACTGTGGGCACCAGGAGGACGCCAGCGTCATCTGCTCCGGTGAGCACCCCAGAGGAGTCCCAGCCCCCAGCCTGCGGGATGGGAGATGTCAACCCCAGCAGGCAGTTACTCAGAATCCCGGCCTCCAGCCACCTTTTAAAGCCCATGTGCTTACGACTGTGTTTTCTTTCTCTCAAATCATCATGTCTGTAAAATGTCCAAGGTTCCCCCTGCAGAGCTGTGGTGGGTAGATAGAGGTGTGGGTCATTAGACCTCCAGAACCCGGGGTAGCCCTCCACTGCATGGGTGACAGTCCCCTTTCCTGAACGAGAGTAGGGAGTAGGAGCTGGTGTCTAAAGGGCGCTCAGCACGTGGTGGGCACTAAAACCAGCACGTCATGATCTTGGATGCCCTTCACGGTCTCGAAGAACGTGAGACCCTTGACATCCTCAGAGGCTGTCCAAGGTCACACAGAAACCCGTGCTCTTGAGCCCCTGCCTCCCGGGAGGGGGAGGCCCACTGGGCTCTATTACTAAAGCTCCCTTCGTCCATAACTGACCAAACGTCAGCAAATGCCACCACTGCCCCAGGCCATGCAGACACAGGCTGAGCTCTGACCAGCTCCCGCCTGCCCAGGACAGAACATTCATCCCAAAAGAAAGACCTGATTTCTCTTTTGAACTCCGTGACTGCCTTACTCCATCGTTCCCTCCTTCTCTCGTCCGTCTTTGACTAGGTGTGGATGGCAATGCCGACGCAGGACCCACAGGTATTGCTCTTCCCTGCATGTCAACCAGTTCTGGGTCCCTGATGTGCGAATCCTGGCTGTTCTTTAACCCGCATAGGGACACCGTCGGATAAATTCTCCATTGCTAGTCAACACCAGCAATGCGGCCCACGAGGCTTGACGAGACGGTGGGGCTGGGGGCTCCGAGGATGGGGAGAGAGGTAGAAGCGAGGGGGGGCTCAGATTCGCCAGAAAAGCAGTCTCTCCGCCGCTGGGGTCCCTGAGTAGGAGTTTGCTGAGAAGAGAGAGCTACCCCCTTGCAGAGGTGAGCGAGCTGTGAGATGTCAGGGGAGAGAGGGAACCGGAGGCCCAGATTCAGGCCTCAGCCTGCCCCCACCACACGCTGTGCGCAGATGACCGAGTTCTTCATCTCTGCCCACGGGGCACCGGGAAATCCCTGCTGAGAGAGCCACTGTTTTTTAGTATTTTAAGGGGCTGTTCTGAATAGACATCCTTCCTTCTAAAAGGTATCACTTTTCCTGTGTTTTCCACAGACTTGACTGGTGATAGCATCCTCACAGGAACTTCAGTTTTATTTAGATGTCACCTGTTTCATATTTGCCTTGTCTCCCCTGGCGCGCGTGCGGCAACCCACAAAGGGTCTCTGCCACTTACACGAGGGACCCCCAACAGTGGGCCGGAACCCCTCCCCAGGCCCTGTCCTCAGGGCATCAGCTGGATGTGTTTTAGGGAGCCTTGGCCTTGCTCTCAGCCAGGACTCGGCTATACTGCCGCAGGGGGGCTTCCAGAAAGGGCCATTTCGTCACAGCAGGACCGAGAAAGGACGTTCTGGGCCCATGTCTTTACATTCCTCTCCCCCTTCAAGTTGGGTTGATTTACCATGTACATAACTAGATAATGTGGGGAGGGCAGTGTCACCCCTCCCACGTGCCCATGCCTCCTCCCCTCCGCCAGGGCCCCAGGGCCACCTGCCGGGCACCTGGGCTATCCCGCCCTTCCACACGCTCACCATCACTTTCTCGTCCCTGCACTGTCAGTCTGACGTGTGCAAATACCTCCTGAGCCAAACAGTGCTGGCAGCTCTGCCATCTGCAAAGCTAAGGTGTGCAGCTACCCACTAAGGGAGCCCTGGAGCAGGTCTCCTGCTTCTGCTCTCACCCTCCCCTCTCAGCCCCTCTAAAAACACCCGCGGGTCAGTGTCCGCTCTTCTTCGCTGTTTCTTGCAGATGAAGATTTCCAGTGTGGTGGTTTGCTCACAAATCATTCGGGCGCCTTCTCCAGCCCCTGGTATCCTAAAAAGTACCCCACAAACGTGGTGTGTGCCTGGGACATCCAGGTGGAGAGCGCGGCTCACATCAAACTGACCTTGGAAGTGGTGGAGTGAGTACACGTTCCCGCGTTGCCCCCTCACCGTGGTGGACACGGTTATACAGACGACGCGCCCCACCCCCCACCAAAAAGTGATCTTTTCTCCAAAAGTGAAGATCTAGGAAGCTCAGTCCGTAATATTGATTAGAACTTTCAGCACAGAGATCGTCTAGCCCAGCGATTCTGTCCGAGGAATCTGGTCTCAGGTGTGCTGAGGGGAGTCTGACAGCCCCTCGTAGCAGCCACAGGTTGAGCAGGACATCAGTGCCCATCCGTGGGGGCCACCTAAGTCCCTCCAAGGCTGGCACCCACGTAGGGTGTCCTTGGAGGCAATATTTCTGGAGTGTTGCCAGAATGAAGAGACACAGGCCCGGGTGGGGAAAAGTGCACTTAGCCCAACACACCCGTCAATACTCCTTACTCCTCTTCCTTGTATCTCTGCCCCATACTCAGAAAAATGCAATGGAACGAAAGCTTTAAAAACTAAAAATCTCTAGAAACAGGAGGAAATATACTGCCTACGTCATCAACACGGTCATTTCCTCCGACCTGCAGGAAGAGATGAGGGTTCACGCCCGCCCTGCCTGAGCCAGTCAGGGAGGAGCCAGCGGGCTGAGCCTGACGGACACGCTTCCTTCACAGGATGGAGAACTTCTACGGCTGCCCCTACGACTTCATCGAAATCTTTGATGGACCACAAAGCGAATCCTTCTCACTGGGGAGGTTCTGTTCCGGCATAACCCCAATATTTACCTCCTCCTCAAATCGCTTGACGGTGATCTTCCACAGCGACAACATCATCACCAACGTCGGCTTTTATGCCTCCTACGAGTCTCTCGTGCAAGATGAGAACGACACGGGTAGGTCTTCCCTGCCCGCCGGTACTGACAGTGGATTGAATGGCTGACACCAGACCCGAGCGCTGGGGGATTCCAAGGGGTTCCTGCTGTCCTTAGTTCACCCCCCGATCTGACTAGGAAGAGGGGTGAACACCCAGAGTGCCAGGGAGCACGCCCCCACATACATCTGATGCGGGGCGCATCCATGGGGCTGAGAACACACACCTGGTGGATGCCGCACATGGACCAGTTCCATTCACACTGCTGTGCTGTTTCCAGAAAAGAGCCAGACACGTTTCCTGAGGCCAAAGGGTGACAGCAGTGAGAGGATCAGTAACTGAAGCCTAACACACCTCGATTTCTGGTGCTTTCAATAACACGGGAGCATAGTAGCCTGGGGTGACTATTCCAGGAAGGAGAGGGAGGGAGCACGGGAGGGGACAGAGGGAAAAGATAGAATTAATTCCCCTCAAAAGCTCTGTTCTTTTATTCCTCAAACACAAGGAGATGTCGGGCTCAGTTCTTGGTCCTGGGAGAACAAGGCAGATGGAAGTCCCTGCCCTTCTGTGGCTCGGTCCAGGGGGGAGGGCAGTACCCCTGTCTGTGCTTTATGTCGCCTCCTCTCTGGGGCTGCAGGACCCTGCTTGGGGCCTCCCCTTGCCCAGGGCTTTGACCTCCCTCTCCTAGGCCGCCTGGGAGGGGCTTTCTAACCCTCTCCCCCCCCACACACACACACACAATCAGAGACTGAGGCCGCGGGAACTTTGCTGCCCTTCGAGGCCTGTGGCTCCCTCCCCGGGGTGAGTGGAGCCCTTGGAGCTGATGACCCGGAGGGAGCCCAGGTCCAGCTGCAGGGGTGGCCCAGCGGTGACTGCTGTCCCTCCCCCAGACGTGGCCCTCAGGCTGAGCGGCGGCGGCCACCCCTGCGAGGGCCGCGTGGAGCTGCGCCACAACGGCACCTGGGGCACCGTGTGCGACGACGGCTGGGACCTGCGGGAGGCCCAGGTGGTGTGTCGGCAGCTGGGCTGCGGGGCGGCCATGGCAGCCCCCGGGCGCGCGAGCTTCCAGCGGGGCCTGGGCCCCATCGCCCTGGACGACGTGGAGTGTGCGGGCACCGAGGCGCGGCTGTGGCACTGCCTGCACAGCGGCTGGTTCTCCCACAACTGCGGCCACCACGAGGACGCCGGCGTCGTCTGCTCAGGTGGGCCCGGCGGGGCGCGGGGGCAGCTTCCAGCCGGCTGCGCTGGCTCCCCAGGGCGCTTGTGCCTGAGCTTCAGCCCCACACCCTCCCGCTCCTGCTCTACAATTTCTCACTACTTCCTTGCCATGGGCCCGCTCCTTTTGCGTAAATGAATGTCCTGCAAGGAGGTGCCTGTCACCCCATCGCGGGCGAGCCAGGACGCCTTGCCCCACATACACAAGACGGCAGCACAGGCGCGGGGCGGGAAAACAGTGTTAAGATGGCCATGAAAGGTGAGCTCTGGTCCCGTCGGTTCCCGCCACGCGCACCTGAAACATCCTCCAGTCAGAACGGGCAGACGCGCAAGCTTTTGCAGGTTCATGCAACGCGTGTGAAACCCGCTCGCCGAGCTGCCCCCAGAGAGCAGACTCACGTCTGAGGGGAGCTTCTCTGTGGTGCAACTTCCTTCTGTCCTGGGGGTCCCTGAAGGTTGAGGGCCCTGGCCCGGGGCTCTTCCTCTCTAGTTCCGTCCCAGAGGCGTTTCCGCCTTGCTACCCAGGCCCCAGGTCTCGCTGGCAGATGTGCCGGCCAGCTGGACCTGCCATTCTGAGCGAGGCACAGAATCAGTGCTCTGAGCAAGCGGGAGCTGAGGCCGCATGCCAAGTGGCGGCAGAGGACGGAGGGCCTGAGAGCTGGCAGGTGGGGCCGGGGCCCTGGGCAGAGCTGCAGATGGGGGTCAGGTGACGAGACAAGGCACAGGGCAGCAGCTATAAACTTTCTTCCTGTCCTGGAGCTCCTGACCTGGCCTCATGGCTTCCAGGCCCCTCCACTCCCTCCTGTAGCCAAGTTTCAGGGTGTGTCCTTAAGATAAACCTGTGGGGGCCTCCCTGGTGGCGCAGCGGTTGAGCACTGGGTTGCGAAGCTGCCTGCGGCTTCTGCAGCGCCGGTTCAATCCCCGGCTGCTCCCCGGCCACCGGAGGAGGGTCCCACATGGCTTGCAGACCTCTCCTGCCGCCCGCTGCTCCCCTCAGCAGTGTACTTCGGTCCTTCTGCCTGCTCTGCTCCCCGCTCTGGCTCTGGTGAATTCTCTCACCCTCCCGCGCTTCTGACTGTACCCAGTGCATGTATAAACAAAACAAACAAACAAACAAATAAATAAATAAATAAAAACATGCCTTTATAAAAAAAAAAAGATAAACCTGTGGTTCTGCCCTTTGCAAACTGACTGACTCTGGGAGGCAAGACACACCAGGAGGAATTACCAAGCCCAAGCAACCAGCAAGAGGTACTCACACTAGGGACCATCTCGAGGGCCACAATTTGCCTCCAAAACCACAAAAATTATATTTCTGTGTGGGGCAGCTGGACAGAAATGAACCCAAACACAACCAGTGTTTGTAACCATGGTAACTCAGGGCCATTGTAGATGCCCAGATTGGGTGCAATTTCTCCCCAGAACAAGACATGTACCTTTCTGGCTCAAATAAGCCAGTCTCCCCCCACGGGTGTAGGAAGAATGAAGGAACACGAACTACCCCTCACCTGTGATTTCTCTCTCTCTCAGCCTCCCTGCAGGGTGCAACAGCCTCAGCTGCTGGAAGCTACCCAGCCTCAGGTAATGTCTGTGGTTCTTAATTGCTAAGTATAACCTGTGTTGGCAAAGACAAGTTACCCCTGGATAGACCATGCTGAAGAGCAGCGATCCCTGGAGGATGTTTTCTCGACTTTAAAATGTATCTATTTAAAAAGAAACCCGCCACCCAAGTGCTCTGACTTCCTCATGCTTTCATGGGGCTGGGGTCCCTGTGCTCACACCATAGCAGGCTGGAAAGAGGGACTCCACTGGAGCCATAAACCAGATGGTCCTTGAGGCACAGAGTCCACCAAGAGCCGACCGAGTGTGAGATCTGTTTGACACTTATCAAGATGTGTAATTGTCTCCTTTTTCTATCTGTCCTCAGCATCTTTTCCAGAACCTACAGAGGTGCCCACATACACAGGTAACCTTTTCCTCATTCCTCAGTTGCCTTCCCTTTGTAGAGGGTTAGCTCAGAAAACTGCAGCATGGCTGGGGGAGACACACCCCCTCCATGGCCTCCAGCCACGGAAATGGCTGCTGCCAAGGAGGGCTGGGAACATGTAGCCTCACCTGGAAAACCTGTGATTAGAAAGTGAGAGGAAAGAAGTTGTGAGATGCAAGAAAGGCTTTTGGGCATTGTGAAGTCTGAGCCCTTCCAGGCAATCCATCAACACCCTGCTTAATCCTTGCAATGTCCTCATTGCTCCAAATCAGCCAAACGGGGGACTTGCCATGACCAGCCGCATCCACCTGAAATTATGAATCCCAGAGCAGCCACATCATGGATTTGCTACCACATCCATCTTCCCCCCATTTACAGCTGAGTGTAACAAGTGATGGCGTGAGTGTGCCAGGGGCCGTCTCTAAATCACAGAGCAGCCCGAGGGCCACTTGGCAGTTCTGTCCTCAACACTCACTTGCTCCATGTATAAACCAGGCTGTTTTCTAATCTGTGTCATCGCTAGGTCCATGTTGGTGCCAACTCTCCATTAATTTAGTAACTACATTTTAATGTACCTTTGTGCCTCAATGTCTTGAGGTGGGAGTTTTGAGGCAGAGACTTTGTCTTATTCACCACTGAACCCTCACTTAGTACCCAAAACAATACCTAGCACATTAAAGGCAAAAGAAACATAGTTAGGATTTAAAACAAAAAAAAGGTTATGGGGGCTGGTAAGAAAACCAGCCTCTGGGAAGGCTAGGGGCACCTTGCTGGCCCACATCTCCATCCATTCCTGCTGTGAGCTCTCCAGCTGTGTTCAGAGCATATCCATTCCCTCCTCTTGTTGTAACACTTCCCTTTGAATACGGGGTTCAGTCTTCAACGACTGTCCTGCACATTCCCTGGACAGGGAGCTGTTGTCGTCACTTGACCGACACATGCCAAGGACATGCAGGAGTTTTGCACACACCCACGGCAATTCTTGGGCACATGATGGTTTTTAGTGAACAGTCCAACCAAGTGTCAACCTTGAATGTCAGAACCAAGACTTCAGAACACAGAGGGGGCAGGAAGGCCCCTTCTCTCCACTGTGTGATACTAGCGGGCAAAGGAACAAAAGCGTTACCTAACCCATTGCAACCTCAAAAATCACTGGAAGGAGTGCCCAAGGCACACATTAATGGAATTAATAGACAATTCGTTATCAGCAAGTCAGTGTCGACTGCCAGGAGAGATGGGCTCTTCGGATGAGGCTTGATGGGGTCCTTGTTTGGAACGTCCTCCAAGGTCTGAGCCTGCGGCTGGTGAATGGGTCGAGCAGGTGTGAGGGCCGAGTGGAGGTCTACCACGCCGACACCTGGGGCACCGTGTGTGACGACAGCTGGTCCATCGAGGACGCCCACGTGGCCTGTAGGCAGCTCGGCTGTGGCCTGGCCGTGTCTGTTCTCCCGGGGGCCAGCTTCAGCCCCGGGTCAGGCAGCATGCTCCTGGGCGACATCAACTGCACGGGCAGCGAGGCGTCCCTGGACCAGTGCCCTCACGGAGACTGGTTCGCCCACAACTGCAGGCACCGCGAGGACGTCGGCATCATTTGCTCAGGTGAGCATGGCCTCTCTGGACCAGTCACAGGGCTGCCCCGGCCAGGCTGGCATCTGCAGATAAAGTCTGCCACTGCCCCCATGATCTTGACCTTCCCTGGGCCCAGGACAGAGGGGTTCTGTCCTAACTCTGAAACGTCCACCTGCTGATATGTGGGCGAGTATTCAATGGTTCATCCTTGTAAAACAAAGTAAGGGTGCCTATAAAGTTGCTGAGAGAATTAAATTAGATATACCATGTAGAGCTCTCAGCCACGCTCCAGACACACCATCCACACACAGACCTGCTAACTGGCACGGCTGTTTTAGTTACTATGGCAAATTCTGCCAGCCTGATGCCTCAGCGTGTTTGCCAGGCCATGCAACCCCTAACTGGCCATAGAAGCCCAGAAAGGGCAGCCCTAGGAGCTCAGGGGCCACTGTTCCCGTGAGCCCCCATCCTGCTCTTAGTCATGAGTCCTGTGTGTCTCCTTTATCTCACCAGATTCTGCAGCAGCTGCACAAGCAGGTATCTGTGAGTTCACGCCCGTGTGACTGCTCGTTGGTGACCAGCCATCTAGTTCAAGGCCCTCTCCCTGGGTCCCTTACCAGCCCTGGGTCCCGGCCACTCTTATCCCCACCCCCCCAGAGCTTCGACCACTGTCCCCCTCCCCATGCAGCCCTGCTCTACAGCCAGAGGAAGGTGCTTGTGGGTGCCCACAGGCGCTATCACCCCTTCCAGGTGCAGTCCTGTGCTTAGCAGCCCCCACCCAATGTAGCGGGTCAGGGCCTGGTGGCCAGAGGCCTTCTGGCAGGCCCTGCTCCTCTGCCAGCAGCATGACCTGTGACCCAGGGTGCCGCGGCTGAGCCCTGGGGCCCAGACAAGGCGCCCAACCCAACGGCCACATCGGCACAGTCCGAGTGACAATTTTGCTGCTTATTGTTTTGCTCTTAGTCAGCCCAGCTGTGAGCCCGAGTCACATTTCAGGTGGTACCTGTTGACTAGAGCCTGGGGGGGTGGTTTTCAGGCATATTCGGGCACGTGACTTGGGTGAATTTGAGAAGAGCGGATCCCGCGGTCTGCAGGGAGTGTGCTTATGGTGCTCTTTTTCCCTCTCATATGCTTAGTTTCTTCAGCTGCTGAGGAGCAGGCACCCGCTTTCCAGCCAATAGGTACTCATTCCATTCTTACATTTGATACGGTTTTTTTCTTGGGACGCACCAGCTTGCCCTGCAGGGCCCTGTGCCGCATGACCAGGCGGTGGCTGACATGGCGGGTCTCCCCAACCTCCTCCATCACCCCCCTGTAGAGAGTTATCATTTCTAGGTTGAAGCAAAGAGAACTTAAATTTCTTTTGAGAACTTCCTGATATCCTTTGAAAGACCTGGGTTAGAAAAGCAATGTCTGTGCTCTACAAGCACAGCTGAACTGTCTGGAATTTTCAGAGACACACTCTGAGAAGAAAAGTGGTCAGTGATTAACATGCATGTCTTCTCTAATCCAACATGTGGCCTGAAGCCCCATAAAGAAACTACCCAGGAGGGGAAAAGCAGTTGGAAAGCAAATCATTATAAACTAGTGGATATTCCTAAATGAAATGAGGTGTCTGAGGTGAAGAGGTTAAGGAGGGGGACGTGGGGGTGAGGGAAGAGTTTGCACGCGCTCAGGCGCCATATGTCAGCTTAGCTGGGGATTTGCTCTATCCCTTCTCTTGGCCATTGCAAAAAAGAAAGAAAGTAGAAGATTGTGTCAGAGCCTCTGTGACCCAGGTGGGAAAGACTTTCTTCACCAAACACCAGAGGAAGTTTAGAAACAGAAGAGGCAGGCTCCTGCTTCCTGTGTCTGGCCTGAAGCCGGTACATTCCAGGCTAGAATCCTCCATCTGGAAACACCCCTCGCTTGAGGTGGGAAGGGACCTCCTCAAGCTGCCCTGGCTCTCGCCTGCAGACCTGCCGGAGGTGAGGCTGGCAGATGGCAGCGGCAGGTGCAAGGGCCGCGTGGAGCTGCGCCACAACGGCACGTGGGGGACGGTGTGTGACGACCTCTGGGGCCTGCCGGCGGCGCAGGTGGTGTGCCGGCTGCTGGGCTGCGGGATCGCGCTGGCAGCCCCCAGGAGCAGCCTGTTTGGGGATGGCTCCGGCCCCATTTTCCTGGACAATGTGAGGTGCACGGGCAACGAGACCAACCTGGGGCAGTGCCAGCACCTCGGCCTGTCCGTCCATAACTGCGGGCACCACGAGGACGCCGGGGCCGTCTGCTCAGGTACTTCCCAAGCCCCAGCCCAGGGTCCCCTCCCAAGCAGCGGAGACTCGTCTGTCAGGCAGGTCAACCTGAGAGGCTTGGGGTTGCAGATCCGGGAATGGCTTGTCCTGGTTCATCTGGAAATTTCGCAGGTGTAGCCTTGAAAGCCCCTTGTCCCAGGACCCCCCTCAGATTCAGACCCAAGCCATTGGCCCCACTAGTCCCCAGTGCACCCCATACCACAGCCTGTTCCAGGCTCAGAAGAGAAGAGAACTTCTGAACAAAATAGAGCCAGAAGGTTGGCCCCGGCCCTCAGATGGTTTTTATTTCCCAGGATGGTTTTCCTGTGTGTCTCAGTGTTACTGATTTCTCGTGAAGATACATGTCGGTGACCGGGCTGGGTGAACTCTCCCGGTCGGTCAGCTGCCTGAGCGGGGGCCTTCTCGCCAGCAGGGGTGATTTCACACACCTATTCGGAAAAACCGGGCGAAAGCCTTCCTCAGCCGCCTTTTGTTGCTAAATAACATGGGACAAGCATCTGCAGTTCCCACCACTGCCAAGTGGTTCCTTGGAGCGTGGACCAGGGTCCAAGATGGGGTGACAAGGAATGCGGGGTGAGGGTCTGCCTGTCCCCCTCTGTAGTTTGGCAAAAGAGTATTTAGTGCGGCAGGGTTTCTTTTCCTCTCGAAAGAGTATATGGTGCTTCAAACAAGTCACGGTGTGTTAAAGGCTGTTCTCCTGGGGGCTCTTGACGACTCCTCCCGGGAAAATGAAGCTCGTTGCTTCATCTAGTGCAGATAAGCCAGGGTCCCACCTGGCCAGGCAGGTGATCCTGAGGCTCTACCTGCTGTGACTTGGTCTCCCCTGTGACGGTGCCAGACGTTCTCACCTTCACGCTGCGCAGCGTGGAATCGTGCGCCCAGGCCGTTAGTGTCTCTTGGGTGGTTTGTCAGTTCATTCATGTTCGCCTACACTAACATCAGCTCTCTCTTTTAGCAACTGACGAGGCCCCAGACTCAGCAGAGGCTGCTCCTACAGTCGGTAATCCTTCCCTGGTTTCTTTGACGGCGTCCTGGTTATTGAATCCTTGTGGTGGATGCCCTGAGTGGTGGTCGGTGGTGCCCATGCAGATCCGTGCCTCCCTGGGGCTGAGCAAACCAGGGCTGAGGCTAGGGAGGGGGCTGTAGAGCGGGCGGCTGTCTGGCTCTGGGTCTCTCACACATCTGAGACTTGGCATCTCAACCAGGCAATGGACACGCTTAGCCCAAAGGAAATCACGCAGAGTTGAGTCTGTTGTTGCTTAGAGCAGTTTGATGACTCAGCTCTAAAATAGATATTTAACCTTGTCCTCATAAACACCGTGCTTGCAATCCAGAGATGATAACGCTGGGATAAAATGTATTGTGGGAATCAGAATAGCCTGGGAGAGCCGGTCACTGCAGTAGGGCCTGGAAGAGGAAGCAAGAGTTCCTGGAGGGCTGGAATCTAGGGTTTGAGAGGGGAAGAACTAAAGAAAAGGCCCCTTAGAAACTCCTGCGGGAAGAAGGGCGGGCCATCCGGTAATAACCAAGTCTCCCCAGATCTGCCCGTCATCAGGCTGGTGGACGGGAGGAGCCGCTGCGAGGGCCGCGTGGAGCTGCAGCATGACGGCGCGTGGGGCACCGTGTGCGACGACCTCTGGGACATCGGCGCCGCCCACGTGGTGTGCCGGCAGCTGGGCTGCGGGGAGGGCATCGGCGCCCTGGGGAACGGCCACTTCGGGGAGGGTGTGGGCAGCATCCTCCTGGACGACGTGCAGTGCCAGGGCAACGAGACCACCCTGGGCCAGTGCCAGCACCTGGGCCTGTCCATCCACAACTGCGGCCACCACGAGGACGCTGGGGTCATCTGCTCAGGTGCTCACTCTTGCTTGCTCCCGAGACTGCCAGGGCCGCGACCCTGGGGGGAGACCCGGAAATGAACCACTCAGGGTCCATGTCGACACGGGTCCCGGGGGCTCTTGGTGACTTTTGGGCTCTCCGTGTGCTGTTTCCCCTATGCTTGCCCCAAGACCCACATGCTCACTTGGAGCCCTTGGTCTCTGCCACCCCCCAGGAATGACCATATTTCCTCTGTTAACCACCCACGGGTGTAATTGTGCTTCCTGGTCTTTGGCTAAAGTAGGTTTGAGCTTTAAAGCTAACTTTGTAGTTCGGGGAGCGAGGGGGATTCCGTGAGCACAGCCCAGTTCCTCCCCCTACGCCCCGCGTGAAGGCTCGTCGCTGCTTCCTTCCGGGCTCTGGGTCACCTCCTGTCACAGCCCCTCGGTGCTGGGCCATGAGCCAGGCTGTCAAGTGAAAAGGAGGAATCAGCGTTAGAAACCTGGAGTCGGAGTTGGGGTGCTTCCTGGCACCTCGCCACTCTGGAAGACCTTTCCTCTTCACTGGGGCCTTCTGGTCTGCCCGGGGAACTCACAGTCCTCCTAACTAATGAGGGTGATGAACCCCGCTTCCTCTCTCCATGCAGTCCCATCTCTGGTCAGTCTCATCCAAGAAAACAATCATTTTTAATTTCACAACTCAGAAGTCATTTCGTATCCACTTTTAGTATAGTTGAGATATAAATATTTTAATTTAAAAAGTATCTTTAAATTCCCTATTGGGGGTGGGCTATTGTTTGGACTTGTTTGGCTATTGTTTGGCTATTGTTTGGATCTTATTTTGGTTTCATTTTTGTTTTCTACTTTCAGCATCAGCCACAGCAATGACCACCTCACCTGGTAATTTCATATTCTTGTTTGCTTTCTATAAACCACATACGCCTAGACTGCCTTGTATGTGGTTAGCATGGGAATTTCTGCCTGGCATGAAACTATCAATCTCATGCTAAGGAGTAGAAGGTATTCACACACCCACTGAATTAAACAGCCTTCGGGCCTCACCTTACACGCACGTCCCGTGTGCCCCTCCCTGCCAGGTGTAACGGCAGATCTCTGAGATCAGGTCACAGTGCCATGAGGATGGCCAGTGAGCTTGTTTTTTTTAACAGTCACAGGACATCAGGCATCTCAGGGAAATACTCCTCTGATCTGCATTTTTAGAGGTGATAGAGCCACATGGCCCATGTGTGTATTGGCATGTGGCACAGTCCAGAATGGGCACATTTTTACAGGTTTAATGGCTAACTAAGCCGAGAAACACCACCTCCCTCTCTGAGCCGAGAAGCACCACCTCACACTGTGCTAGCACATTACAGTCTCAACAAGTCCTGTGGTGAGGGATCTTTTCTAAACTTTGCTTCATTTTTAGTAGACTGAGGAACCTCCAGACAACTTTCCATAGTGGTTGGACCAGTTTGCACTCCCACCAGCAATGTAGGAGCATTCCTTTTTTTCCACATCCTCGCCAGCATTTGTCGTTGCTGGTTTTTTTGATTTGTGCCGTTCTTACTGGTGTAAGGTGGTATCTCAGTGTGGTTTTGGTTTGCATTCCCCTGATTATAAGGGTGGAATACTATTCAGCAATCAAAAAAGTAAACTAATGCCATTCACAGCAACATGGATGGAGCTAAAAGGAATTATGTTCAGTGAAATAAGTCAGAAGGAAAAAGAAAAATATCAGATGGTTTCATTTATAGGAGGAATATAGAGGAAACAAATAAGACATCAGAGGAAAAAATAATAACAGTATAAACTTGGTGGCTTCACCCAACGTTTCTCAAACATCTGGAACCTTTCAAGTGGAAATGTGGCACCTCAGGCCTTCAAGTCAGAGATCCCGGAGCAACATCCCAACTTTGCCAGCTGGTAGCAGCAGGCGGGTCCACTCGCCTCACAGAGCCTGAGTGTCCCGTTTGCACAGGACACTGGAGCTCATCCTGGGACAGAGCACGCACGTGCTAGCACTGGTAATGGCCACCCGGTGGTCACTCTCCAGAGGGATGTGTGCTGCCGCCTGCCCTGTAATGTCAGCAACCCATGTGTCCTTTTGTGAACTTCCCTCTTGGGACACTTTTGGGGTCATCCTAGAGCTTGTATGGTCACTTTATAGACAGGTAGGTTGGAGAAATACCATCTCAACTCAAGTCAACTCAAGTTTCTCTGACTGTAAGCAGTTATAAAAGTAGTATGGTTCAGATTTCCAAAATCCTGGGCCCCTTTTGCTAGGCTGGGTAGAAAATCACTTCCAAGAAAAGTCAGACAAGAAACAAAGGTCCCTCTTTGGGGTTGGATCTGTGTGAATCAGCCGCCAGGTCTCTCGGGATGGCACTGTCATAGAGGAATACTTCCCGGGAGGTGGAAGGGACCTTAGAGCTTAGTCCAGACCAGAAGTGTCCCACAGGCTGGTCTGAACCACAAATGGGTTTTGATTCAGTCACAGAGTTTTGCCCTTATGATATTTTATTTTCTTAGTACTACTTTTTAAAAATGAGAGATTTCATATAAAAGTCAAGATTTCAGGCTTTGATGGGCAAACCAGAGGACGTAACTAGTAGCATGAATCTTGGCAGGGCACCGTTGGCTGGGGTGGAACAGGGGCAGATCCCCTTTATAGGACACAGACTTTCTAGCTTCCTCCTGGCCAATGCCAGTTATTTCTGCGCCTTCTCAAACTTTAATGTGCAGGTAAATCACCTGGCGATCTTGTTAAAATGCAGATTCTGATTGAGTAGGTCTCCAGTGGGTCCTGAGAGTCTGCATTTCTAACAAGGCAATGCAGATACTGGAGTTCAATGGACTGGCCCTGTGGATGCAACTGTTGTGGCTCAGAGATTTCAAGGGACTTGTTCAAGGTCATGTGATCCGTTACACAAAGAGCAACTACTAAAAGCAAGGTCTCTCGGGTCTGAGACCCAAGTATTACCTCCCCTGTCATTTATTTGCCCCAGCTTAATGAGACAGAGACTAGGAAGACCCAATGTTAACAGAACATAATCAAGTATGAACACAGCTGGGGCATAATTTGTAAACATGGTGATTAAAAAAAAAATTCTTTGTGAAGGAACTTGATTGACAAGGATGGTCTCTAAATGCAATTTTCTTTAACTTTCTTAACAGCTCCTACCTCGATTTTGGCCACAGATTCAGTCCTTACAACTGGTAACAATTTTTCTGCCGATTTGTTCTTATTGTCTATCTAAGGGATATTGTTGTATAAAGTCCTACCTAGACAGTGCAATTGTATTGTTTGTCCAGGGGCCACTTGACTGATTTATTCCCTTAGAAGATAGGCTAGAACCCAGAACAAGGCAGATTAAGGTCCCAATCTTCAAGTTCAAGGGTTGAAGTACACACAGAGACGACTGTTCTTACGTTCTACACACACAGAGCAGTCTGCCTCCTGCTGACTGTTATCAGAGATGATGACTTGGGGGGTGGGGTACAGGGCCTGGGATGGCTAGACCTCATGGAGGAAGCTCCCTGGCAATACAGGAAATGCTAACAATAATCTGACAGCCACAGAAGGGCCTAGAAACCATTAAATGTCATCAAGCTTTCTGAACATCACTAGTCCTCACACCTTTTTTCTAAGAAAAAAGCCTGGTAAATGAGACCCCAGGGAAGGCAGAATTGTGTCTAATCAGAAAGAGATTAAAGCTCTCTGATCCATTCTTTAACTTTCCTGTTTGTGTTTCAGATTCAGACACACTTTCTACCTGGACAGAAGTGTTTCCTCCCGGTAATGCCCACTGCCCACTGTCCACTGCTCATTGCACATGGGCCAGCAAGCCCCCCCCCCCTCTATCATGCTGGGGGTTGGGGAGGCCAGGATTATACAGCTTCGGGGCCATGTGGTGTCAGCTTCAAGTTGTCTTTGGCAAGGCACAAAGTGGCAGGGGTCAGGAAAAGAGGGGACCCCCCGGCCAGGTTGGACTACCTGTCCTGGGTTCTATAGCATCACACACCTGTCCTTCATAGCATTTGTTAATGCCACAATTTGATGGAGTAGGAACCGTGTCTGGTTTTGTTAATTGCTCTACTCCAGCATCTAACACAATGCCTGTCACAGAGTAGATGGATGACTCAAGATTTGTTGACTACATAAATGAGCCCTGTGATTTCTGTGTTAGGAAGAGAAAAGAAAACAAGTTCACTGAAAAGCAAATTGCATTTGGTAAGTTTTGACCAATCATCTTCTCTTATTTCCAGAATCTATGAGTGTTGCCGTAACCACTTCCACAGGTAATATTGATATTATTTTGGACTCCATTCATTCATCGTGCTATAATTTTTTATTCAGTGTTTGCAATGAACTCATTAAACAACTGTGTTTTGCTTGAGTTCTTTGATTCTTTAGAGTTTTTAAATGTGTTGGTAATGACTGACCCACCAGGCCACCCCTGGTAACCAGGCGAACGAATTATGGGCAGCCCAGCCACCGAGGTTAGTTAGTTTGGCCAATTCGGCCAACTAAACCCAAACAATGAGTCATTCAATGGACAGAGGGTGGTCTAAGGCCAAGCATCCGTGAAGCGTTCTCCTAGAGACCAGCCACCATGTTGTTTTTTGCCAGAATGGTGGGAGTGAAGCCATGGCTTTTGCTGGTTCTCCTCAGACCTTCCCCAACATTCAGGGAGGGTGGCCATGAACCAGCTGCGCCCAGGACAGAGCTGTGCCCCTCTGTGAGGGGGCAGAGGTGCCCGAGGTAGCAAGTCACCACTCTTGTACATAGTTCTGAATGGTGCTGTTTGCAGTTATCTGCAATTACAGGTGTGTCTTTGGGTTCAAAAATTTTACAAATGGAGAGTTGGTGGCTAATTGAGGAAGGGGGGAGCAGAGAGTAGAGAGGGTTTCTCCCCAGCTCTAAGTGCTGACGCCATTAAGAAACAAAACATCTGAGTCAACACCAAAATGGGTCCTTTATTACTGATAAAACTGGGCTGGAGGGCAACTGTTTAGTACAGGAGACACAGGCAGCTCTCACCCCCTCTTCCCCTCAGCCTGGATCTTGGGATTGCCCATCTAGAGAAAGTTCCAGTCTGCAGAGCTCTCCTGGGTCACTCCCACCCACTGAGGGGAAGGATAGACTGGGGAAAGCAAGTCCCCCATTTACAGAATCTTGGTTAGACTAGCCCCAGACAGTGGAGAAGCTTAAACCAAGAGTTGTTGTGTTATGAACAGGGGAGAAGGAAAGAGTGGTGACCTAGGGGTGGAGGGCTGGCTGGTGGCAATGGAGGACATGGGCATGCCCGCTATGCTCCCTGTCTGGAGAGGGAGGACTGGCCTGGACAGCCACAATGACCTGACAGCCACCTTGATGTCTCCAGAATCTTCTAGAGCATGTGTGCCAGATACTGCTCTCTTATCGCTGCCTTGTTTTTGTTCATCTACAGCTTCAATCTCAACCGCTGCGACTGCCCCAGCAGGTGAGACATCAACTGCTGTCCTATTAAGTGCCTCTTCTTGGAGTTCCATATATCGAACTAGAATTCTCCATGGAAAGTTTGTCCTAATGCAGCCTCAATAAAAAACAGAAATGCAGGGGCCTCCCTGGTGGCTCAGAGGTTAAAGTCTCAGCGCTATCAAGCTATCACCAGCCACTGCAACATGAATTCGATCCCTGGCCAGGGAGCTGACCCACATGGCGCAGCAGACCTCTCCTGTCTCCCCGCTGCTCCCCTCAGCAGTGTGTTTCAGTCAGTCTGCCTGCTCTGCTCCCCACTCTGTCTCTGGTGAATCCTCTCACCCCCCACACCTCTGGCCTCCACCCCATTTCTTGAATGCATAAATAAATAAAAATAAATCTTTTTTTAAAACTCTAAAAAAATGGAAACCCAGGAGTCCTGTCCAGCGGTATTTAAGTTTCTTCTCTTTTTCTGTAGATACCTCTTCCAGTTCAGCAGAAGTGACCTCTCCGTCTGGTAAAGTCTCCCTTACGCTGCTTAAACTAAAGAGACCAGCTTCTTAGCACCACGTTCTAGTTAGAAAAGAACCCACTTAATGACCATTTTGACCACAGTGTAAATCTCAGTGAAAAGATGAGAGAAGTGCTGCCTCTCGTTTCTGAGCGTCCTGCTCTCTGTCTATACACAGATGTGCCTCCAACCACAGCAGAGGAGAACACGCCCTCTGGTAATGTTTTCAACATTTCTTAAGTTAAATATGATCAGCCTTCCTAGTTGACAAATGAACATACATGTGCTGAATATCTTGTCCGCAGTCCCCCGTGTAAACAGAAGCCCGTAACCTTCCACAGCACTGAGCCTCCTGTTCCCTCACTCACCGTGCGCACAGGAGTGCCCCTCGGCTGGGGAACTCTGGGGCCCTCCCCGGTGGTCTTCAGCAGGTCCACCCAAGGGCAGTGACAGCTGGGCCCATGCTGCCACCTGCCTGGCGGTGCTTTGGCCCATCCGGTGCTCCAGACACAACACGCTGGACAACTGGGCTGTGAGGACGTGGTTTTGCCCACTCGCACTTCGTTTCTTTCCACATTGTTGTTCAAACCGAAACACTCCTTGTTCTTTTCACTGAGTTGCTTCTTCTTTGTTTGCAAATACAGCTCCCACTGCATATGAAGAGACTTCCTTGCCAGGTACGCCCTCTGCTCCTGACAGCAGCCATGTGAGTGACAGTGTGGGAAGCCGGCCCAGCAAGACTCCCACAGTAGACGCTTCCTGCCCCCCAGGAGAGGTCAGGGCAGAGAAGGGAAAGGTCACGCCCCATCGCTGGTTGTGACTCTGAACACAGTGGCGGTGGACTTGGTGAACAGGGTAAAACGGTGCCAAAGCTCAGCCCTGGAGCAGATAACAGAGCTGCCGCGGGGTTCTCAGTGTCTGTGCGCCTGTGGCCCGGAGACCTTGTGTAAACGCAGGTTCTGATTCGGTAGTTCCAGTGGAGCCATCGCTCTCCAGCTCCCAGGCGCTGCCTGTGATGCTGGCCGTGGGCCATGTTCGGGCGTGAGCTACTGACCCACCGCCCACGTTCTGGAGAAAAATGAGGCCCAGGGCAGGAATCTGCCCACGGTCGTTGTCTTAGTCACCTAGAGCTGCCACAACTAGATACCACAGGCTGCATAACTGAAACAGCAGTTTCTTTCCTCACAGTTCTGGAGTTGAGAGTCCAAGATGAAGGTGCCAGTAGGGCCAGTGTCCATGAGGCTCATCTCTGGGGTTGGGACGGCTGCCCTCTTGCTGCCTGCACGGGGCCTTCCCACGGCGTGCACAGCCGACCTCAGTTAACCTCTTCCTTAGAGGCCCCGTCTCCAAACACCCTGGGGCGCAGGATTCAAGGTCAAGGGGACACAGTTCGGTCCACAGCAGTCACAGGGCTAGAGCCAAGCAAATTCAGGCCTCTGACTCCCTTCCAGGTCCCGCCTGAGCTCAGGCTTTGCTCATGAATCCGCCTGTGGTTCCTTCTCCACCTGGTTACTCTCCTCGTAACAAGACCTGCTGCTTCAGCTGTTGAATTTACTTTTCTTTTTTTCAAGTTCTTTGAAGACATCTGGGGTAAAACTCAATGAAACCAAAGTTTAAGACTTTCCGTGCACTACATCTAAGTCTTCCTATCCTTCTGTCACTCAGCAATAGGGTCTTGGAGCAGATGACGGCACCCGCTGCTTGAGAAAGCAGCTGTATGTGTAAATTGACGGACAAGGAGGTAAAAGATAAAATCAAATCCACCTCCTGGTTAAGAAAGAGAATGAGTTCATGTAGGTCTGGGAGATCTGGGCTAGGAAACAAGGAATTAAATTTCATCAGCTGAAAAACAGGTCGGGACAAAGAAATGTGGCGTTGGCTGAAGTTCACTGGCTGGTTGCAGCTACTGCGTTCCTGAGAGGCTTTTCCCGGCACAGCTGGGGTGGAGGGTTGCCGGGCGTGCGCCCTGCCTCTGGGTGCCCCTTTCTCCACCACATTCTCAGCCTCAGCTGGCCTGGGAGCCCAGCTCAAGGCTGGTTGCTTCACTGGCTCAGGCTGTGTCTGATGAACTGCACCTGGAAACACGCCCGTTTACAGAAGCGAGAGAAGTTTCTCTCCCTCTTGTACTTTAGGGTCTAAGGCCCATTTAACCACTTAGCCTCAATTCTTCTTCCTGCCTCCTTTCTCCTTCCCTCTTCCTCCCTGCAGCCCTTGTCTCCTCACACCCTTCTCTCCCTGCGCCCACTGGGACCCCACTGTTGGCAGATGCTTCCTTCACTCATCACTTTCATGACGTCACTGAAGCAAAAGTGTCCTTGTGGACCTGGCTGGTGGTGGCCGGCTTGCCTTTCGCCCGATTAGGTGGCACGTACACTTTCTTCCTTCCTGAAAGCTGACAGCCACAGCCACTTTCTGCTCCTGCAGGAGGTGCCTCTTGGAGTGTGAGCACCAGGTGTGGTGGCTGCTTGGCCATGACCTTCCTTCCCTCTCATCCCTGACTCACCCCACAAGCCCAGAGTGCATGAACTCCCACATCTTATGCCCCCCACAGACAGAGCATTGTGGGAAGGGTGTGGCTGGGGGCTCACAAGTGAGATGTGGCGATCTGGGCAAGTTGTACAATCCCTCGAGTGTCCACTCCTCACCCCTAGAATAGTGACAATACCTGGCACTGTTGGAAGGATTAGAGATGTCAATTATGTGACACGCTGTGGGTGTGCAAAGTGAGAATTGCTGTTACTCTACCTCGCAAAATGCCAACCTCAACACATCGTTTCCCCCTGAATGTGTAAATTCACTAACAGTGCGGCCTCTATTGCACGCAGCTTATGGAACAGGCTTGTTTGGATAAACCTATGTCTTCTACAACATAGAATGTCAATGAAGCAAAATTTTAATGTGCAAAAAAATTTTTTTTGACAGTCACAGACATGATTTCAGCAAAAGTGACACCATCACCAGGTAAATGTCATGTGTCCATTGCTAGATTGACCCTTAGTTTTACAGCTACTTTCCTACCTTGCTTCCCTCTGTATTTTTTACATACAGAGGGAATACAATTTTCTCTCATCTAAAAATTTTTCTGAGGAGTCTGCCTTGATTTTCCTCATTTCATTTTCAGCCCTTGTAAAATTTTTTTCTTATAAAACCTAAAACTTTTGTATACTTCCCTTCAAAAATTCAGTATATTTATAAAGCTTTTCCTCTATTATCATTTAATAAATGATAACATTTTTGCAGTAAAAAAAGACACCACTACCACATAATACATTTTGATGCCAAGAAAGTAAAACATAAAAATAGTATTTCCCAAACCAAACCAAAGCAGAAACTTAAACAAAAATACTAGTGCCCAAATTAGAGAAAACATTTGTTTCTTCTTCAATTTTGGATATAAATGTCTCTCTGAAGATATACATTTTTAAGTTTTGTTTTTCTTTCTTATAGTTACAATTTCAGTTGGTGAAGAAAACACCCCTTTACCTGGTAATGTTTCTTTCTTTCTAAGCATTAAAATTGTCATGTCTTTATCATATTACTTTTTCACTCAGATTTCCTACTCTTTACAAAAACTTTGTATGTATATGGGCAGATACAGATTATACACACACACATATACACACACACACCACACCTTTGTGCGTTGGAAGCCCCCAATTTACCATCCAAGTCCTCACCCAGAAGCTACTGAGAAGCATTCACTCATGTTTCAAACAAGACATGGTTATTGGCTTCCAACATCACAGCAACAAGCCAGACCAGGAGACCAGTGATGGGAGACTGGGGTGTTGAGTCACAGAGAAACTGCAGCCAGTGGTGGGTATAACACCCACTGGGCATCTTCCAGGTGCCAACCACAGCAGAAAACTGAAACATAGTCACTAGCGACCAGTTAATATAACCCAGTGACACACGTCTCTGGGCTTTGATGCATACAACCATGTAACCACCAGCACGATCAAAACATAGAGCATTGGGCCTCCCTGGTGGCGCAGCGGTTGAGCGCTGGGTTGCGAAGCTGCCAGTGACCTCTGCGACGCCGGTTCGATTCCTGGCTGCTCCCTGGCCACCGGAGGAGGGTCCCACATGGCGCGCAGACCTCTCCTGCCACCCGCTGCTCCCCTCAGCAGTGTCCTTCGGTCCTTCTGCCTGCTCTGCTCCCCGCTCTGGCTCTGGTGAATTCTCTCACCCTCCCGCACTTCTGACTGTACCCAGTGCATGTACAAACAAAACAAACAAATAAATAAATAAATAAAACATGCCTCCATTAAAAAAAAAAAAAAAGCCATTTAAAAAAAAAAAAAAAAACATAGAGCATTTCCATAACCCTCAGAAAGCTAATCTCTCCACTTCCCTTGCCCATCACTAATCTCCATTCTGTCCCTGTGGTTTGGATTTGCTTTTCTAGAATCTCATGTAAATCTCATAGAATCTCAAATAATGTGCTCTTTGTGTCTGATTTGCTCTTTTACTTGTTTTAGAGTCATGTACCATGTGTTTCCTTATATTGTCATGTATTCCTTTTCATTGCTTAGTAATATTCCACATGTGGAGAGACCACAAATTATCCATTCTCCTGTGGATGGACACTGAGGTTATCCAGTTTGTGTCTATTATGGAGAGTTTTGCTCTGGGTTAATCTTCTCTGGGCAGCTGTTTTCATTTATCTTGAGTGAATACTGAGGTGTAGAATAGCTAAGTTACATCACAGAGTTCTCTTCGTTGAATTATTTTGGGTTTCACTTACCAAGAGTACAAGAAATTTCGCTGGGTAAGTTTTGCAGATGAGTCAGGCCTGTGCCTCATTTAGAACAGCTGTGTTGCAGAGATTTAGAGGTGTTGCCTTTTTTTTTTTTTACTTAGGTTTTTAATATTTTTATTTAAAATTTAAGTTCTTGGGTACCTGGGAAACTAGGCTTCCCACCAGAGCCATTCCTTGTTTTTAATTAAGGTTTTACTGTTTATGAAAAAGTGAGTGCAACAGAGAGAATAAGGAGAGAGAGAGGGAGGGAGTGTGTGTGTGTGTGTGTGTGTGTGTGTGTGTGTGTGAAAAGACAGGGTCGAGAAGGGGGGTGGGGAGGAGCAGAGCGCAACAAAACAAGACACAACTTGCTCCAGTGTCATTTTTTCCACGGCCAGTAACAAGCCTCCGCTGAGGGGTGCAGGGCAGGCGTTGCCCCCCCCACTTCCACGCAGCTGACTGGCTCTCCCCCCTCAGAGCTCCCCCTGCGCCTGGTGGGCGGCAGCCAGCGCTGCGAGGGTCGCGTGGAGGTCCTGCACCAGGGCGTGTGGGGCACGGTGTGCGATGACCACTGGAACATCAAGAATGCCCGCGTCGTGTGCCGCGTCCTGGGCTGTGGTCACGCGCTCGGGGCACCTGGGCACGGCTACTTCGGCCCAGGCCACGGCCCCATCCTGCTGGACAACGTGCGCTGCGCGGGCACCGAGGAGGCACTGGAGGACTGTGCCCACGCGGGCTGGGCTCAGCACAACTGCCAGCACGAGGAGGACGCGGGCGTGGTCTGCACAGGTACCCCAGCTCCCCGCGAGTGCCCCAGCTCCCAGGCCCCCGGTTCTAGGATAGCAAGGCCATGCTGGTTAGACAACTGTGTGTAAATGTTTTCATCAGACATGGGATTTATTCATCAGTTTTATCTAATTCCAGTTTAGCACAGGATTTGTTCCAAAATAGGAGCTACAAGATTTTGAGGTCCGAGGGAGGCATGGCTGTGTAATCAGATGATTAAGGAGGTGCACCTGCTGCTGTCCCTCAGGCTATCTGTCCCATCCCTTTGTCAGTCTCTGACAGGGCACCAAAGGTACAATCCTGGGCAGACACCCTGCTTCACCTTGATGCGCCCTTGGAAGTCAGAATCTTACAGCTCCCCCCCCCCACCCCCCCCCCGGGCGTCTCTTTCACCCAAGGGCTGGCCTCTGCCTTTCCTGGAATATCTTTTATCGCTGATATCTGCCTTGACATGGTGCCCGCCTCTCTCTGGACTTAACAGTTCTTTATATTTGTCCTAAACTTATACACATAAATCTCAAGGGGTTATGGGATGAGAAGCTTCGGGGACTAAATCTGAACCCAACCAGTCTGTTCCAGTCTTGGGTTTTTACAGGTAATTCAAAGAAATCACTGCCGTGATTTCACCACTCTGTGGGTGTTGCTGTTGTTTTGCAAAGACATGTGTCCCAAATAGGAGACCAGCGTCTCTGTGAGGCAAACGTGAACCCTGCAGAGAACCGCGGTGGAGGAATCTGCCCCAGGGAGCAGGGTCCGGTCTCCCAGACCCTCATTTCTCCTTATCTGTTCACAGCTCTGGTCCGGCCTCACACTCTGGAGAGACCCTCACTCAACGGTAATTCATTTCCCATTCTTGAGCTGTACCCCAAGGGGGTTCCTTTTCATCAGGTACAGCATCCAAAGGACCAGTAATCTGGGGTCAAGAGCAGCTGAGTGAGTTGGGTGAGTCTGGCTGTCCCGGCGTCCCGGGTCCTGCCTTTCTCCTGGGCAGGCAGTGGGGGTGTGGGGGGCTTGTCAGTAACCACAGACTGGGAACTTCCCAGCCCGAGAGCCCAGGTGTGTGTATTTGGGAAGGGACCCCAGGGGACCATAGGCAGAGTATTTACTCTTCCCTTCTCCAACAAAGCTGGATGTTACTGCCCTCTTAACCCCCAGTATTCTGGACACCACTGCACAGGGGCCGGAACCCCGCCCTCCAGCTCTGTCAGGAGGCCCCCTCCCCTTCTGCATGGCCAGGTGGCTACATCCATTTCTCCCCCGCTGACATTTGCTTTTCTTTGCCCCCCCTTGTCCAGGTCCAGCTGACTCTGTCATACCCAAGGACAATGGTAAAGCCTTCTCTCCTCCTGGGGTCTAAGGCTGTGAATGGGGGAGCTAACAGACTGGAGGCAGGGGGACCTTCTGTGTTTCTGCTTAGATCCCCCATGTTGCCACCCACTCCCGGGGCTTTAGGAGGTGAGGGAGGAGCCCCTCTCTGCCACGTTCCCTCTCTCTCTGAGTCCGCTCTCTTTTCCAGCCTCCCTCCCATGAAAAGGCCCAGACAGGCGCAGGGGCAGGGCCAGGGTTCTCAGCAAATGAGATGAGCTGCCCTTCATCCTGGAAGAGGGTGGAACTCAGGCACCATGGGTGTGTGTCATGGCTGGGATTGCCATGGAAAAGGGAATACGAAGAGTCAATGAACATCAAGTTGAGGGTAGAGGAAGGCGCTGTCATGTCCATAAAATAAATATGCACCCACACTGACACCCAATGAAATGGCTCTCTATGAGGACGACCCCTCCCCTGCCCTTGCAGCCCAGCTCTCCTGCTTGCCTCACCTCTTCCAAGTCATCATCGACCGAGGGTACCTCCGGAGGCTGGGCTACTCCTCCTGGGACTTCCACTTGAACGATGAGCTGTGCCGCCCCCAAGTCACGGGGCGCTACCTGATCTTCAACATCCCCTATGGCCGCTGTGGCACCGTCAGGCATGTAAGAAGCTGGTGGTACCTTCTGTGGGTGGAGGCCAAGGGGACAGGTTTGAAGGATTCGAGCACCTGGGTGGGGATAGAGAAAAGGTACAAGCCGTGACTTTGTTTCTAAGTTGATACCACCTGGAACGGTCCACTATCTGGTCTGAAGCTTTCCTTCCTTCGAAAAATTTGCGGTGGATCTGGAATACACAGGAACCGGTTGAGGACTGAGAATTGGGTGGGGGAGTGGATGAATGGGTGGGACATGCGCCAGTGTGTGCTGCTGTTCTCTTAGCTCCAAAGCCAGAGCATCTCCCACAGCAGCTTCTTCCCTCTGCGTTAGTGAGAACCTACCTCGTGAAAGCTGTGGTGCTGGGGAGGGTGCAAGGGGGGTGACAGATGATCTGTCTGCCTGACTACTGCTTCTAACCAGGTAACTAGCTGTTTCCCAGGGTAGAAAGCAGGTATCCATTTATGCACGATGTTATGCATGTGTTTATTTCACTTTCCTTGACCGCTCACTTATTTCCCAAGACAATGTCATTGGGTTGCAGGAACAAGTAGAGCCAAGATATAAGAAGAATGTATATTTCAGTACATTTAACCTGTAACATGTTCCAAAACAAGGTCTGCATGCGCTTCCTCTGCTCTTTCACAACCCTGTTTACACACACACACACACACACACACATACACACACATGCACACACAGAGAGAGAAAAACACTTGCAGTTAATTCATCCAAATGGCCTGCATGATACCAGGTAACCGCGTCAACTCCTTACCTCACATTTCATCTGTTTGGTCATGCAAACCTGGGTCCTTCTTATCCTTTTGGCTCTGAAAATTCTAATTTTTACTTCCGTGGTTTCTGCCCCAGGGGTCGTGCTGGAAGCCCCCCTAGCTGTGGGGGGAGGGTGGCCCCTGGAAGCGTCTCTCAGGATATGCTCCAGGGTCCTGCCCAGCTCTCACAGCCTCCTGTGCCAGGGCCCAAGGACACAGAAGTCAGGAGCCACCTGGGCAGTGGCCAGTCCCACCCCGAGGGCAATTACTCCCCCAGGGCGTCCTGTGGATGAGCAGCCTTCCAGGTGTGGAGGACGTGGCCCACCCGGACTGACAGGACCCTGCTCCAAGGCTTCGAGGGTTAAGAAGACAATAAAACAAGGACGGGGACAGACAATGATTTGCGGCATCAGGAAGGGTGGGTTAGGGTGGCCAAGGGGCCTGGGCCTGAGTGAGGAGCCAGAGCCCAAGGCGAATGGCTGACGTATTCAGGCAGTTCTTGGAGAGCAGGGGCCAGCGGCAGCAACTAGCCCGGAGGCTTGAGAAAGAACCCAGCACCTCCTCGGAAGCCCAAGGCCAGGTGGAAAGGGGTGGGGGCCCTGTGGCCTTGGAGCTGAGCTTTCCTTCTAAACCTGAGGTCTCAATGAGGGGGACCTCACCTTCAGGGGACGGGAGATGTTGATGCTGGGGAGAAGGGGAATGGGGAAAAATGTGCTCCTTTATGGATAAAGCACAGATACACGTACAGAAAACATACAGTGTATTTGCTCTAAAGTTTCAGAGCAGGGTTGGGGAGAGGGCAGGACAGATATGAAAGAAAAAATCTTCAGAGGACCCTTAGAAGGGCCTTAATGGAAAGGAGATTGAGAAACGCTGGTCTGAGTTGACGGGGTGGTGCTTGGAGGGTCTCAAAGGACAGGGTCACTGGTCCCGAGTCGCACAGCCAAGGCGTTCTGCACCATGTCCCCGGGGAGGCTGAATCTCTGGGCTCACTCAGAGCAGTGGGAGGGAGGCCACCAGAGACGGGGCATCCTGCCTGAGCCCTGTCCAGTCATGTTGAATTTTTTTTTTTTTAATAGAGGCATGTTTTATTTATTTATTTATTTGTTTGTTCTGTTTACACATGCACTGGGTACAGTCAGAAGTGCGGGAGGGTGAGAGAATTCACCAGAGCCAGAGCGGGGAGCAGAGCAGGCAGAAGGACCGAAGTACACTGCTGAGGGGAGCAGCGGGCGGCAGGAGAGGTCTGCGCGCCATGTGGGACCCTCCTCCGGTGGCCGGGGAGCAGCCGGGGATCGAACCGGCGCCGCAGAGGCCGCGGGCAGCTTCGCAACCCAGCGCTCAACCGCTGCGCCACTGGGGAGGCCCAGTCATGTTGAATTTGAAGTAGCAAGGCAGAGAGCGGAGGCCAGCAGGGTCAGGCCCAGAGTCCATGCTCGCAGGGAGGGGCCAGGGAGAGGCCGGGGCTCCGTGGGAGTAGTCTGCAGTTGTCTGAGACCACTGTGGCCGAGGGAATGGAGTGTGGGAGGACTTTGGCAGCTGAGATGGACCCCCGCCCCACCTCACACACCATCAGAGGAGGGAAGGAGTCCTGGCTCACACATCAGGGCTCCCTGCATGCACCCCGACTCCAAGGAGCACAGACACACCCATCTTGGCACTAGATACCAGAGTCAGGCCCAGGGCTCCTACCTCCTAGCTCCTCCCAGGCTGACACCAAGTAGGGGGAGGCTCAGGAAGGAAGGTGCATGTCAGGGACCGAGGGGCGCCAGCCACCAGCTCCCCTCTCGTCCTTCCAGGAAAACCCCGGCTCCCTCAGCTACTCCAACTCCATCAGAGGCCGAACGCGGGGCCACCCCGGCCGAGTGGTCGTGCGGCACAAGGTGCCTCAGCTGAAGTTCGCCTGCAGTGTGGATGGCCCGGCTGCAGCTAAAACTGAGCCTGGGGCTGACGTCCCAAAGGCAGGTGCCAGCTACGACATGTCCATATCCTTCCTGGAGTTGCCTGTGTCCCGGCATGGGGGGCGCTTTCGGCCATATTACGGCAGCCACAGGAAGGAGGTCTTCCTGCAGGCCACTCTCCACAGCGCTGACCCCAGCCTGAGGATCTTCGTGGATACCTGTGTGGCTTCTCCAGATGCCCAAGACTTCACAACTGTCAAGTACGATTTGATCCAGCAAGGGTAAGGAAAATGGAATCCCCTCTGGTCCATAGTACAGTCACATGACATTCCTTTAGGGGCTGTGGCTTCTCCCCGGTATTCCTAATTCATAACCTTGGGCAAGAGTCCTCACTATGCCCCCGGGGCAGCATCATCAGGAACCTCACCATCTCTCTGACCCCAGTTGGGGGAAAAATAGCTACAGGCAGCCTCGTTGGCTACCCTGCATCCCCGACTATCCTGTCGCATTCCAGCCTCGCATACCCTGACCTCTTGCCCTTGAATTTTGTGGCTCCTTCATTGATGAGTTGGTGGGATAACCCGGACTAATGGTGGTAAGGTGTTTGCCAAGTTAGAACTTCAACAAGTTATTCTTTATAGCACCCTTGTCCCCTAACAGGGACAAAATGTTTATGGGCAGGCAGTTGGCAACTGGCACAAAGACAAAAACCCATCGCTTCATGACAGCTGTATTGGGTCGGAGCCACAGCGGTCTCATGGCCTGTTTCCAAAAACCAGCAGAGGGCAGTGCCTTCCACCGGTGGTGAGAGCCATGGCCTGGGGGGTGCACAAATGTGGCACAGAAGTGCCCTGAGTCCGAGTGAGAAAGCTCTTCCCTTTCACTTTTTACACACTCAAGGAGAGAGGTACAGTTTGGTGCCACTACTGACACTTTTTTCTTCTTGCTTTAGGTCTAATCAGCTCTTATTTCTCCAGTTTCCTACGGTAGAAACTTAGGTGATTGATTTTAGACCTTTCTGCTTTCCTACTACATGCACTTTAATGCTGTGAATTTGCCTCTCAGCACCAGTTTCACTGCATCCCACACATTTGAATAAATCGTAGATTCATTTTCACACTTTGCAATATTTTTAACTTCTCTTGAGACTTAGTCTCTGACCCATGGGTTACTTACAAATGTGTTATTTAATTTCCAAATTTGGGGGAATTTTCCATCAACCTTTCTATTACCAATTTCTACCTTAATTCCCCTGTCACCTGAGGATGTATTTTATGTGATTTCTAGTCTTTTAAATTTGTTAAGGTGTGTCTTATTATCCAGAATGTCCTCTGTGTCAGGGGACGTTTTATGTGGGCTTGAGAAGAATGTGTATTCTGCTGTTGGATGGAGTACTCTATAAATGTCAATTAAGTGTAGTTGATTGACAGTTGATTGACATTAAGTGTAGTTGTTTAGTTCACCTGCATCCTTCTTGGTTCTCTGCCCACTAGATTTGTCCCCTTCTGATACAGGGATGGGGACACCTCCAGCTGTAATGATGGATTGCTGCTTTCTCTTTGCAGGGCTATCAGTTTTTGCCTAATGTGTTTTGATGCTATTGTTAGGTGCATATATTTTAAGGGTTGTATGTCTGCTTGGAGGATTGAACCCTGTGTCATTATGTAACATCCCTCTTTGCCCTGGTGTTACCCTGTCTCTGAAATCTCTTTTGTTTGAAATTAATATAGCTACTCCAACTTTCTTTGGATTTCTATTAACGTGGTAAAATCTCTTCCCATCCTTTTAACTTGTCTTTATATTTAAAGTGGGTTTCTTGTGGACAACATATGGTTGGGTCTTGTGGTGTTTGTGTTTGTTTGTTTGTTTTGTTTTTTTGTGGGACCCTCACCAGCTGCGGCCGGGGAACGAACTGGCGCTGCAGAGGCTGCAGGCAGCCTCTCAGCCCAGCGCTCAACCGCTGCGCCACCAGGGGAGGCCCCTTGTGGTGGTTTTTTAATCTACTTGGGCAATCTCTTTCTAGAGGTGGTAATTTTGATTACCCACATTAAAAGGATTTTGATATAATTGGATTAAAGTCTCCCATCTTGGTAACTATTTTCTATTTGTTGCCCTTTTTCATTGTCCCCCCTCCACCTTCTTTTGCTGCCTTCTGTGGTTTTAATTAAGAATTTGATAGGTTGACTTTAATCAAGCATTTTTCCAGTTTTGATTATTTTTAAAATTTTATTGTATTATTTTCTATTGAGGTAACACTGGTTTAAAATACTGTATATGATTCAGAGGTACAGGTGTACACCTCTTCCAATATACGTGACCATACCCCTGTAAGGGCAGGAACGGGCACAGTGCAGGTTTTCTGATCCCGTGCAGACCGGGTAAAGGAGGAGTCAGAGTCCTCAGTGGTTTTGCAGGTCTTTTATTGGGGTTCACCAGGCATATGGCAGGCAGGGGTGCTGGCTGGGGGGCTGGGAGGCTGGCAGGCCTCCCAGCCCCCAGCAAATCTTCACTCTATCTGGGCTCTCTAGCGTTCGTTCTGTTACTTCTCGGCTTCTCTTTCGGCTTCGGCTTCTGCTGCTGCTTCTGCTACTGGTGCTGCTGGCGTCCCCCCGTGATGCCGCCCTTAAAAGCACAGTCTTAACTCAGCTGAATCCCATCCACCTATGCCCACACCCTGTTCCAGGTGCCCGCCATCAGGCATGCATTCAGGACAAGGATCCATCATCTATCCTGATGGCGGAAGGGCAGAAAAGCCTGATATTTTCTTTACCCTACAACCCCCCACCAAAATGCCCATAATTCTCTACCATTGTGCCCACCCCTCCTTTGGCCCCCATCCCACCCACTCCCTCAGGTAGCCTTTAATTGAGCCTTTTATATTATTTACCTCATCTTCTTTTTTGTTGTATCTTTTAAGCTTCTTTCTTTGCTATTTTTGATGGCTGTGCTAGAATTTATAATATACATTTTTTAAATAATTTAAGATTATCTTCAAATAATATGACCCCAGCTTTACTCTCCCCTTTTGACAAAGCAGAGTAGGCCTTCTGAAGGCAACAGCTCTAACTAGATTTAATTACCTTGTTTTATTTTTTATTGTATTTATTTTACACTTCCTTTTTATATCTAGTCAGAAATAGTGGTCTTTCAGCTCATGGTGGTGTCGTAAAGGTTTTTTTTACAACAGAAAGAGTGACTAGTGAGAAGAACTCAGTTTGGAATTCAGAAGTCTAGGCCCAAGAATGACTATTTGCTTCATGTTAATTCTTTTGGCCTGGGGTTTTTCTTCCCATCAGATGCATCAAAGACAACACCTATGTCAACCTCCACTCCCATCAGAAGAACACAGCGCAGTTTAAGTTCAACGCCTTCAGCTTTCTCGACAGCTATGATGTGGTCTATGTTCAGTGTAAGATTGCTGTGTGCAAAGCGGGCGACCTCTCCTCCCGCTGCTCCCAGGGCTGTGCAGGGCGGAGTAAGAGGGGTTCAGGCCCCATGGAGCCCACAGAAGAGCCAGCGGAGCATTTACAAACAGTGGGGCCACTGGAAATCCACAAAGGAACTGGTCAGAGCAAAGGTCTTGTGTGACTTCTCCAGTTTTCACATGAATCTGCTAGACATTAGAAATAAAGTCTATTTCTCTTCAATAAAGTAATAAGTTTGAGAAAGCAGAAGTTGTCCATGTAGAGAAAGAGGAAAGAAATAACTAGAGAGTTTTTTTCTGGGGTTCATTAACTAAATAGACCTTCTCCTGATAACTAAACTCCTAAAGTAATTGTTCTTTTTGCAGATTAGAAATATTGCATTTTCTAATTCTTCACTATCAAGACCTCAATTGCTGTTTTAAAGGGTACAAAATGTTATCAAGAGCAGTTACCTCTTTATACCACAATGCCAATTCCAAGAGTTTTTTTAATTGACTCCTTAATGTCCAGATGCTAGTTGGTGGATCTGTATGTTTCTGTTCTTCTGGTGTGTGAATTTATTTTAAGATCTTGCCAAGAGTCTTAAGAAAAATAAAGTGCCTGTTAGGAAACCATTGCTTTTTTTTTTTTTTTAAACTCTAACTGGTCAATTGAATCAAACACTCCACTTACCCATCAAAACAAATTTTATTTCCAAGGGAATAAATTAGATCATGACTTTATCATGATTTAGATTACATCTTACAAATGACAGTCTGAAATGCAATCACAAAAGCCTCTTGTATTTGCTTTCTCAGCCACCAAGTATTCAATCTGTTTCCCAAATCCTTAAAGCATTAGAGAAAACCTGAGAAGTGCATAAGAAACCTAAAAAACATGAAGAGATGACCATTAAATGAGTTCTGAATCTAATCCAATGTGTGGGAGGGGGATTTTTCCTCTCATCAACAGATAATTACAGAAACGAGTTGAGTATCCCACAGTTCAATAAATTCTAACACTACCTACTTGGAGATAGCATCGGAGTCCACAGATTAAGGACTTAGTCCTACAAGACTGCCCCCTACACCTTCAGATGCCAGTCTCAAGCCCAGATTATCACCTGTTCTTCTGACCAGTAAACCCCAGACGGGAGGTTCCAATGACCTCCCCCTTAGATTCAATTCATTTGCTGGAGCAGCTCAGGAACTCAGAGAAATATTTTATTTCACTAGATCACTGGTTTATTATAAAAGAATATGACTCAGGTACAACCAGATGGAAGAAATGCAAGACAGGGCAAAAGGACACAGTTTCCATGCCCTCTCCCCGTGCCCCACCCTCCCAGCAGGTCCTCCTGCTCACCAACTCAGAATCTGTCTAATCCCATCCTTTGGGCTCTTAGAGAGGCATCATTCCACAGGGTGATTGATTAACCCACTGGTGATTGATCCAAACGCCAGCTCCACTTCCTTCCCTGGAAATCAGGGGGTACCTCTATTTATGGTTGGTTCCCTGGGCATCCAGCCCCCACCCTCAGATGATTCCCCAAAAGTCACCTTTGTTACGGAACCCCAGTTGTGGTGGAAGGGGATTCGTTACAATAACAAGGCAGTCATTTTGCCTTCAAGATGAGTCATTTCAGGAACTGAGGACAAGAGACCAAACTTTATGACCAAAGATTCTCCCATTGCTCGCATCAGTCAGGAAATTCCAAAGCCTGGGGAGCTCTGTGCCAGCACAGTGATGAAGACCAACTGCCCACTCCTCATCACAGCACAGGCATTTCCCCACCTCCTCCCAGAAAGACAGAACTGTCCCACTTTACCTAATTTCTGTTTTTCACCTTCATGTAAAGAGGCCTGGACGAGACTCAGTGCCCTCAGAATTGTCTGAAGATTTGAACACTGACTTTTTTCTTGTCAAGAAACATTCAATAGCAAAATTTAAAGTATGAGGGCTCATCTTCAAGAATTTGTTGCCATTTTTGTCAATAGCATGTGCAGTGTGAGATGCTTTGCTGCCATGTTCCCCAGGGAGCAGGGCGGAGTTTGGTGGCACCTAAGAGCTCAGCTGCAGTCCCAAGAGATGGAAATCTGACCAGTGACCCAACAAGGGGCACCGCCCCTAAAGCGGACACTCGTTTCCTTACAAACATGCCCCTCCTCGACCAATGTCTCACAAAATGTGGCGCTCGTCTTTATTTCGGTGATGCCCTCAGCTTGTTGGTGGTGGAAGTTGATGAAATGATGCAATGAAATGACATGTGAACTTGGTGAAGGAAGCATCTTTAAATCTAAGTCTAATCATATGTCACTGAGTGGCTTTATCTTCAGTTACTTGAAACAATAATTTTCTAACCTGACATCCATTTCATGCAAAAACTTCAAATGAATAAAGCTGTTTTTCCAAGTCACTGTGATGTGAGCTGCTGAAGTTACTACTTTCAGAAGCTCATCTGCTTGTTGACTGTATCTGCCCACAACGTATTGAGGAAATGGAGGCTGACAGCTTCCAAAATCTAGCATTTTGTGGTTTTTAAAAATCCCTAAAATGGGGGGCATCCCTGGTGGTACAGGGGTTCAAGTCTCAGTGCTATCAAGCTATCAGCAGCCACTGTAGCATGAGTTCGATCCCTGGCCAGGACGCTGACCCTCAACGCGCAGCAGACCTCTCCTGTCTCATCTGCTGCTCCCCTCAGCAGTGTGTTTCAGTAGATCCACCTGTTCTGCTCCCCACTCTGTCTCTGGAAAATCCTCTAACCACCCCCACCCCCCGCACCCCTGGTCTACATCCCAGCTCTTGTATGCATAAAATAAATACTAAAAAACCCTAATATGAAAAAGATTGACAATGAAAGGCTGAATTTTAAGAGTAAATAAACCAAAATCCAGTGAACTCCCAAGTCAGGTTCTCAGGGTGTGGCTCTGCCAGTGGGCACCCAGAAGCCACCCTTTCCAAAAGCGCTCCGGGGGATCCTAGGAACACTGTTGTTTGGAAGCCATGGCTGCTGTCAGCATCCCATGCCCCCGGATCAAACTGCAGCCTGGAAATGCCAACAGGTGCAGATGAAAGTGCCCAGAGAGAAGCCTACTCCCCAGCTCAAGGGTCAGCCCAGGGACGCCCAGGCAACAGAGAACTCTTCCAGAAGGCCCCTGCCCTGCTCCAAATGCTACCCACCCAGCTAGCAAAGGGGAAGTGAGGATCCTAGACTTCCACCTGGCTCCTCCCCCTCCCCTCCCCCTCCTAAGTGGTGTCAGAGAAGGCAGAGCGCGGCGTTGGGATTCCATCAATTTGGGGCAGCACCCAGGACCTCGTCATGTGGAGACTCGTAGGAGCCTGAACTTCCACCCGCACCCAGCAGGTAAGAGGCGCTTCGGTCTGCTCTGGGGGGTGTCAGAAGAGGACTCGGAGAGAGAACCTCCATTGCCACCCACAGGCAATGAGGCAACTCCACTTTCCCAGGGGCAGGGGCGAAGCCTGCGCCCCACCCTGCTCAGCATTCCTGAGGGACCCTCTTGTTTCGCATGCCCAGACTCCTGTGGCCCGTCTTTGCTGTCTGCCTTCCTGAAACACTTCGCAAGCCCAGCTCTTAAATACGAGGTTGTGAGACATTCTAAAAGCCTGGCTTTTAAAAGCATGAGTGTAGCGACTGCTCCAGCCTGGCTCCCACACCCCCCTCGGCAGCGTCTCTCATTGCTCAGCGGCCGCAGTCTTGGTGGCTGACACCTCTCAGCAACACCACTGTCCCCGGTCTTCCCCCGCTCACGACAGCTGCCTTGTGCAGTTGCAAGCCTCCGGCCAACAACTGGTCCATGGAGGCCGACAGATGCAGGTCAAAATGGGAGCCAGGGCTGCCCGTGAGAGGTCACCTCGGGGAGATGGAAGCAGAGGCCCCTGGCTCCAGCGTGTCCTCTCACTGAATCCTCCCAATGGCCAGCAGCTGTCATCATTCCTGTTTTAAATTATGGAGTTCAAGGCTGAGGGTGTCCTGCCATGATAACCCACCAGGGAGGAGGAAGAGCTGAACCCAGGTCCTATCTCCAGGTCAGGCCCTTTGACCTCTCCACTGTCGTTTGCCAGAAGAAAACCTGACTGACGGCATGAATCATTGTGCACTGAGAGTGCGTTGCCACAGCCCGGGACGCCACCACAGAGGGTGTTGGGTTCTTGGTGATGTGGTTTTACCCTCTCTAATGAGTCACACTATTTGGCAATTTTCTTAGTGTGAGGTAAACAATTTGGTTATGCTTTTTGTGCCCTGGCCTCTGAGGCCATCACCTGCGGCCTTGGGGGTGTTGCTGCAGAAGGCACTTGGGAGCGTGGGCGCAGGCACGTGTGCCTAACGGACACCTGAGCACGGGCATGGGCATGTGCAAGTGTGAGCACCTGAGCCTGGAGGCCGGGGGTATAAGGGCAGCGTCATTCTGAGAAGAAGACAGCTAGGGAGGGCGAGTGTCTACAGAAGAGGCGAGGCCACGAGAGAACGCCAGAGAGAACCCAGAGAAAAAGCTATAAAGATTCGCTGGGGGTTGGGAGGACTCCTAAGCCTCCCAGGCCCTGGGCCTGCCCACCCTATGCCTAGTTGCCCCACAACTTAATGACAGTATTGCCCGGTGCTTGTTTATCGCCCCCCACCAGTGCCTGGACAGCAGGGGGCGTCCATTCAGATCCTGAGCAGGGAGGGCTGAAACGCCGGTGACCAGACAGCTTTTAGGTGCTGTTTTTAAGTATTTCGTTTGATTTGCCCATTCTCTTAGGAACCTTGAGTTCCTAAGTGTTTTCACATGAGGTTAGAAAAGAACTTCGCAGTAGTTCCATTGGGTCATGCGGGTGGGTGGAGGCGGAGCTCCACTGCGTGGTTGCCAGCGAAAGTACGTGAAAGAGACTTGGAAATGGTGAAAGGAAAATGGGGAAGGTCTGTTTTGATTTGGCGCTGGAAATCGTGTACCCCTAATCATTCTAGCCTATCCACTGCGAGCCGTCCCTCCCACCAACATACTGTCTACCCGATCCACCTGTCAGATTCACCTCAACTGGGGGAATGGAGACTACCTGTGGCCATACAGGAAAGTGGTTGCCTGTTTGGATGCATATAAGGACTGGAAACCAGGTGTGTCCTTAGGTGATGAGGCAGAGTTGCTTTGTTCATCAGAAATAAGGCATTAGATGTGATGTGTGCCAAGTGTGAGATGAGCTAACATGGAGGTGTTTAATGATCTCTGTTCAGCCACAGTAGATAGGAAAATGTAAGTCAGAACTGGTTACTCCTTCACAGGACTATTACTTTGAACTTGGTGTTTGATAGTAAATGAAAGAACTGCTGTTTGATCCCATTAACCCAGAAACATATATATTTTTTTTTTCTTGGGGGGGACCCTCGCCGGAGGCCGGGGAATGAACGGGTGCTGCAGAGGCTGCGGGCCAGCCTTGCAGCCCAGCGCTCAACCGCTGCGCCACCAGGGGAGGCCCAGAAACGTCTCCTTTTATCATCAAGTTTTTCTTTCCAAAGCCCTCTAAGTCTGTCAGTACTGAGACTGCACAAAACAGGGAGGCATCTAAATAAAGGTCACCCTTCTCTGGATCACACTTGAGTTTCTGAATTTATAACTATTTGTGTGTTTCCAAAGGTACCACATTAGCATCATCTAGTGCTGAAGACTACTTAAGTAAAAAGAAACGTTTTCTTTTCACTTAATGTTTACTTAAAGTGGTTGATGTTCATGAGAAAGGGCGTGTTGGATTCACTTATACTTGGGCGGCTGGAGCTCTTTAATGTGAGCTGACTCATCCCATGCTTGTTCATCAGTCATCCTGCCAGGAAGCACACTCTGAGCACAGCGACAGGAGGACCTGGCTGCCACCTGCAGCCCTTCCTCATTTATTCATCACAAAGTGAGCCAGGAGGTAGCAACTGTGTTTTTGGCAACCAGGAGGAGCGTGTCTCGCTTGAGGCTGAACCGCTCAGCTCGCAGTCCTGCAGTTTCTGGTACTTGTGGTCTGTTCTCCGAGCCATGACATGCCTCACCGTGAGTGCAGCCACAATCATGGCGTTCAGAGCCAGCACCGTGAATGACAACAGGTACAGGGGCTTGACAGGCTGGTCCTGAGCTTCGGCTGCCTGGTTGCGATACTGTGGTTCTGGAACTGGAAACAAGGTCAAAATCATTTATAGGTACTACTTGGCATTACAGAATGCTCATGAATTTATTTTTCTACAAAACCTATAAATCTCTTGCATGACTTATTGCATAATAGATAAGGTCAACACAACATACAGCAGCAGTTTCCAGATATTTGAATGAGCTTATATTTATGTTTCATTTCAAAGACAAGATGTCCTAACACTTATTTGTCTAAGTGGTTAACTCAATTTGGTTCCCTGGCATAAGGTAAAAAAATGAAAATGTTGGTTCATTTGTTTATGGTCACTGTTTCCCATAGTTATAAAGATATGCTTCATTGATAGGGAAAAAATCAGTGTCTTCTCTTGAAAGAGGAAAAGGATATTTTCTAATATGATATTTGTGTAATGTTCATTTGTATATTTTCAACTAATTTCAAACTTAAATCCACAGACACATCATGCAAGTCTTCATAGTGAATGTGTTTATAAAATCACCAAATTTAATTTTTGATTGTTTGTGTTCTTTGTTTTGCCATAGTAACATTTTGCTTCAAGTCAAAATCATATCCCTTCAAAGCCCATGAAAATGATATTAAAGACAGAGATCATGGGTTCTGTTATGTCAGGATATTCTCACGTAACATGAATTCTTACAAACAGCTTTTACTTAATTGCAATTTTTCCTAAGCCAGGCAACTCTGAGTTCCCCTTGAGGGTTTACCTTTGACTTTCCCAGGCAACAAGGCAGAGCTGGGGTTTCAACCCCTTAAGAAGAAGCAGGGCTGCCTTGCAAGTGCGACATCTTCTCTACTTAAAGAAACAACTTTCCAAATAGGTGACTGTGTGGGACGCTGACTCATGGTGTTATACCCCTTTAGGAGTTAAAATACATTGTTTTGGATTCAGTTAGCTGCTATGGTGTCTGTAATCAGGAATCAGGAAACTAAGGGAACTGAGGATGTTACATTTATACTCAAAAGCCACATGAATAATGGCAAACAATCATTGTATAACATGCTTCTACCACACGTGATTTACATATTACCTACTCACGGAAATAAAAATGTATCTTGTGTGCCTGAGACGCTTATTTTTTTTAAAGATTGATTTATTTATGCTTACAAGAACTGGGGTGAAAAGCAGAGGTGTGGGGTGTGAGAGGACTCACCAGAGAAAGGGAGGAGCAGAACAGGTGGATCAACTGATATACACGGCTGAGGGGAGCAGCGGGGAGACAGGAGAGGTTTGCTGTGCCATGTGGGTAGCTCCCTGGCAGGGATCGAACTTGTGCTGTAGTGGCTGGTGATAGTGTGATAGCTCTGTCTTTAACCCCTGTGCCACCAGGGAGGCCCCAAGACTCTTAACTTATTTAGGGATTTTTAAAACCCCAAATAAAATAAATAAAATTGAATCTCTAAACTCAATGTGCTTGATAAGGAATACTTTTGAGTGGTATTTTATGAATCACGAGGAATTTTTAGATCAAGTTTTTTTCTTACCGAAACTTCCACCTGCACTTGGATCCCTTTTCACACGAATGGGTCCTATGATGGAATCGGACTTCCATTTGTAGGAAGAAATGTCTCTTTTCCTTCTGGAGACACAGCCTTGGTTGCAGCGAGACTGCTGGTCGCCACTGTCACAGATGAAGACCCTGCACCGCAGATACACAGAGCCCAGATTTCTCAAGAACTTAAAGGCACTAAACTGGAATCTTCCATTGTGTCCAGATAAGGGATACACCTTACAAGTCTCATCTTGAGTACATCTGGAACAGAAATTATGGCACATGCATAAAATGTACAGAAGTTCAGTCCCTTCAATATAGAAAAGCAGTGACACAAAGTTTTCTTTCAACTAATTTGCGGATCCAAAAATCTGCCTAGAAAGATGTCTTTAGCTCAGACTACCATGAGCTAGGGTGATGGGTCGAATTCCTGAGTAAGCTAATAAAGTCCCTTCCAGCTCAAAAAGTTTGAGTCTATGTGAATTCATCAGAAAATCAATGCCAACCTACTAGAACTTGAACACCTTGCTTTACATACTTGTCATGGATGTGTCTAAATGACTGATATAGTTAAAATCCATCAGCTTTTAGGGAAAAAAGGAAAACTATGCTTTCAAAATAGACCTTTCCTTTTAGAAAAAAATCACATATACTAATTATGTTCTGTAGGTGGAGCATAACTTCTGGGTTTTTGTAGAAAATAATGGACATGAAAAAGGAGAAACACAAAGCCATCTTGACAAAAAAGAAATGTGTGACCAGCTTGAATTTTATGCACTTAAAATTCTAGTGCATATGGACTATGGCTGGAGAACTGTTTCAATTTAAATTACTTGTAACAAGTACTCAGTAACTGTTTTGTAAAATGATTTAAATATATTGATCACATTTTATAGTAGTACTAGAAAAATTATACATATGAATTACATCTACATACACACAAAATATTACTTTATTAAAGTCATAATTCTCTCAAAAGGCTATTAGTACCTACCCACTCTTGATCAGGTCGTAGGTTGGAGATACAAAGTCAGGTGTGGGAGAGGTGGTGCAGGTGTCAAGAAACACCACCAAATTGGGGTCGGAGCTGTGTAGACTGACTTGAACAAAAAGAGTTTGGTTCAAATTCACATAGTAAGGTGACTCCAGTAAAGGCTTTTCAAATGAATCGGACTCAAAAAGACTCATGTTTGTGTTGTATTTGCCCAGTGCATTTTCATTTTGGATTATGTCGTCCTCTGTTAAATACATCATCTCCACGGTAGAATTATGTTCCATTTCACACTTGACAATAATCTGGAGATGCTTCCGACGGGTGATGACTTCAGAAATTGGAGATGCAGAAAATGTGATGATGTTGGTGTAAGTAATTGAATGATCTTCTACCTGCAGAAAAAGATGAAAGGCAAATGTTACATTTTAAGTCCAGGAATATTTCAAAGCATAGATGTGAATGACATTTGCATGTAGAGGCACAATTTCTTTAAGTCACAAGATAACAGTTTTCATGTCAATACTAAAATCCTTAAATGTGTGTTATTTAAAAAAACATTCTGGCATAGGAAGAAAAAGTGTCAGCTGACAGAGACAGTTTACATTAGAAAGACTTGACAGTAGACGGGGCAGAATTGTTTTCAGTTATATTACAAACACTGTGAATGCAAATTTCCAGTCCTATAGACTTTGGGTCCAATAATAATATATTTTCTTCTGTTAAGTAGCACTAAGTTCCTGCAACAAACTGGGGAGCTTCCAAAGTGGATACAGATAGCCTGGGACAGTTCTCTCCAGGCTGCCTGCCCTAGAAATTCACAGTGGAATAGCGCCTATGTTCATTTTTTTAAAAATTATTTATTTCTGTCCTTATCAATTCCTGTACAGTAATCTTCATTCTTTTCAATTAAGTTGTTGTCTACTATGCTGACTAAACATTTAGCATATAGGGACCCTACAAGGTTGGGAATTTTTGAGATCTACTAGAAAATGTTGAATAAGTCACAATAATGTTTTCTTATTTTATATTTTTTATATCATTTTTGTACAACGTATCCATTTTCATCTTGGTTATAGTCCCCAAACAATTCCCACCCCCCCTTGTTTTGATCCTACTCTCTTCTCCCCCCCTGTAGTGTATCTCTGGTTTATAGTTGCCTGTTTTTTGTTGTTGTTGTTATTGTTTTTAAAAATTTATTTATTTTTATACAAGAGCTGGGGTACAGGCCAGAGGTACAGGAGGATGAGAGGATTCATCAGAGACAGAGCGGGGAACAGAACAGGCAGATCTACTGAAATGCACTGCTGAGGGGAGCAGCGGCAAGACAGGAGAGGTCTGCTGCGCCATGTGGGAATTTCCCTGGCCAGCTGGGAATCGAATCCACACTGCAGAGGCTGCGGACAGCTTCACAGTGCTGCGCTCAATAAGCTGTGCCACCAGGAAGGCCCTATAGTTGCCTGTTTATTTCGATTTTTACTTTTTTATAATTAGTCTTTTTCCTGATCCCTTATTTGGGTCTTCTAAATTCCTGCTATGAGTGAGACCATCCAGTATTTTTCTTTTTCTTTCTGGCTTATTTCATGAGCATGAGCCCTTGTTTTTGCCCTCTGTCTTTACAGGGGCAAAAGAAGAGCAGCTAGAAAACAGCTAGGAAAGGAATACAGCTGGGTTTTTACCAAAATCACTTTCTGCACAAGTATTACTGGTTAGTCATTAACCCCTACAGCCTATACGCCTTCAAACACTCTCCAGTGAGTTCTCAGAGTTCTTTACCATTTAAGAAAGATAACCACCATCCAGTTACCCTGAAAACAGGTGCTGTGATTGGTGTGTGTGGGTCAGGAGTATGTGCACATACATGTCCACACTCGCTTACCATGTACTCGGCCACTAGGATCTGGAGTTGTTTGTTAAAGCAAATGTCACGCTCTACAGCATTTGACAAATCCCAGCGACTCGTGTTCACGTTACCTTTTTTATTGTGCCACATTCGTCAAGAGAGAAAGAAAATTCCACAACATTAGTTACTTTGGGTTTGCAAGTTGGGTCTTTCAGTTGTAAGCTATAGTCACCAGATTTGAACAACTCCAGGAAGGATTTATTTATGATCACTCGCATCTTGTCAGAAGAGCAAGTTAAAGATGCTGTGGGAAAAGAAAAAGAAAACAGGATGATGGTGTTTATGTTAACTGGGAACTGTGGATCCTGAAAAGCTGTGTGTGGGGGGCATGTAAACCACACAAGAACTGAGACCCACTTTGCCCTGAGCCCCATCAGAGCCCTTGACCAGTTGATCGCCTCTTACAACGTTCACCGTGACCTTGTCTGCAGCTAGAATGTCAGCCTAAGCTGTGTCTCTGCCCGAAGCGTGAAGGGAGGCAGCCCCCAATTTCTGCAGCAAACTTTTTCAGGTTAATAAAACCCTTGATTTCCTCTGGCATGGAGCAATGCCACTGATTCTCAGCTTTCAGATGATGGGTATGTGCCAAAGGCTCCTGGCAGGCTCCCAAGAGGAGGCCAACGTTAAGAAGCAGCCCCCACTCACAGCACCCCCAGAGCGCCCCGGGGACCCAGGCTCCACACTTACTGTTGTTGACATTCTCCGCGTACAGCGACGAGTAGGAGGCGGAGAAGCCCCGGTAGGAGTTGGCGTAGTCTGTGGACAGCACGACGGTCAGCAAGTTCGATGAGGACTCGAAGGCGGGCGCGGTTAGGCCGCACACCTTCCCCATCAGGCCTGAGGTGGTGGAGGGACCATCGTAAACAGCCACAAAGTCGAACCTGCAGTCCTTGTCCATTTCCAGTCTGGAAAAGTAGGGCCACCGGTGGAAAATCCCTAAACCAAGTCAGTTCCATTTTCTGCCATCCCAGCAACCCAGCCTTAAATGATGAAGCTTTTCTTTACTTTGGGCTCTCAGGTTTATGATCAAGACAGCCTGTGTCTTCATCAGTCCCTGACGCAACCTCAGAATCTTTGCAACACTAGGCGGCTTAGTTCACAGCCATGGTATTGGGAAGTGGTTTCCTTTCTACCTCTATGCTTTGAAAAGTGCCATCTGTTCACATGGCAAAGAGGGTCTTGTGCTCATTTCTCTTCCCTGGGCCCCCCAGGGGAGTGCACTGCATTTGCCCCCCCAGAGAGGCGGACTCCCATACTTACAAAATATCCTTGAAGTCTAATTTTATCTTGTAGCCTTTCTCCACCTCTATGTGCCACACGCAATAGGCCAGCTCAGGGTGTGACTTCGGGTAATAGGGGCTGGTAAAGGAACCTTCCATGCCGTCCAGGTAGCCGCCGCAGTTTGGAATAGCTGAGAGGGTCGGGAGGGGGACCGAGAATGTAAATCGGGATACAGACTTTCCAAAATTTCTGGGCTGTGCCTGGAGCTTAATCTCCCAAATGTATTCCACCCTGCTTCTTTGCACCAACAGCAGCATCTTTATTGCTGGACTTTGTGCCCAGTGCTGCAGGCAAGGCGCAGTCCTGACTCCCCTCACCCCCCCCCCCAGGACTCAGCATCGCCGTAGGGGCCCTGGTCTCGGCTCCCGGCCCCGCAGCTGCCGCCCGTGCGCTGGCATCAGAGGACCCCGCTCTGCTGGACGGGTCTGAAGAGACAGACTCCGCACAGGGCCCGGGCCAGGCGAGTGTGACCTTCTGTGCAAAGGACGTAGAAGTGGGAACATACAGGATTCGGGAGAGAAGAAATAGTAGAAGACAAAGGCGGTCCTCGGAACCCTGGCAGAGTCCGTGAGGATTTGGAAGGTCAGCGAGTTGGAAGACGACTCAAAGACAGGAACGTAGTCGGTCTGACTGCACACCCGCCCCAGCAGAGCCGACTGGGTGGAGTTTCCATCAAAAACTTGGATGTTTTCTCTTTCACAGCTTGCGTCTGGGTCGAGCCTGTGAGGAGAAGACGCCTGCAGCCGGGGACCCGACCCCAGCCCAGGGCGGGAGTGGGTGGGGTGGGGGTGTCGCGACTCAGGGACCAGCCTCCCTTGGGCACCCAGGAGCTCATCTGCCTTCACCCGACAGACCAACACCCTCCACACCATGCTCCGCCGTCACCTGAGCGACCCCAGCTGAGCAGCTCTGTCTCACGTCAGAGACATGACTCCAGGGCTCTTTGCTTCTCCCGGTTTCCACCTGTCCTGTTCCCCAGGCCCGTGTGGATTCTGGGGTACAACCTTCCGGTACACATTTTGCCCCCTCTGACCTCTGAAATGACCACCCCTCAAGGAAAAGGAAACATGGCATCTTCCTGGCTGCCCCTTCCTTTCCTCACATCATCACAGCTCCTTCTCCGGAGGCGCTAGAGAGCTGCCCTGGGCCCCCCCTCCCGCACCCCACACTGCGCAGGGGGCCCAGGACTACCACCCATTCTGGCAGGGTCTCCCCAAATGCCTCAGAAGACATATTTCCAAGATGAACTAGGGGAGAAAACACAAGGGTGGACAAATCTGGATCCTCCCTCCACCTGTTATCTGCTGTGTAAATTTGGAGATGTGGGTTGGCCTTTCTAGGTCTCAGCTTTCTGGTTTGTAATGTGGAGCCATCGCACCTGCTTCCTCAGAGGGCGTGAGAGCTGTAATACGCTGAACACGAAGAAGCAGCGCCAGCCCGCCGGCCCCCAGGAGGCGCCCACAAACGTCAGCCATGACTATGCCCTCCCCTGGCTCTTCCCAGGCTGCTGTTCTCTCTTCTCCTCTCTTCCTGCCCAAGAGAGTCCCCCTTCTCTTGCTTCTTTGAGGGGATGAGGGCAAGTCTGCTCTAACCTCCGCGGCAGAGGGCGGGTGCTCAGCACATGGCTCCTGACCAGCACCTGCCACCGCATCCCCTGGGAACTCGCTCCCCGGGCAAACGCCCAGAACCCACCTCCCCGTGGGAATCCGAAATTGCGCGGGTCGGGTTCAGCAGTTGGGCTTTTGAGAAACCCGCCAGGTTCTCTTTTGACAGCACCTCCCTCACATGAAGGAGTTCAACCAGCCTCGCCAGGAACTCGGGCCTTTACTTACTGGAAGTAGGAGAAGATGATTCTGATGCTCTTGTTTTCGGGTCTTTCTACAGCCCAGGTGCAGTCCTCACTGGGTTTGAGTTGCAGGAGCAGGGCTTTGTGGGCCTCAGACTGGCTGGCGCCCCCCAGACTGGCTGTGCATTTGGATCTGTCTGACAGAGACCACAGGTGGTATCGAGGCATCAGCTGTCCCTCTGCCCCTGGGCCCCCAGCCCTGCACGTCCAGGGCAGGACTCTCCCTCCCACATGTACTGTCTGGACAGTTGTTGTGACAGTCCTTAGGTCACCCCAAAGCAAGCTGGCCATGACCGATTTCATCTCTTAGGGCCCTTTCTTGGGGAGAAAGTATTTATGACTTCTCTGCAAATGGTGCATAAAAGAATACAGACTAAAATAGGACCTGAAGAAAGACAGTTATGGAAAGGGGTTTTAGATTTAGAATATGTAAAGACCTCATACAATCCAATAATTAAAATACAAGTTCATCCAATTAAAAGTGGGCAAAGGGCCAACATAGATAGTTCACCAAAGTCATCAATGACCAATGAACACATGTTGGGAGACTCGCCATCAGAGAATGCAAGTCAGAGCCAGGTCGAGAGCTCACCTCCCACGGGCAGGCTGGTAAGCCAGCAACGGAAAATAGCAAGAATGGCCGAGGGTGGGGAGAAGTTGGCACTTGTCAACACTGCTCTCGGGGATCAGAAACAGGGGAGCTACTGGGAAAACAGTCTAGCAGCTCCCCCAATGATCAAACAGTTACCCTCCCCAGCAACCCTCCCCACCCCCCGGGCACGTCTCCAAAGGAAATGAAACAGGTGTCCACACAAAAATGTTCACAGAGAACGTTTACAGGAGCACTAGTGAAAATAACAAGATGTTCATCAGCTCTTGAATCGATAAATAAAACAGGCTCTCCGTGCCATGGAATGTGACTTGGCAGCAAAAAGGAGGCCACATGCCTCACAACCCACGGCTAAGCCGAGCACGGGTGCGGCTTGGCTTCCTTGACCAGAAATGTCAGGTGGCCATGTCTATAGACAGAAAGCAGACACGTGGCAGACATGGGGCGCTGGGGAAATGGAGAGCTGCCAGAGTCTCTCTTGGGGTGATGAAATGTTCTCAGGTTGGAGAGTGGTGATGGCTGCGCAAGCACTAAAGGGTACATTTATGTGGTATGTGAACACCATCCCAGTAAAGTTGTCATTAAAGAGAAGAGGAGGGCCTCCCCTGGTGGCGCAGCGGTTGAGCGCTGGGCTATGAAGCTGCCGCAGCCTCTGCAGCGCCGGTTCGATCCCCGGCTGCTCCCCGGCCACCAGAGGAGGGTCCCACAAGGCGCGCAGACCTCTCCTGCCGCCCGCTGCTCCCCTCAGCAGTGTACTTCGGTCCTTCTGCCTGCTCTGCTCCCTGCTCTGGCTCTGGTGAATTCTCTCACCCTCCCGCGCTTCTGACTGTACCCAGTGCTTGTGTAAATAAATAAATAAATCATTAAAAAAAAATAAAGAGAAGAGGAGGAGGGGAAGGTGGAGGGCAGAGCGGAGGAGGAGGAGAGGAGCCACGGTAATTGAATGTGAATAAAAAATCAAATACTTTGCAATGGAATCTAAGAATTTGTTAAAAAACACTTAGAAACAAGTTTTTTATTTCCTTTTTTGTCTGTGACTGATCAGTTATGTCCTTATACTACAGCCTTTTATTTTTTCCTTAACATAGTTATTAATAATGTGCTTATTGGTTTTATATATATATATATATATATATATATATCTCAGAAAGACAACTAAAGAAAAAAAAAAATAACCCTACCACACCTAGAAGCAATTATTAAAAACTTCTTATAAATACCTCCGGATCCCAAGCTTGCCGCTTCTCTTCCAGATATTTTTAATGCTCAAGTGTCCTTAGTTTAAATACGAACACCATGATATATACAAATTTCCAGTATTTTTTTTTCTTTTTAAGTAGATCCTAGGCACCTACTCTGACTTTTAAGAAGTTGCCAAAGAGGGCCTCCCCAGTGGCGCAGCGGGTTGAGCATAGCGCTGTGAAACTGTCTGCAGCCTCTGCAGCATGGGTTCAATTCCTGGCCGGCCAAGTAGATTCCCACATGGCGTGGCAGACCTCTCCTGTCTCGCCCGCTGCTCCCCTCAGCAGTGTATTTCAGTCCGTCTGCCTGTTCTGCTCCCCGCTCTGTCCCTGGTGAATCCTCTCACCCTCCCACTCCTCTGGCCTGTATCCCAGCTATTGCATAAATAAAAATAAATAAATCTTTAAAAAAAAAAAAGTTGCCAAAGAGCCTTGCCATATAGGATAAATGATGGAAATTTTCATTGCTTGTTATGTCACTGCCCAGTAGGAACATTTTTGTTCACCTTTAAGATTACTCCTAAATATTAATTTTTAGTAGTGAAATTACCTGCTAAAATTCTTGTCCTTTGATATTTTCATGCAGATTGCCATGTGGGTCCGAAAAAAATGTAGTATTTATTCAAAATCCTATCAAGAGTATAACCACAAGTATTCTCTGCGGGGGCAGGTCTCTCTATTTTGATGGAAAACACTGGTCCAGTTTTCTTACCTTCAGATCCAGTCAAATGCAGCTGTGCCAAGCCTGACACAATTAAAAGGGCCAAAGGGACGAGCCTCCTTGCAGCCTCCATCTTTGAGGGAACGGGCAGCCTTCAGCGTGAGCAGCCATTTATATTCTCTGTGTTCTATAACGGCATGTCTGCTTTCATAAGCTCCCTGGCAACCCCAGGGAAATGTATCAGGTTAAGCCCCAAAACGAGTAGATGCAGGTGAGAATACAGCAGCTGTGTGCTGGTTTATTATCAACCTCCAAGAATAAGTGTTTCCACTCGCCAGCTCGTTCCGGAAGGCTCGCAGACAGTACACCGCTGAGCCTCTCGGGACTCTCCAACAATAAAGGTTTCCACTCGCCAGCTCATTTCGAAAGTCTCATAGACAGTACCCCACTGAGGCTCTCGGGGACCCTCCAACACGGGGCAGACAGGATCTGAGCCCTGCCTGGAGGCCTGGCTCGGAGTTGCAACTTTGACCTGTGGTTTGCCCCAGTCACAAAGGGGTTAGCATTACCACGGACATTTGAAGCCTTCACTGCTCTTCTCCTCCCAAAGTGAAAGCATGTGGGGGCCCAAAGGTCCAGCTGGGTAAGATGGGTGGTGTGGCCCCTAGGCCAGCTCTGGGTCCAGCTGGGTGACTCAGAGGCCTGCCAGGGTGTTGCCCATGAGAAGGAGGGAGCGGTAGCACAGGACAGGGGAGAAAAAGAAAGGGCAGGTCCAGATACAGCTTCCAGGGATTTCTGACTGGTTATGTCCAGAAAGCCTGAAGCAGCTGAAGCAAATCCTGCTATCCAAGGCGAGGCCAGCGCTTCCATAGCAAGGCCAGCCCCTGTGGCACGGGAGCTGTGCTCATGAGCGTGTAGACGTGGGGATGCCCGCTTTTCATTCATTCACTCGTGCATTCATTCAGCAAATACTCATTAACTACTATTCTAGGACCTGAGGATACAGAATGAATCTTGAGAAGCAATGGTCCCTGCCCTCGGGAAACTTATTTGTTCTAAGTGGGGGGAATAGACAAAAAAAAATTATGAACTATGAATAGATGGGACAGAGTATCTTGAGGGGAGGGAGATGCAAAATTAGGATGGGGCAAAGGGCATCTTGAGATGGAACTTGAGCAGACTTAGAAAGAGGCATTTATTGGTGACCTGGGCCTGGGAATGTGTTTTAGGCAAAAGAAGGGGCAAGTGCAAAGGCCCTGAAGCGGGAACCAGTTGGCTATGTCTGCAGAGTAGGGGAAAGTAGGCTAGTGTGTGTGTGAGACTCAAGGGGAGGTGGGAGGCAAGGATGAAAGGGAAAAGCAGGTAATGGGCCTGGAGGTCAAATGAGGAGTTTGGATTTTATTTTAAATTCAATTGGAACTGTTTGAGCAGAAAATGGTAACTAATTTTTCAGAACTAATTTTTCAGAACTAATTTTTCCTAGCAGCTCTGTGGAGGTAAAAGTAGGCATGGATCAGATCTTCTGGGTTGAAACCTTTCCTGGTTGCCTCAACCCTTCTATGTTGTTCTGTCCTGCAGCCCAGGAGCCCTCTTTGGGCTCTAGACAGTGGGGTTCCCTGGAGTACCCAGGCCCGGACAGGACCAGCGGGTAGACTTCTGGTTGGGATCCTAGACCAAGTGCTGCAGCAGCTAGGCCAGTACCCGGGACCCGGGGAGCTGTGGTCATGAGGAGCCAGGACACTCTCCGAGGTGACTGCACAGCTCTGCTTGGTTCCTGTCCCTGGGAGACGTCTTCTAGGGAAGCAGGAAGTTTCCCAATCCTGCTGCTTGGGGGAGTCTGATGCTTAGTTTCTGTTCCTTTCCAAAGCCTGCTGCTTGGGGGAGTCTACCACTTAGATGCTGCTGCTTGCTGGAGTGGAGAAGTTGCTGGGTATACTGCACTGCTTGTTCGCAGTGGTAGCCATGGCAACCTTGACTCCCTGCCCCCCAAATAAAGAATGCTTATGCTGTGATGGATGGGGTAGCAAGTTTCCTCACACAAACTGTATAAAACCCTGCCATTTTTACTCGTGGGTGCTCAGCCCTTTGGGGAGCGATCCCACTGAGCCCACCAGTGAGATAATTAAATCTCTCTCTCCACCTCTCTGAGTGCCACCTGATTTCTCGGGGAAATTGCCGTAACACTAGTGCTGGCCATGAGCCAGGTATGACAGCAAGTAGGGAAGGTGGCGGGGGGAAGGCAGGGAGGGCCTCCTTATGTAGGGGGACCCTCTGATTACTAAGGACTGCTCCTCCTTGGCTGTATCCACAGTCTCGCCCTTTCCGAATTTCTAGCAGCACTTCTCGGACACCGCTCCTGAGCGTGAGAGAATCATGGTCACCCCTGGGGATTAGAGGTCAGGAGAGTGTGTGGTTCAGGCCACTGGGAATTTACCAAGACAGCGTGGGGGGTCGGGGGTTGGCATACCTCATTTTTTAATCCTCACAGTCACCTATGCAAACCCTCTATTTACATCAAGGTGACTGAGGTTCAAAGAAGTTAAGGAACTTCCCCAGCCACCTCGGGGACCAGCGATGCGGGAGTCAGGGGTATTCCCAGTGAGCCACCAGCCTGAGCAGGGCCTCAGGGATGCTGGGCATGTGACACCCACCGGAGAAAAATGGGACATGCCCAGGAACTGTGACGACCAGGCTGGAAGCAGGAGATGCCAGGAGAGGAGAGTGTCTCCCAGAGCCCCAGAGGGACAGGCTGCTTCCGCCGGGCAGACTCAGGGGGGATGTCCTCTTAAAACTCATACTGTGGCTGGGGCGCGCACCATCCCGGGAACCTCTTAATAATTCCCCTGGCCAAAATGGGAACAGCGCCAAAATCCCCACTCCATCTGGCAAATATCACTGTCCCTAAAGTGCTGAATGTTCCCGTCAGCTGCAAGGACTGAAACTCAGCTGTGGGGTGGCCTCTTCCCTTCAAGGGCTTAGTTCTGTCACTGTTCATGCCACTGCCAGCCTAGAGACCGTAGCTGCTTCCTTTGGTATTCCTGTCATCTTTTCTCATCTCTTTGACTAGATAACACCTGTTTCTTGTTAATTCTTTACATAAAATATAAAAATCACAAAGCAAGGGTTATGGAAATGAGACAAAGGACAAATTGGGGGTCTGGTGGGGAGCTGTGATTTGAAAGGGCTTCCAAAAGTTTCAGTGGCCAGAGCTAGGACAGGTGGAAGCTGATGAGCAGAAGTGTCAAGGAGGCATCGTGCTGCCTGTGACTGAGATGAAGGCAGTGTGGGCTTGGAGGCTCAGATGGAGGATGCTGGCAACAGTTAAATTCACTGACAGCTAAATCAGCAAACATTTGTGTTAAAAAGATCCAAGGAGGGGGCCTCCCCGGTGGCGCAGCGGTTGAGCGCTGGGTTGCAAAGCTGCCCGCGGCCTCTGCAGCACCGGTTCGATCCCCGGCTGCTCCCCGGCCACCGGAGGAGGGTCCCACATGGCGCGCAGACCTCTCCTGCCGCCCACTGCTCCCCTCAGCAGTGTGCTTCGGTCCCCCTGCCTGCTCTGCTACCCTCTCTGGCTCTGGTGAATTCTCTCACCCTCGTGCGCTTCTGACTGTACCCAGTGCTTGTATAAAGAAATAAAAAATAATAATAATAAATCTTTAAAATAAATAAATAAAATTAAAAAAAAAAAAAAGATCCAAGGAGGAAAGCTGCTTCTGAAGATCTGGGCAGTGGCAGGAGGAGGAACCTCACATTTTCTAGATATCCCTTTCACACCACCAAGCTCAACCCCATGGGCAACTTATACCCAGAGGTGTCCCACTGGCTGTCCCCACTCTCTCTGGGATGAATACAGCGCCCCCTTCAGGACAATGTCCATAACCGACTGTGGGAGAGAGCAGGTGGGGAATGAAAGAAGCCCTCAGAGACAGAATTGCTAGAGAAACTAGCATGGACAGTTTAGCTGGGTCCAAAATTCGAAGCACTCTGAGATCAATAAATATTTTTCTTCTGGGATTGGAGATGTCTACCCTAACCTTCTTATAGTGCAGTATAGTATTACAAGCTAGTTACCCTAAATCCCATTGTGAGTATTACACAAATTTAAGTAATAACAAAACCACAAAAGGAGGCAGGAGGACTCTTTCCAAGATTGCATTTATTTAAAAGTACATAAATATATAGTACATAATATAAACACTAAAACTTGATTTGAATAATCAAACACCCTACTAAGAAAGAAATATTGCTGCTGAAGATATGTGTGTCCACCTTTGTCAGAGGCCCTCGTTCACGTCACACAGGCACGGTGGCAGGGTGTCAAAGTTGCCATACAAGTTACAATCGTCACAGCACCTGGGGTTAGGGTAAGACACAGTGTGATGGCTGTGACCCAGTGACCTTGTCCTGGGCCACGAAGCCTGGATTACTTAAGGTCAAACAGCCAGATAACTTTGGAGGTCTTAACAAAAGACAGAAATAACAGATGGTTTGAGAAGTTTTCCTCTCAGTCCATTTGCTCCCATTGGCCGGGGGATCTGGGAAGCTCAGGGCTGGAGCCCAGCAAACACGTGGCGCGGCCTGAGGTACAAGCTGTGTGCCTGCCCCATGTTCCTACCTAGTCCCTCCTCCTAGGATTGCTGGATGGGCCAGACCAGGTCACAGCAAAGGAGGGGCAGCGGGTCAGCCAGCTCAGCCCCGTGGGCCTGCCAGCTGCAGAGCACGCTGGGAGGGTGCCCCCATGGGACGTTCCCAGGTTCTGGGTTTGACCTCCCAGCTCATAGGCTTAGCTTCCTTGCAGTGGGAACTCCACTGCTCTGACCCTCCAGCTCTCCCCTATGGGAGAGAGTGCTCCTTCCCCCAATCTAATTTTCTTGTCTGGTCTACACCCCCTTGTCAGGTGTCCCTCAGCCCTTCACTCAGCTCAGCCTCCCCAGAGATCTTGAGGCCACCTTGCTGTCCCCAAGGCCCTGGACATGGAGGTGGGACACTCCGAGAGCTCCAGGCAGGAGGGGATAGACTCCGCCTGACCTTTGGGTGAATGTGAGGCAGGGACCTGTTCATGGAGCCCCCAAGTGTCCAGCCTGCAGGGCCTAGGACAGAGGAGGGCCCATCCCAGGCCCATTGGTGAGGTGAAGTGATGGCAGAGCCGCCAGCTGCGAACTCCTACCTGTGAGCTCACAGCCCCAGGCTGGGAGGGGAGAAGCCGGAGTCCACACTCACCTGCCTTTGCTTTTCCAACCCACCCGCCCGCCAATCTGGCCCAGCCAGGGGCAGCCACCCTGATCCAGCAGAGCACCCGGGTGTCCACTCAAGGGGGGCTAGTCCCTCTAAGCCACACTACTCACCTTAGTGCGTAGGATACTTTGCGGTAGAGACAGATGACAACACACATGAGTATGATCATGGTTACCAGGATACCACCAGCAATGCAGAACATGAGGATTGTTTTGACCTGCGAAGCAGTATCTGGGCAGAGGAGCGAGGGAGACAGTGAACACGGCCCCCTCACCCCCACAGCCACCTGGCAACCTCAGTGAGCTTCCTCTAGTGGAGGAAGAATGAACCCCAAACCACAGACTCATCTGCATGTACGACACGAGAGAGTCTGCCCAGAGGGGCCTAGGGTCTAAGTGGCCCAGAAACAGGAGATGGGGTGGTGGTCACCCATAACAAAAGGATAAACTGCAAAATTTAAAAAGAGGACAGAAGTGGGGTGACTCCATTTCACAAGCAGTAACGTGCAGCAGTAGATAACAGATGGACCTGTGCTTGGACTTACAAGCTCTTGTGTGTCACCCAAAACGTGTTCACTTTCAAAATTCAAGTTAACCCCTCTCTGGTATTAATTTAGGTCTTTATCTCTCCCTGACACTGTCTTTGTTCCTGCTAAATACTAAATCCTTCCAGAAAATCCAATTTGTCTGGGATCTATCACTTGTTTAAATCCCTGAAACTGCAGAAAATTGAGCCAGGAAAGAAAAAATAATCAAAGCGCCAAAGGATCTTACCAGGTTCTGCATCCTGAATGCTAGATGAAAGCTGAAAGTGAAAAATAATTACAATTAAAATAAACTTCAGGGAAGAGAACATCCTATCGGGAATTTCTCAAACCTTTAATTTGAGAAAGAAAACTCTAAGAAATGAAAAGTTTAAAGAGCTGTCTTTGAGAAGTGCAGTCTCTGCCAGAGCTAGCAGAATGGACAGCCGCTGGCCAGTGCGAGCTTCTGTGTCTGCCAGGCCCCAGGCTGTGTGACATCAACTGTCTGGCCCCCCAGCCCTTCCATGGAGTTCCGAATTCCGTTCCCTGTTCTCATGTGCTTAGCACTAATGGAAATGAGTGTCCACTACTGTTTTAAGTCATTTCACCTCAGTCTCACCTTTTCAGGTTCTGTTTCCTTCAGAGAACTAAGGTTTGACTATTAATTAAAGGCAAATTTGGGATTTCAATAAGATAACAGGAATGTGGGGAGTTAATACATAATAATACTCATATCATCTAAAAGTTCAATTATAGAAGACCGAAATAATATGCTGTTGCCACCATTTAACAGGATTCAAATATAGTTCATTGACTATAGAATGTCACATTAAAATATAATAGTGTGGACTATTGTAAGAGTGAGGAGTGACCTCCAAGGCAAGAGGGAGCACCCCAGGCTTGCTGGACTGAGAAGGTGGAGCTCTTGAGACTCCACCCCTTGATGTCAACTCCATGGAAGGAGGTGGAGCTTTCTCAGGACTTTACTCCATCTGAGCAAGTTTGTTTTCACTCCCCTGGGAGCACCCCCAACCCCCCAGTCACAGGGGGAGCAGGAGGGGTTATGGGAAGGCCACAAAAGAAAGCCTTCCTACAACTTCTAGAATGCCAGTTTGGTGATATTAACCTCCAGCACAGCTTTCCATACATGGAAGAGTGTCCAGTTTCCCTCCTTGGTCGTGACCTCTTAAGGAAACTTAATGATTAGTTTCTCACCCTAAGACCAGAGGCCACACACTTAAAAGTACCCCCAGAACATGCCTTATGATTCCAGATGGCACTCGGGATGCCCCACCGGGAGGTGAAGTGGAAATCTGTGAAAGGGTAAGTAAAGTGGGCTCTGGAATATGCCAAAAAATGCAGATCTAGTAAGAATGGATGTGCTGGAAGGTAGCAGAGCCTAAGGAGAAAGCAATAGCTAAAAGAGGAAGCCTTTTGGGGAACCAGCTAATTTCTTAATCTGTCCTCATTGGGCCCAGCTGCTGCCCCTACAACACTGATTTTTCCGGTAAAGAAACCACACACAGATTTTTTTCTTTTCTTCTCTCAATTTCTTTTGGTTTTGCTCTCTTTTCATTTCCTTCCTCCAGCTTTCAGTGTGTTTAACTGGCTCTTTCTCTAGTTTAAGTTGGTAGTAGCAGGGCGTAGCCTAGACCCCTGATCATGTACTTGTTTGTCCCACTACATCAAATTTCTATCACCGTGCCAGGGCAAAGTGCTTCTTTACACAGCTGCTTCTGATCTGCTCCTGATTCTCAACTTCAGGGAAATCTTGTCTACATAGTGGGTAGCCCTGCTGTTGCCCTGGCGAGCGGAGTGTTGGCCAGCATTGTGACAGGGTCTTCCTAAGAGAGAGCCCCCTCCTGAGTGTCCCTAGGGGTCTCCCCTTGAGCCATCACACTCAAGGAACAAAGACCTTGATGAATAATAATGTGCCCTGAGATTTCCATTTCTTGATCACATTGTCTGTAAAACCAAACCTAAAGACACCCACTGTCGTTTTTTGTATTTTTCAGTGTCCCAGTCCAAGCAGATGTTTAGCACAGGGAAAGGTTTTGTCTTATTGGGAGTCATGTTTTTCCTTTTTTGAACAATAGCGCTGAAAAGATTTATTTGAAACTTAGTTCATCGATGCTTTTGCCAGTTCATTTCAGGCCTCTGGTACAGAGGCTGGCAGACAATAGCCCACCAACCACATAGTGACTGATAATCGACTGATGGCTGCCTGTCTGACACTGGCTCTTACATATTTCATCCCCTCAGAGATTCTGTGAGGTTCTATTTGCACTTTCATGTAGTTCAAAATATTCTTTTTCAAGACTTCTTTCAATCACATGTTATTTAGAAGTGTTGCTTGATTTCCAAATACATTAGCATTTTTCCGATATCTAGTAGTTGTTTCTACCTTAATCTCATTGTGCCTGAGAGCATTCTTTGTGTATCTTACAAGAAATTTTGTTATGTGTGTTTTAGGCCCAAATAAGCTGTCAAATAAACATGGTAAATGTTCCATGTATTTTGAAAGGAATGTACAGTCTGCTATTACTGGATAATATGATCTATAAATACTACATCCAGTTCAATTCAGCTATACCTTTCTTTACCTGCTACATCAGCCAACTGCCAGAAGAAGAGTCTTTAACTCTCCAAGTATAATAGTGAGTCTGTCTGCCCCTGCACCAGAGTGGATTTTCTCCACTTTTTGCTGTAAATATCTGATGGGGCTCCTACAAGTAAAACTCACAAAAATGGGGGCCTCCTGAGTGTCCCCAGAAGTCTCTCAAAGCCAGTCCACATACGGTCTCCAGCAATTCATCAATGGTCATTTAAGTATTCCTGCCAGTTACTGCTCCAGAGAATTCTGTTGATGGTAAGTTGATCTCAGCTGTGATCTTCTGTATTCACCTCACTCTGCAGTTTCCAGGGTGACTTGTTCAGCCAAGTCTTCAAATGTTAATATGGAATTTCATTAATTTCAAATGTGAAGGATTTCAGTTTCCTCAGTTTTTTTCTTGTTGTAAGGACAGTTGTGATAAATTCCAAGCTCATCCATGTCAGAACTGAAACCAGAAGTGTGTGTATTTTCTTTAAGGCTACGATTATAAAACCACGTAAACAAAGCTCTTTGGACTGTTCAACATTACATGAGTATTAAGGGGTCTGGAATATATACTATGACACACTAGAATTCCCACTATAAATCCTATGTTAATAATAAACTGCTCTCCATATAGGCAAGCAAATATTGACATTGTGATATTGTTGAAAGGTTTCCTTATTTCAAGTGGAAGAAATCACATTTGTGATTCAGGACAAGAGTAATTTATAGCACCTTAAAACGGAGACACCACAACCACCCTGGCTTTGAAAAACACTGTAAGTTTGAATTTAATTTATCCTTTTTCCCCTATTACCTACTGATAAAGTTCTCAAACAGCCTCTGTTACCATCCTTATTAATTACACTCAGCAAACCTGTCCTCAGCACCGCTATCAAATGTTTGGATCTGTTTGATGTTTGATAGAAACATACCTATCAGATATGCTTCTTAATTTCCAGGCACACAGATGGTAGAGAACACAAATATGAAAATTATTTTATAAAGGCCCAAACACAAGAGACCTAGAGTACTCTGGGAAGATGGGGTTAAATCAGGCTTTTTTCTGTCTCCCCACCGCTGGCCTCTATGGCTGGCACCTGCAGCCTTGCACGCCTCCTAGGTTGCTCACACGCACGGACGCCAGGCTGAGACCCGGGGATGCAGGCATGGGCACCTATGCTTATGGACACCTGTGTCGGAGAGCACAGGGCACCTGCACGTGTTGAGTGTGGACATCTGGGCCTGGAGGGAGGATAAAAGGGGCTCCTCGGCTCTGGTGCATTTGCTTTGGCGTCACTCTGAGGCTGGGGGCCAGCTAGCTTGCTCTCAGCCTGCTTGTCTGCCCCCAATTCAGCTTTAAGGGTTGAAAGCTCAGGCTCCTCTCCTTGCAGACAAGGATGGGGAGCTTTAAACAGATTTGGGGGGATTGAAGAAGATGGGGGAAATTGAAGAAGTTGCCTGGGGAGGGGTTGAAAAAGTTGGGGGGAATTGAAGTTGCCTGGGGGGCGTTGAAGTTGCAGGGAGGAATTGAAGTTGCTTGGGGAGGGGGTTGAAGAAGTTGCCTGGGGGGTTAAAGAAGTTGAGGGGAGGAATTGAAGTTGCCTGGGGGGATTGAAGTTGCCTCAGGGAAACAGCCCCAGAGGAGTCATTTTTGGGGAGCTGTTGGGCTCGGAGAGCGGGGTCCTTGGGTTAACTCTGGGAAGTTTCACCAGAACTCCCTTTTCAGTGGCACTGATGAGTTTCTCCAGGAGACAGACGTTAGTAGATGTATCCAAAAAGGCAGGTTTATTATAAAAGGGAGAGAAGAATAAAGGACACTTGCACAGACACAGGTGGGCCGAAAGGGCTGCTCCCAAAGGGGGCAGGTCTGCTAAGAGGCCTGTGCGGCCACAGGCGGGTGCTTGGGAGGAGAGCAGCCTCTGGTATGGGAGGCCAGTGAAGTGAGCACAGGCAGGCAGGGGCTGCTGCCCTGCAAAGGGAGAGAGTTGCCACTACAAAAGGAAACGGTCCAGGGAAAAGAAGCACCTGCATAGTCACAAGCCATTGGAAGGATGGCTGCTCCCTGCCAGTGCAGAAAATGCACCGATGTAGTCTTTTAGAGAAGGGCTCATTCCTTTGTGGTTTTTCTTGATTTCGGGAAAAAACTATAGAATTTAGAAAGGACCAGAGATTCTACAATAGCCCTCAGTCTCCATGTCCTCATCTCCAGTCTGCACCCGGGACTAACAGCAGTCTGACCTGATGCTTGCTTGGGTCTGCACCCCAGAGCCTAAGGATTTTTTTCATTCCTATAGCTGATTTAATGATCATGTCAGTTGCTTTTACCCCCACTTATAACTCTTGGCATGGCGTGAGCCAGGTTTCTGGTCTTGCGGTTCCTCCTTTCCAAGCTTTTTTTCTCTTAACCTCCATCACCAGGACCTCTGGCACATAAGAGAACCAACGAAATGTTACTGAACCCATAAAACCCACCTGTGGCCATTAAAGATGAATGCAGTCTAAAGGAATACAAGGACTAATTAGACCTGACACTTTAGATAGCAGCTAGCACAGACCTGTGGCCTAAATCTTCAGAGAGCTTGCAAACTCAGTATAAGAGCCAAAACCCCTCTCAGACGCGACACTTTTTCTTCTAATCCCTGCTCCTCTGCAGTAACTCAAACCTACCTTTTCTACTTTCATACTGTCTAGTGAATCCTTTCACCCTCATAACCTGGTGACCCTTCATGGCTGTTCCACCTACTTCGCAGGTGATGAAAATGAAGGCTAACAACCAATAAACTTAAGTGTTCAGATGTGTCTAGAAATTTAGTGCTTGAAAACAGGCAGAGATGGAGGAAAAATAGGATTAATTTCTTGAAAATAAAGACAGGATGATTTGCTGGAGCTATGGAATGAAAGAGTAGTCCAGTTTTCTGGCATGTGACCTGTTAAATAAGGAAGTCAATATTCCATCCATAACGCTGTGATTCATTAAATGGCAGACTGGTATTTCTGAAGAGCCTATTTTGCTTTGGACTGTCCTCTTAGGACCCAAGAGGCAGCAGGATATATAGGACAGAAGTACTGCTGTAGATGACTAGAGTAAGTCTTGAGCACTCATTCTGGCACTTGTTAAAAACAGCCTTTATAACTACGGACTTTATATATTCTGTACTTACCAGATAATTGGTAGGGCTTCTTTTTCAATATTGCTAAGTCCATCTAATATAGGCCCTGGATAAGGCATTACCTACACATACATTGCATTTTTTTAGCACTCTGCCTGTTATTCCACAGGTAAAGAGGGGCAAACCAGGCATTGTTTTTGTTAGGTACATAGCCTAATACAAGTCAAATAAAAACTTAAGAGTATTTTGCACTGAAACAGAACAGGAAATAATGACGACAGACTTAATGTGGGGCAGAGAAAGTCTTTTTTTCCTAAAGAGAATACCACACATTCAAACAATGCTGATTTTCCAATTTTATTGCAATCGAATTTGCAGTTCTTTCAAAATGTAAGATACAAAAAGGGGCCAGGGAGCATCCTTTGCCTTCTTATCACTTGGGTATCTAAAAAGTTTCATTTGATGGAGAATCAGGATTGAAAAAAAACAAAGAAGATACCACAAAATCAGAAACCTGGCTCACACAATGCCAAGAGCTGGAGGGTGGGGGTAGAAGGATTAACACAGCCATTAACCCAGTTATAGGACTTAAGATCCTCAGGCGCCAATGCCCAGATCACAAAGCACAAGGCTACAGCAGGTAGCAGATGCTGTAGGGGGTGTCAGGAGCACAGATACAGAGATGGAGGGTGTAGGGCCAGGATGGGCACAGAGCAGGTTTCTTTATGATTTGAGCAGACTGGGTGTAGTGGCAGGAATGGGCACAGTGCAGGTTTTCTATGACCCGAGCAGATGGGGTAAGGAGAAGTCCTGGAGCCCTCGGTGGCTTTTGCAGGCTTTCATTGGGATTTACCAGGTACACAGCAGTCAGGGGCGCTGGGGAGCCGGCAAGCCTCCCAGTCCCCAGCAAGTCTTCACACTTTCTGGGATCTCCATGTTTTCTTGTGGCCTCTGCTTCTCTGCTCTACTTGTGGTTCTGCTGGCGTAGCCATGACACTGCCCTTGTAAGCCCAGCCCCTCAGCACAGGTGTATCCCATCTACGCATGCCCACACCCCACTCCAGGTGGCCGCCACCAGGCCTGCATTCAGGACCACAGGGATCCATCAATCCTAATGGCAGGAGGGCAGAAAAGCCTGGTACCTTTCACCTTACCCTACAGAGGGCCATTGTAGAAATCTGGCCCGTTTCAAATTCTACATAGTTTATTCAAAGTCAACAACAGACAAACCACTCCATGAAGGAGGGAGCCCCTCCCAAAGAGAAGACTATCAGCGCAGTCTCTGCACTGGCAGCTGTCCCTCTGCCCGCCTGCGCCTCTGCAGGTGCTGCTTTTCACCAAGTCTGTCCCTCCGCAGGGCAGCAGCCTCCCTGCTTGCCTGTGACATGTTCCCTGCAGGTGGGGCGTCTCTTCACTGACCCTTCCTCAGCAGAGGCTTCTCTCAAAGCTGCCCCATGTTCCATGCAGCTCTCTCATCAAACCTGTTCCTTTCGGGGCAGCCCTTTCTGCCCGTTTGTCTATGCACGTGCCCTTTATTCTTCTCCCCTTTATAATAAACCTGCCCCTTGGATACAAAGAACATCTCAGTGCTGCGGAGGAACTCGCCTGGGAAACTTGCCCGGGCTGGTGAAAGGGGAGCTCTGCTGAACCCTTCCCAGAGTGACCCCAACGACTACTCTCCGCACCCAACAACCCCAAAAACATTGTTAGGGGAAAAGTGTAACAGGGTGGTCCCCAGGAAAGGGGGAGGTTCCCTGCCCCACCCAAGGGAGGGTGGAGCTGAGCAGGAAGAGGAGAAGCTGGAGAAGAGACTGAGGAAGGAAGCAGGATGGAGCCAGAAGGAGACCTGGAGGAGGCACATGGAGCCTAGAGACACGTGAAGAAACTGTGCTTGTCTTTTGGTCGTGGACTGGGTGACACAGATGTGGGTGAGACCCGTGGGGAGGTGACAATGGCAGCTTTTATCTTGATGTTGATTTTGCTCTTTTCCTTCCGGACTTGTCCGGTTGTTTGTGACCCTTCTCTGTGGGTCCCCACTGGAAGATGCTTTAGACTTTTAGCAGGCTTTGGGGCTTTGCTCTGCGCCATTCCCATATGGATGGACTTTTACCCACGAGGGGATGGGTAACTTTGGGTGCTTCATCTAGAAACTAGATTATTTGCCTTACCTGTGTTGTTTCCTAGTTTAATTAAAGTTCCTTCCCATTAGAGTCTCATATGTTTTGTGTTGATGCGGCGGATGGCAGAACCCATTTAGTATAGGCAGGTTTGCGGGGTTTGGGCTGCCCCTCTCCCTGTCCTATAACAAAAGGATGTCCTGAGTTAATGCCCTGTAACAGCATCCCATTCACTGCTCCCCTTTTCCAGCTCGAGCTCAGTCCTTCAGGCCCCAGCTCATTTATACTGAAGCAGAGACCAAGGCCTCGTTCCACGAGCTCTGCCCAGGACGCGGGGGCCGCTCCCCAAGGGGGGCGCCCGGGCCCGGGCTCGCGGGGGGCTCCAGCCCTGGACACCACGAGCCCCCAGACAATGACAGTCCACGGGACGCACGCCCAGCTCGGGGCGCGCCTCCCTCCGCACCTCGCCAGGAAGCCCGGCCGTGGACGCCCATTAACCGGCCCCGCGGCCGGGCCCCACACCCCACCCGCAGCCTGGCCCTGGGGCCCCGACGCGCGCCCCGCGAGGGCCACCGACGGCCTTCAAGGCGCCTGCAGCGCCACGCCTCGGCCACCTGGTGGCGCTGTCGGCCCACCCGTCCTCCTCCGGCCCACAGCCCCGCGGGCGGGCCCAGGGGGCACCAGCGCGCACGCGCCGCCCCGGCGCTCGCCCACCCAGCCTGGACCCGCGCCTGGAGCGGGCTGCGCCGCGCATGCGTGCGGCGGAGCCGCGCTCGCCCCGCCGGAGCCCCCGCCGCGGGGCTGGGAGTTGAGCCCCGCCGAGCCGGAAGTGCCGCCGCCGCGGCCCGCTGCCCGGGCGGAAACGGCGGCCCCCGAAGAGAGGTTCCGGGCTGGCCGGGGCCGGAGGCGGCAGGATGGAGAGCGGGGCGGGGGACGAGCCGCCGACCCTGCGCCCGACGCTGGGCTCCTCCTGGGCGGCGGCCGGCGCAGGCCTGGCCCCCTGCCTCCAGCTGCACCGGGCCGGCCGCGGCGCCGCGGACGCGGACTGGGAGGAGCTGCTGGCGCCGCCTGCCCCGGGGTGCGCCGGGCCGCGGGGGAGGCGGCGGGGCCGGGGGCCGGGTCCTCGCGGGGCGCGGCGGCGGGGCCGAGCGGGCCGGGGGCGGGCCGGGGCGGGGCCCCCCGCGGGGCGCGCGGTCTGCGCCCCCGGGCGCGGTGGGGTGTCGGCCGCGCCTCTCCCGCGGCGGGCGAGCGGCTGCCGGGCCGCGGAGAGGCGCCCGCGCCGGCTCTGGAGACGCGCCCGCGCCCCGGGGGCGCCCGCAGGCCTTCCCCGCCGAAGCGGGGTCCGCGCCGGGCCGGGCGGGGGCGGCGGGGGGCGGCGGGGCCTCCTGGGCCGGGCCGGGCGGGCCGGGGCGCCGGCCGCGCGCTGAGCCCCTCTCCCCGCAGGCGCGGCGCGGCGGTGCTGACGCGGGGCCCGCGCGGGCCCGGGGCGGGGCCCTGCTGCCTGTTCCTGCGCTGCGACCCGCGGGCCGGCGCGGAGGTGGCGGCCCTGGGCGTGCTGAGCTCGGCCCGGATCATGGAGGTGTACGCGGGGGACGAGTACTGCGGCACCGGCAGGGGCGAGGCGGCCCGCGCCGGCCTGGAGAGCAGGTGCGTCCCCGCGGCCTCGGGGCCCCCGGGCTCCCGCGGGGTGCGGGGCGTGGGAGCGAAGGGGAAACGTCAGCAGGTAGAAGTTCACACCGCTGAGATTTTTTTTTTTTTTAAAGATTTATTTATACAAGCACTGGGTACAGTCAGAAGCGCCAGAGGGTGAATTCACCAGAGACAGAGCGGGGCACAGAGCAGGCAGACTGACCAAATACACTGCTGAGGGGAGCAGCGGGTGCGGCAGGAGAGGTCTATCTCGCCATGTGAGACCCTCCCCTGTGGCTGGGGATCGAACCGGCGCTGCAGAGGCTGCGGGCAGCTTCGCAACCCAGCACTCAACCGCTGCACCACCAGGAAGGCCCATTTAAAAGATTTATTTATACATACATGAACTGGGGTGCAGGCCAGAGGTGTGGAGGGTGAGAGGATTCACCAGAGACAAAGCTGGGAGCAGAACAGGCAGACTGACTGAAATACACAGCTGAGAAGAGCAGCAGGTGAGTCAGGAGAGGTCTGCTGTGCCATGTGGGTAGCTCCCTGGCGAGGGATCGAACTCGTGCTGCAGCTAGCTAGGGTTGCATCTTAACCCCTTGAGCCACCAGGGAGGCCCCCGCTGAGATTTTCAGGATGGGCCAGATCAGCTTTCCTCTTTTCATAGGCTTGGAAAAATGCTCATAGCGAGGAAGTAACTTGGTAGAAGGTCAAGCTAATTAGACTTTATAGACGAGACTGAAGTAGAATCCTTGTCACAGCTTCTTGGCTTTCTCTGGCCTCTTCATGGTTGTTCGCCAAAAGTGAACTCGTTAGCCCACCTGGAACTCGGAACATTTTTGTGGAAAGAAGCTCTTTACAAATGGTCTGGATTCTGCCACATGAGCCCATTTAACCAATAACTCATCCTGTTATGATTTAGTTTTTTTCTAGTCTCTGATACTGGAATTCTACCCTAATCTCTCCTAAATATAACTCAATATGCTCTGTTTTATGTATTGCACATATTGGAATAATAGCAACATTCACTGACATTTACAATAGTGCTTGCTCTGTGCTGCATTATATTAAATAGAATGTGTCATTTAGCTCTCACAGAGGTAGAAAGAGCAGTGTCACCAAATGTCTTGTAGAACTCATTGGCTCTGTTTTATAGACCATTTGAATCTCAGGATTTAAGTAATGACCTAGAAACTTCATTTTTAATGTGACTTTTAAAAATGATAATCTGTAAAGTTAAAAAGAATGTAAATTCTCTTTACTTTTAGTAAACCCGAAATTATTTTCTACAAAAAATATTTAAAATTGGAGTCCATCATTCATGCTTGTAAAATAAAGGTAAATCATCACTAAATTTTAACTAATTTGACAACTGCAAATGTAAAATTTTGTATAGTATGAACTTATTTTCTGTTGGTTTCGTAATACTCTAATTTTGTTCCTCTTAGCACCATAGTTTTATATAAAGATAACTAGTTTTAGCTCCATTATATCAAAGAAGATGGCAGGGAATTTGAGGAGTTCTATGAAAGAGCACCTAAAAGTTAAAGGGATTTGGACTGGTGACTTGAGTTTGAAAACTCATCGGGGTGGGCTTTAGTGATGTCACTGGAGTCTGGGAAAAGGTAGTGAACTGTGAATCAATAGCCTACAGTATTAATTTTACCTTGTTTCCTACTAGCTGAGTGACCTTGAGCAAATTTCTCATATCTTTGGACCTACCTCATGGTCATGGATAAATTAGAATGCTTAAAAAAAATTCCTTGCTGTGTACGTAAAAGTTCATAACATCATTCTTGGTAGCCTAAATGTGGGAACAACCCAAATATCCATTTCCTAGTAAATGGATAAACAAGAAATGGTGTCCCCAAATAGAGAATTGTTTATCACAAAGAGCAATAAATAAATGCTGCATACTACAAACTTGAATGATGATCCTTGAAAACATATCATATGAAGGAAGTCAGTCACAGAAGACCACCTGTTATATGATTCCACATGTGTGAAAAGTCCAAAGGAGGCAAGTCCATAAGGAGGAAAGCAGAGCAGTAGTTGTGTGTGGTGAGAGGGTGGTATATGGGGGGGAGGGGGAAGGGGCTAGGGAGTGACTGCCAGTCAGTACAAGCTTGCATCTGAGGAGGATCATCTGAAATTGTGATGGTTACACAACTCTGTGCGTGTACTAAAGCCCATTGATTGGTGCACTTTAAAGGTGTTAATTGTTTGGCATGTAAATTATCTCAAAAAAAATCTTAAAATCTTATCTCCACATCACTTCATATGAAGTTATAAGACATTAATACTCATGTTCAGAGCAGCCAAGTAGCCAGCATACAGAACTGATTATCCCAAGATGTTATCTTGGTATTGTGTCTTAATGGCTTCTGGAGTCGTTTCAAAAAAGTCAGTCTCCTACGTATTTTTGAGTGCCTGCTAATCTAGGCAATGCAATAGGCACTTGGAATTAGCAGTGATAGATTAGCAGTGATAGAATAAATTGGAAGGATTATCCTTGTTGCTTACATTCTAGTGGAGTGAGACACGAGAGTGAAATGTATACCATATTCGGAAGTGAGAAAGGCTATGGAGATTGAAAAACAGAAAAGGTATAGTTGTAGGAGCATAAATTTAATGGGAAGCTTCCTTGATTATTGAGGAGAGATACCTTTTGATGCCACATGGAGATCTTGGATCACGGTTTGACATGTCTTCAAGTTACATATAGTTTGTGTGTGTCTACAGGAGTGTTTTTTATAGTGGTTCATTGCAAGACCATTGGCATTTAAAGGTTCTATTCATCTAGGTCTAAAGCTTGTTCTGGGGCAATATTACATGAAAGATAAAAAATAATGACCCATGTGTTTGAGCGCTCGCTCAGTGGTCGGTACCGGAGATTTTGACACACAATCCTCAGCCAGCCATGTGAAATCACATTTATCACCCTCGCTTACTCCTCTTGGGGATTTTTGGCCTTTGTCCAGGGTGGTACAGGCTCTAACCAGAGAGTCATCAGTAACCTAGGTCTGACCTAGTCTACATCCTTTGCTACAGGAGTGTTCATCTCACACATGAAGCGTCTTTTAGTTCAAAATCATAGATGAAATGAGCCGCATAAAGCACTTACAGGACCTAGATGAGCTAGGCCCCAGGCTTGGCTTTTACTGATGAGGGAATCCTTTGACAAGTTATAGAATTACCCTTGACCTCATCTTTTAGTAAGTGAGCCAGCAGTGTTAGACCATCTTTTCACATCTTATTTTTACCTTGTAATTCGTAATTCTCAAAGACTAACTTGCAGAGAGTATATCAAGAAATACTTTGGAAGAAGTCTTATTTTGTATTAAATATTGTAACATGTTGTACGTTTAGGACTCAGATTGGTATTTTTATTCCTTAAGTAAATGAAACTTATTTTAGCCCCTTTTTATATGCTGTGTATTTTTTTTTTTTTTGTATGAAAATAACCTTCTTCTGAGCTGCATAGTAAATTAGAAGTGCTGGGCATTACTACTTTAGGGAAAAGGTAAAAATGAAAGCTGCTTAGTTTATATTTGTTTTCCTGAATACTTCACCACTGTTAATTGATAACAAAAATGTCACCTTAAATAGCAATTATTGTTTAATGTTATTTTATGGAACTTTGTTTTATAACAGCTGCTCTCCTTTGGTGACAAGCAGTGTGTGTTCGTCAGTAAAGTCGTGGTCCACATCAGGCCGGTCTCGGTAAATCCCTCCCCAAGCTTTCCAGCTCTGGGGTCAAGGATCGACCTCGAGAGAGTCCAAACCATCATGGAGTCCATGGGCTCCAAGTTATCCCCTGGAGCTCAGCAGCTGATGCATATGGTTAGATTTCAGCAGCAGGTACGGAATCCCTTCCAGATGCACCGCAGGGGGAAGGTGGGGAGGGAGTTTAATTTGGGGAGTACTGATTTGTAGAGGTGGATAGCAGACACATGACCTGGGAGGATGGGAGCACAGAATTGGGGGAAATAGAGTGAACTCTGAGGAGGCTTGAGAGACTGTCCCCTAGGAGATGGTAGGGAAAGGTGGAGGGAGAGACTGGGCCAATAAAGAAAGACCCATGGAGAGGATCTGAGCCTGTGAGAATATGGGGCGAGGAGAGGGACCCCGAGAATAGAAGGCAGCAGCGTGGCCGAGCAGCTGCTGATTTGAGAAGGATTTGCTGTCAGGAGACCTGAATTCACATTCTGGTGTCAACACTGTTAGTTCTTTGTATATGTTACTGATTCATCTTTTTGAGGATAAATTTCTTCATGTTCCCTTAGCCCATAGGCTCCACGAGGTCAGGGATTTTAATATGTTCTGTTCGCTGTTGTATTTTCTTCCAGTGTCTGAAACACTTCCTAAACAGTAGATAATGGCTGAATATTGAATACGGGAATGTTGGTTTGGCTTAGTCTGACCCTTTTTTAGATTATCTAGATGAAGGTATAAACTGAGTTCCTTTAGCTAATCTCAGTCCCTCTCTCCCCAGCTGTTGAGCTGCAGTAGTGTGGGATGCTCGCCCCTGGCGAGACTCTAATAGACTTACATGCTTTGAATTCAGGATCGCGCTTATGCCCTGACACTGAGTTAGGCTCAAGGTGGTTACACTTCTCTCCTGGGGAAAACCTAAAGGGCATGTTTGTAACCTCTCCAAGACAGGGCATTGGGAATCACGTAGTTTCTTCAAGATAAGGCAGAATCTTCTCAGGAAATAATAGTTGCATGAGCACTTGAGTTGAGGCCACATAACAGAAATCCTTATTATCTGGAAAGTCCTAAAGCAAACATAGCCAAGAGATGACTAATTTTAATCACTGACCGTGTCCCACATGTACCCATGTACACTTCACCTTCAGTAATGTGACTACCTGGGTGGCCTCCGTGAGCAACGTGTGCAGGAGATACACTAGGTGGCAAGGAACAGCTTTGCTGTACATTGACATTTGGGGACTGATAGACGTGAATTGTAAGAAAGTCAACAGTTTTCGTTACTCACCTTAAACTACCACATTTTATTAGTAATTAGGAAGCTTTTGTAGTGGAAATGTTAAAATATGCTCTTGCGGTTTTAGCTGGTTCCTTGGACACCACAAAGCATAGTCCTATTACCTTTGAATGATTAAAGTAAAGCTGGTCTAAAGCCAGCTCATTTTAGTCATTAAAAATGTCACAAGGTACATTGAACATCCAGCCTTCAGTAGACAACTACCTGGTGTATCTTCCATGGAGAGCTGTCGTAGACGATCTCCCTAGACTGGCTGGCCAACCTGAAAGTTGATGGTGATATTCCATTCCGTGAAATTGTTAGTTCCCGTGCCTCAGTTGAGAGGAACGTGCTTTATTACCATAATTAAGGAGACTCTTGTAGGGGAAACATTAAAATATGCTAATGCAGTTTTACTAAGTTTGCTAGTATCTCTTTCCAATATTTTCTTGATGGAAAACCACAGTAAAATGATTAAAAGCCCTGACTGCAAAGGTGGGTGGCCTGGGTTCAATCCTGTTCCTGCCACCTACCAGTGGTGTCACCCTAGCCAGGTTGCAGCCACTTAACATTCAGACAGTAATTGTAGCCGACTGCCTGTGGGAGTTTTGAGGATCAAATGAGAGAAGCATGTCGCCGGGCTCAGTGATTGCCCAGAAGTTAGCCGCCGTCATCACTAATGCTCACAGTAACCCTTACTTCATGCCTCGCTTAGAATCGCTTGCCCATCGGAGAGCAGCTCCAGTCGGTCTTGGGAAATGCTGGGTGCAAGCACGTGATCGAAGCCTCCCCTTCGGCCTTGGACACGTCCTCCTCCACGCCCTTCCCTTTTAGAACTGGACTGACCTCTGGAAGCTTGACTGAAGACTTCAAAGCTTGCCTTGGTGGAAGCACGCAGCCCCCTGGTGGAGGGCCCAGGGCGCCGGACCTTGGCGAGCGCACAGTTGTGCCACCGCGCCACTCTCTTCTTGAGAACGATCTTCAGCATGCCGTGTCTTCTCTCTTACCAAAGAAAGCAAGTGACGACTCAAATGTGCCTAGCTCTGACCTGCTGCCTTTCCTCCAGAACTTGTGTAGTCAGGTTAACCATCTGCGTGTGGGGCGTGACACCCCGTGGCAGGAAGCCCTCACCAAGCCCCGCGAGGGCGTTGCTGCTGTCCCGTAAGTATTTAAGACCGCGTGAGTGTGTTTGGTCGTGTGAGGGGGTAACGGAAAGGAAACAGACTTGTTGCAGTGAGTGCTGCTTGAGAACATGCCCAGGGTGAGTCTGGGGAGTGATTGATTACATTGTACCATTAACAGACTTGTGGGACATACTCAACAGGAAATGGATTGCTTTGAAAGGCGTGCTAAAGGCGGAGGTGTAGAGCACCTCTACACCTCTCGGGCGTTTGTGGATGGCTGCGGCGTGAGGGAGCTGTAGGGAGATGCCAAAAGAAAAAAACCCTGCTCATAATATAGCAACTCTACAAAGACGCTGAGGAAGTCAGACTATGTAGGGCCCAGGAAGCAGATTCCTTAAGTTCCTAGTTTTCGAGAGTTTCTTTCGTCATAGCTGGATGGTGGATTTTCCTCATCGTTTTTCTGTGTCCGTTTATATGAGCATGTGACTTTTCCTCTGGAATCTGTTGATACGGTGAGTTATATTAATTTGCAAAAACTGAGCCAGCCCTGGTTACCTAGAATAAATCCCACTTAGTCATAGGGCATAGTTCTTTTTTATGTATTGCTGCTTTCAATTTGCTAGTCTTGTTGAGTATTCTTGCATCTGATTCATGAGATAGTGGCCTTTATTTCCCTTTTTGTACACATCTTTGGTTTTATGGCAGGCTAACACCTCATTAAATAAGTTTTGCATTTCAGAAGAGATTGTCTAAAAAATAGATGTTATTGCTTCTTGAAATGCTTGGTAGAAATTTCCAGTGAAACCATATGACCTGAATATTTCTTTCTTGGGAACTTTTAATTATAAATTCTATTTAAAACGTGGCAAGTTTCAGGGCCTCCCCGGTGGCGCAGTGGTTGAGCGCTGGGTTGCAAAGCTGCCTACAGCCTCTGTGGCCCTGGTTCGATCCCCGGCTGCTCCCCGGCCACCGGAGGAGGGTCCCACATGGCACACAGACCTCTCCTGCTGCCCGCTGCTCCCCTCAGCAGTGTACTTCGGTCCTTCTGCCTGCTCTGCTCCCCGCTCTGGCTCTGGTGGATTCTCTCACCCTCCCGTGCTTCTGACTGTACCCAGTGCTTATATAAATAAATAAATAAATAAAAATAAAAATAAATCTGAAAAAAAATTTAAAAAAAAACGTGGCAAGTTTCAGTTCTCCCATTGATCGGTGGGCTTAATGTAATCACATCTTTCAGGTTCCACCAGTTTTTTGAGATTTGCACAAGATTATCTTTTACATGAAAATGTAAAAGAAGCAGAAACAACTTTGAAAAAGAAGAAAATGGGAGGAATCACTGTTCCCAATACCAGGTCTTATGTAGTGGAAGAATTCCAGGCTGTGTCGTACCAGCTGTGGGACAGACACACTGGTTGGGGTTGCAGTGGAGGCCCCACACAATAGACCTGCACAGACATGCACAGCTGATTCTTGCAAAGGTCAAAACCTTGCAAAAACCAGTTGAATAGAAACAGGTGAGCTCTTCCAAAAAATGGTGCTGGAGCAATTAGATATCCATAGGCTAAAAATCTTTGCATCTAGACGTCATACCTAATACAAAACTCTAAATGGGTCGTAGATTTAGATGTAAAGTTTGCTGGGGATAGGCCTGGGTTCTGATTCTGTCACTGCAGATGCCAGTAAGCCGAGGTGGAAGTTGAATCTGTAAGCGCTGATACTTTTCCGATCGGCCCCTGATCTGACAGAGTGGTGGGTGTCGCACCTGGAAGAAACTCTTCTGTCAGCTCATCCTGAGCTGCCCTTTTTATAACGGGTTAGGCAAAGACAGTCATAAGCAAACAGCCCATCCGACAGCCTGTCACAGTGGATGTTTCTGGTTCATCATGTTCAGCCTCCCGATATCTTGACCCTGTACATGTGATGGCATCAGGCATCGTTGGGGCAGGATTCTCAGTCTAAAGCAAGAGTTTTAGTTTCAAGAAATCAGATTGTTAGTCACGTAGTGTGTACGTGCAGCCCACAATGGGTGTGTGTGTGCAGATTTCTGTACTAGGTGTGGGGCCCTCCCCTTCCTGCCCAGCTCCCTCTCAAAACGGAACTTTTAAGTGGAAACATAGGAAACATCTTCAGCAACAAGGAGTTGGAGGTTCTTAGACATGATGCCAAAAGCACAATCCATCAAAGAAAATCCACAGATCTGACTCCATTTAAAAGTGAAGGTATTGGGGCCTTCCTGGTGGCACAAGGGGTTAAGCATCGCACTATGAGGCAATCCGTAGCCACTACAGGTTGAGTTTGAACCCCGGCTGGTCAGAAAGCTACCCACATGGTGCAGCAGACCTCTCCTGTCTTGCCCGCTGCTCCCCTCAGCAGTGTATTTCAGTCAGTCTGCCTGTTCTGCTCCCCACTCTGTCTCTGGTGAATCCTCTCACCCCCCACACCTCTGGCCTGTGCCCCAGCTCTTGTATACATGAATAAATAAATCTTTCAAAAAAAATATAAAAGGTGAAGGTATTTGCTCTCTGAAAGACCGTGTGAACAGGATGAAAAGTGAAGCTACAGACTGGGAGGAAATATTTGCAAACCAAATATCTGACCAAGGACTCTTACTAAGAATAAAGTTCTCAAAATGAGCTAACCTCTGAGAAAACACACACTTACACCCTACACCGGGACACCTGAGGAAATGTTAGGCTAGGGAATGGCTTATGTTTCTGTCAGTCATCACATCGGTGCCCTGCAGCGGGTATCACCCTCTGGCCAGCACCACTGTACGCTCCTGAGAGAATGAGGTGCAAGGGGCAGATTGTTACTGTGGAAGTGCGGTGTTCGCAGAACCTCAGGGGGTCCCTGGTTTCCTCGAGCACGGCTGTCTAGAGGCGTGAATTCTAGGTTAGAAATGTGTGCTTCTTGTTTCACATTTAATGTGTGTGTTCCAGTTAACTCTTACCTTTCTGTTAGAGAGGTTAGAAAAGTACACTCTGGCGCTAGAGGAAGGTTGCTGGTATGAATGAAAACAAAAGTACTTGAATTGTGGGTTTACTTAGGGGAAGTACATGGGAAACCTATGTGGAAACCTTAAAATATTTTGGCGAGATCAGTTTTGATTTGGAAACCAGAATAAAGATCCTTTTTAAAGACTTTGTTCTTTGAGGGATTGTTTTCACTTTTTATATTTCTATTTCGGTTACATCCACAGTAAATGTTGATGGAATTGAAATAAGAAGCGTGTTAGACACATTGGCATTTACATACATACACATATTTAAATAAAAGTGGCATCATACAACTGAAAAAACGTTTTGGGCATTCAGTACTGGTCACCTGTTATGTGGGTATATTAGAACGTGGAAATGTGCTGTAAGGAACACAGGACAGTTGTGGAGACAAACTTCAGCAATTTAGACTACAGCGTGTGTGTTCTAACAAGAGGGATAATTGTTCTATTTTTTTTTTTAATTTATTTTAGAACAGAAGAGAAACCCCTGTGCTCCTACTTGGAAAAGATTCTCTCTAAAAACATGGAACTAGAAACTGACGGGCTACATAGATCAGCGCCTGTGTCGGCTCCAGGAGCACCTGGATAACAAGATTGCTCTGCTGGTGGACTTGGTGCAGAACCCCGGCTCCCCCCTCTCTGAGCTGCCTCTCAGACACTGACTCTGGAGAAAGATGAGCCCGCAGCATGTGCAGTGTTCCCCAGGTATTTATTCCGTATTTATTACAAAGTGAATACCCCGAAAGAAGCAGAAAGCAAGTATTTAATGTCATTTGAAGATCATGTCTGACTCACACAGCGACCTCAGTGCTCACAGTGGCCGTCCTTGTCAAGGCGCCAGTCCTGTGCACGAAGAGCTGGAATGCTAGGCTCCTCGATTATTTTGTTTGCGGTGTTTTTCATTTTTATCAAAAACTACTTATACTTCGGTATTTAAAATGTTTAAGGATTTATAATCCAATTCTTTGCCTTGTATTGATTGTATGTGTGTTTGACTTTGAAGTATTATTTTAATTTATGCAAAGACCTTGTCTCATAGTTCTAGGGGTATAAAAAAGCTTTGGTATTTGATACGTTTTCATTTTCTAATTGATGGTTGGTGGAAAACTGGGTATTAGACTTGCAACCTTTAATTTCAGTCACCAACTTGTTTTATAGTTTGGACAAAAAAGGAGATGCAGTGCATGGCACATGTAAAATTAGCTTACATCTGGGCCATCGACTTTACATTCCCAGGGATAGGAAAGTAAAAATCGGAATTGACCTAGTTCTTGTTAGGCTTTTTGCTTCAAATTCAGTTTTGATGTCAAACAAAGGCATCTTGTTTTTTCTTAATAAACCCAGAAACTTTTCTTTTCTGAACTAATCCGGATTCTTTCTAGAGCTTTTTCTGGTGTGTTTAAAGCGTGAGGGCCTGAGGCTCTGCGTTGCGGGACTAAGCACATGAACCACGGAAGCTGCGAGTCGCTGGCCGACTTAAGTTTTCAGAAGTTACTACTGTTGTCTGTGTTGAAGGGCAGTACGTTTGCATCTGAAAAATAAAAGCATCCGTTCTGGATACAGTTTGTCTTAAGTAAACAGAAATATTTCTTCTCATCTAATACTCAAGATGGAAGAGTGTGCACTACGCTCATTTTAATGAACTTAGTTCTCTGAGATGCACGTTCAGTTCCATGATCATGACCATAGCGTGTGTGCACCCGAATCACTCTGACCTCAGTGGCACGAGCCCCGTGTATCCCAGCAACAGGCGCCCCGATCTTCTGGCAAGCGGCCCAGAGGCAGCGCTGCATTCAGCACCCCGGGGGGCATACCCCTTCCCCTGCACTGTAGTCAGCGGTGACACCGCCCCTGCCAGTGCCTGTTTCACTCCCCGTTCACCTCGGCGCTGTTGTAACTGCAGCTCAGTTTATAAAATCAGTTTTATTAACTAATTATAATTTATGCAGTCATGACTGTAGTGTAAGAAATAGTGATGCGCTTTCATTCCAGATCTTCCATTTCTTTTTTTTTTTAATACTTATGCATACAAGAGCTGGGGTACAGGCCAGAGGTGTGGGAGGTGAGAGGATTCACCAGAGAGAGTGGGGAGCAGAACTGGCGGATCTACTAAAACACACTGCTGAGGGGAGCAGCAGGGAGACAGGAGAGGTCTGCTGTGCCATGTGGGTAGCTCCCTGGCTGGGGATGGAACTCATGTCGCAGTGGCTGCCAACAGCTTCATAGTGCTGCGTCTTAACCCCTTGCGCTACCTGGGAGGCCTCAGATCCTCCATTTCTTAATCTTCCAAGGCCGATGAAGGTCCAAATTGCATTTTTTTATATATTAGAAATTCCTAGGTGTTTCCTTGCATTCATCAGTCGCTATCCACGTGTTTCTGTGGGGATGATGGCGTCTCTGACTGGCTTGCTAGGGGAAGGCTGCCTGACCTTGCTGAAACAGAAGTAGACCACAGATGGACCAGAATCTGTCCTGTTGGGTCCCATCTCTGCTTTCACAGGTACCACATTCATGAGTGAGTCTGGGGAGCGAGGGCTGGGAAATGTACCTTCAGAGCTGGGGGAATAACCGCTGCAGGTGACCCAGCTGCACAGCTTGTGTGGGAGACCAAGGCATGAACTGCACGTGCAGGTTATGTACCCTGAGCTCCACACTGTCCCCCTCGAGTCATTACTGCACCTCCCTCTTTCCTGTGGGTGGCACAGTGAGGTTTTCATCATCCTTGTCACTGGGTTGTCCCTCTTCCTGCTGCGGGGGGGAGACACAGGACTTCCAGGCCCTCGGGGCGCTCCGCGGGGCGCTCCGCGGGGCCTTCCCCAGCCTGCGCCTTCCTCCCTTGTCTCCGGGCTGCGCGCCCAGCGGGCCCAAATCCTCCTCCGCCCAGGCGCCCTCTCCCTGGCCCGGTCTCGGTTGCACTCCTGTTCCCAGCTGGGCCCCAGGGCAGCCTCTTGGGAAGCTGCCCTGGGGCCGCCCCCCACCCCCACCCCCTCCACCACCACCGCAGTGAGCAGCCGGACAGAGGAGAGACCCGCGGGGAGCTCTGGCGACGGGACCCCTCTGGGCTCGGGAAGAACGTGGCGGGTGCCGGCCTTGGGGGGACCCCACACTGCAAGCCCTCGCTGTGGGCTTCGGGCTGGCCGCGCCCCCCATCCCTCCGCCGCCCGCTCTCCGGGGCCTGGACGCGGGGCAGGACCTCCCTCTGCTCCCAGATGACCTCGGGCCGGACTCGCCTGGGCCTTGGCCCACCTGAGGCTCCGTCCCCGCGCCAGCTGCTGGCGCAGGCCTGCCCCCCACCCCCCACCCGCGGCCCGCAGCTGCCGCCCGTGCGCTCGTGTTAGCTTCCACCCGATTCCTCCCACCAACTTCCATCTCCTGAGTTTTGGCTAATGAGCCGCGAGAGGCCTGGCCCCCGAAACGGTGAGAAAAGCACACAGTGCTGACGTCTTTATTCGGGCAGCAGCCTTGGGAACCGAGCCTTCGTGCCGGTGAGTCTCTCAAGAGGTTGACCTGGGCCTGGACCCCAGGGCTGTGCCCCTCCAGCTCCCATCTCTCCCCGCGCCCCCGGGGACTTGGTGTCCCTCATTACTTAGCATTGACCCCGAGATAGCTGAAATTCAGGGCTGTGGAAAGCGCAACACCTCTGCTTCACGGACACCCCTCAAGGTAAAGCAAATGGGGCAGCTCCCCAGCCGCCCCTACCTTTCCTCACCCCATCGCTGCTGCCTCCGCGGGACAACCCCTGCCCGCGGTGCACAGGGTGGCCCAGGACTACTGCTCTGCCTGTCCCGACCGGGTCTCTCCAAATGCCTCAGAAGACGTATATCCTAGTGACAGGCCCCACGGGGGTCGATGAACCTGCTTCTCCCCTCTCAGTCACTCACTCAGCGTATCACTTGGGATGTGGGTTTTTGCCTCTTAATCTCGGTTTTCCCTTCTGCAAATGGAGAAGGAAATCCACTTCTTCTCTTGTACGAGGTTTATGATCTTTTTAACATGACACCCCCAGCAGAGACCGGGTATATAAGAGATGTTCAGAAAACGTTAACTATTTTCTCCTTTCTACTCGTGTTCTGACTTTGAAACAGCAAGAATGGTGTACAAGTTCCTTCACCTTTTTACTACTCCAGTCAGTCTGAAAGTCTTCTCCATCCACCGGGAGGGCACATTCAAGGTGAATTATACTGAGTAGTGAGTGGTTCTCAAGGCTGGTGTAGGGACCAAGCGTCACCTTGGGATTCCCTTGTGACGCAGGTTCTCAGCCCCACCTGGGCCAGGCCTAGCAACCCGGGGGTGGGTCCAGGCACGTGTTTCATTAACTCCGGCTGATGTGGGTGCATGCTCAATTTGGGGACCCCTGGGCTGTGCTTAAAAACAAGTTCGGGGCCTCCCTTGGTGGCGCAGCGGTTGAGCGCTGGGCTGCGAAGCTGCCCGCAGCCTCTGCAGTGCCGGTTCAATCCCCGGCTGTCAGGGAGGGTCCCACATGGCGCGCAGACCTCTCCTGCCTCGCCCGCTGCTCCCCTCAGCAGTGTACTTCGTCAGTCTGCCTGTTCTGCTCCCTGCTCTGGCTCTGGTGAATCCTCTCACCCTCCCATGCTTCTGACTGTACCCAGTGCTTGTATAAATAAATAAATCTTTTAAAAAATAATAAAAATAAAAACAGGTTCGCAGCCGGGTAGCAAGGGTTGCTTCCTAAAACCCTAACTGACACCCTCCAAAGGCATTCTTCAACAGGCAGGAAAAAAATCTAGACCTTTTTCTAGAGCTTCAAATCCCCCAAGGTGGTATCATTGACTCACTCCTCCAACTCGTCTCACCACTGCTCTGCCCTTCATGCATCTGCTCTGGCCACTCAGGCCCTTTTACTGTTCTTGAACACACCAAATCCTTGGCAACCTCAGAATTCTATTGTTAACATTTTCCTGGCCTGGAATTCGCTCCCTCACCTTGATCCCTGTCCTGTTTTCCGGGTCTCTCCTGAAATGTCACATCCTCGGTAAGGCCGCGACTCTCCTGGCTAAATACTCCCCACTGCCACGCCCATCAGCTGTTTGTCCTTCAACCATTCTTTGGGGGTGGAACAACTTCCCTTCATCTGAAACTGTCTCCCTTCCCCCTTTCATTCCTGAAAGATAATTTTGTTAGCTATGAAATTTGAAGTTGACAGACCTTTTCATTCAACACCTTAAACTATGTGTTACTTCCTTCGATCTCCATGTTAAGATAAGTCCGTTATCATTTGAGCTGTTCTGCTATAGCGTTGTTTCTGCTTTTTAGTTTGCTTCTTTGTCTTTAGTTTTCAGAGATTTAATTATGCGTCTTGCTATGGGTTTTCTTGTTTATGCTGGTTTGGGATTTTCTTGGCTTCTTGAATCTGTCAGTTTGTGTCTTGAAGTTTTGAACTATTACTTCAAAAACCCTTTGAACCCCTTTTCTTTCTCCTAAGGCTGATGACACATGTTGGAGCTTTGGTTATAGTCCCACAGGGCCCTGAGGCTCTTCATTTGTTCAGGTTGGATAAATTGTATTGTACTGGCCTTAAGTTCCCTGATTCAGTCCTGTTACCGCCATCTGTTCCATCCAGTAAGGTTTATTTCTATTAATGTAATTTTTGAGCTCGGTCATTTCCGTTTGGCTCTTTTTGTTATAACTTCTATTTTGCTGAGATTTCTCTCTTTCACCATTTTATTTTATTTTTTTTTTTTTAAACTTTTTTTTTTTTTTTTTTTTTTTTATTTATACAAGCACTGGGTACAGTCAGAAGCGCGGGAGGGTGAGAGAATTCACCAGAGCCAGAGCGGGGAGCAGAGCAGGCAGAAGGACTGAAGTACACTGCTGAGGGGAGCAGCGGGCAGCAGGAGAGGTCTGCGCGCCATGTGGGACCCTCCTCCGGTGGCCGGGGAGCAGCCGGGGATCGAACCGGCGCTGCAGAGGCTGCGGGCAGCTTCGCAACCCAGCGCTCAACCGCTGTGCCACTGGGGAGGCCCTCTTTCACCATTTTAATTGATTGCTGAAGCCTTTTTATGACAGCAGCTTTAAACCCCTTTTTGGTAATTCCAACATTTGATGGGTCTTGCCGTCCTCATCAGTTCATGGTCTTTTCCCATTCAGGCGTTAGTTACCAGGTTCTTGGTCTGACAGGTGATTTTTCCATTGAATCTTTGATATTTTGGATATTTTGTTAGGAGAATCTACATCCTATTTGAATGTTTTATCAGCTAGTCACCCTGTCTTGCATGCAGGTTCTGGCCCATTTTTGTGGGATGAGGCACCAGTGAGAACTCAGTTAGCTTCTGTTGCTGTTGAGGTGAGGCTGACCGGCCCCAACAGCTCTGCCCAAAGGAGCAGATGAATATAGGGAGTAGAAAGGAATCTCTGGCCCACAGAGAAATGCTTGTTACTTGGGATTCCTGTCAGGCTAATAACTGGCCACCCTGCTGTCTCTCAGTGAAGGGGTCACAGGACCAGTGAGAAAAGACACTTTTCCTGGCCACGTACTGTCAGCGGGGCTTCCAAACTATTTCCCTTGGCACTGCTGCGGAGCCAGCTGGGGCTTTCGGCAGGTCTCCTGTCAAATCCAGGGGGGTGAGCCCCCCTCTGTTGCTAGATTCAGAGATGGAAACCACCAGGTCTGGGCCACCTCTCCTGTCCTGTGTGCGCCCCAAGGCCTGGGATCCCTCACCAAGTTGCTTCCCTCTTTCCAACTTTGCCTCTTATGTTTTTTCCAGGGATTACAGTTACGCCTCCCAGGAAGGAGCAGAAGGAACAAGTTTAAGCCATCTCTTCTGCACCCAGAGTCTCCTCATTTAATGTTACTAGATTGTCTGGGTATGTGAACCTTCAAATCATACACACTTGACTAGAGCAGGTATTCAGCCAGGCAGCGTGAGACCCTTCCATGGTCAGTGCGCAGATGCTTGAACCTAGTAAATGGCTGTATATTATCTCACGGTGTCGCTAACATGCGGTCTAACCTCTCTCCTGTCATCGTGCTTGTAAGAAGGGTGTTTTAGTCTCCCCACATTTTTTCTTTTTCTTTTTACATTGGAAATCTTAAAACCTGCTTTTGCTTAGCAGTCATCCTGAAAACAGTGTGGGAAAAATAAGACCTGAAACAGAATCAAGTGACAAAACAGTATTTTTATTTCGTGGGGGCTAAAATATACCTGCAGGTGGAGCAGAATTCAGAACTCCATCAGAGGGAGCGGGTGGCCAGAGAGTTGATGTCACACAGTCTGTGGCATAGAACTTGGAACTAGGCAGTGGCTGTGCTTCTAAGGGGAGCTCTTCATACTCGGGCCTCTCCTCCTGGCATGGATAAGTAGA